ATCATCACCTCCCCCCCCCCTTCATCCCCACGTCCAGACACACCTGCTGGTCAGCTCCTGCATGTCCTTATCAAAGGCCTTGCCCCGGATGAGCACCAGCTTGTCCCCACGGGTGCCGTCAAGCACGTGGTCAACGACGAAACGAACCATGGGTCGGCTGCCCGTCTCCGCGGGCACGGCGGCGCGCAGACACAGCTTCTTGCCGACCTCGTACGCCGACTCGGCCTGCCGAGCGTTGGGCTGCAGCGAGGAGGCGGCGGCGGCGGCGGCAAGACACACACAAGACGAAGCGGCAAGACACAATCACGGCCTGGTATTTCAACGATATGCATGCTGATATTTATCCGCCAACATTTCAACATGTTATTTGACAAAAATCAAAGTTTTATGAAAGCACTAACCAGCAAAAGCTATATGGCAAGAGCCAAGACGGAAACCTTTCGGCCAACTAATATTAATAATAATAATTCTTTTCAGCATATTTGCTAAAGTCCAAGCAGCACAAGGGACGGGAGAACCCCGGCATGGATAAAATATCTCACCACCCTCATCCTCACCACCATGACCACCACCCTCATCCTCACCACCATGACCATCACAGCAAGTTGACACGCAATCCCCCGCCCCCCCAACACCCCGCCATCACCCACCTTGACCACCAGTATAGGTCGGTTGCAGTCGCGCGCCAGGCTCAGCGCCACACTCCCCACCACACTGGAGCCCTGAGCAGCTGCCAGACTCATGCTCCCGGTCACCAACAGGCTGGCACGGACCAGCTCGGCGTAGGCGGCAATGTCCTCCACAATAGACTGACGTTTGACCTGCGGTCCATCCATGCGTTCATCCATGCAATCGCCGCCAATCAGGTGGATCAGGTGGACACACACTTTTGGGAGACAATTTTAAAACAGACACAGCTGTCAGTGTGTTTCCTCTTTCTGCTGCGTGAGAATGAAGAAATCGGCGAGAGCGGTCAAAACGCCGCGCGCGCGCCACGCGCCCTCTCTCTCTCTCTCCCTTCCCCCCCACCACTCAAGCGGCGCCTCAAGATGCCGGCAAAGGCAAACCTCTTGTGTAACTTTTGACAACTATTGAAACTGTACACACCAGTAATACCAAACTGCCGTACCTGTACGACGGACTTGACGTCGCCCAGCGTGGCCGCGGCCATGCTCTCAAACTTCTCCGCCACCCCCCGGGCAGCAGAAACAGCCATGGAGGAGGGGTCCTTGGCGATACTCAGCACATGAAGACAGTCGGCACCAGGCTTCATGACGGCCATGGCGACACGCACCTAATTGGAAGCGTGTGTACATATGTATGTATGTATGTGCATGGGGAAAAGGGAGAGGGAGGTTTTGGATAAGGAACTGGACGTGGAAGCCCTGGGGGATTTCCAACACACACACACACATACACACACATACACACACATACACACACATACACACACATACACACACATACACACACATACACACACATACACACACATACACACACATACACACACCACGCCAGTTGCGTGTGGAGGCGGCCCTTTGCCATCTTCCATCTCACCCATCCACCCATCCCCCCACCCAACCAAACCGCGCACGGCCCCTCACCGCCAGCGGACACGCCGCGTCGTCCGTGACCGCCACCACGATGACTCTCTGCTGCAGCGGCCCCCGGCCAGGCCCTCCCAGGACTGAGCCGCCCACCACCCCGGCCCCCGCGTGGGAAACAACCCGTGACCTGGCCGTGTTGGTCGCGGAGACGCTGGCCCTGAAACCCGGATGGTTGTCCTGCTCGCCCATCACCCACAGCAACGTGTCCAGGTCGCTGTCGTTAGTCAACAACCGGCCCCGCTGCAGCGCAGACTGCGCAGACTGTGCAGTCGCAAGCGTAAGGCTGTTGTTGCCGGCACCCGCCGGCGATGCCGCGCCGGCGGCGGAGGCGGCGGCGGAGGCTGTAGCGCCGCTTCCAGCGCCAGCGCCTCCGGCGCTGGAGAGCCGCGCCTGCGGCGCGGCAGCGGCGGCTCCGCCGCCGCTGCCAATGACCGGCGGAAGACTGCCGCCGTCGATACCAGTATTGCCAGTGTTGCCGGCGGCGGCGCCGCCAGGGCCTGTTGTCGCACTGCCGCGGGAACCGAACGACAGCGCTACGCAGCGGGCGGCGGGCTGTGCGGTGATGTCGGATGCGTCAAAGGTGACGTACAGGTAGCCCCCCTCGCCAATGCTAACGGAAGGTCGAAAGATGGAGGGCCCGGAGAGGACGGCTGCACACACGGACGGCGGCCCACGGGGGTGGGCACGGGGTGGACACGGGGCGCAGTTTGGGCATAAGTAAAGAGGGGGCCAGACGGGGTCCGTCGAGAGGGGGGGAGCTTAAAACCCCTTCACCATCATCACCATCACCATCACCACCACCACCACCACCACCACCATCAGTAACAGCGACAACAGCGACAACAACGACAACGACAACAACAATCTCCAAAAAAACAATACCGTTTTGACTTGCGAATCAACTACAAGATCCAACGGACGATTATTAGCTACGCAATGCCGTCTGACCCGCAACGATTTCCGAGAGCTAGTGAACTCCCTCCCTAGAGCACCACTCCTTCCACCTCAGGCCACCGCCCACCACCACCGCCACCAAGCTGCCACCAAGCAGAGTCCCCCCGCTCGCAGCCCCCAGTCCGTCTATCCCTGCCGCCCGCACCCTCCTAGCAGCACATCATGACACCTAGCAGCACATCAGCAGGCACCCGCCTCCCTGCCTACCTCTCAGGCTGGGTACGTGGTACATGTACCTCTTGATGGACACCGGCACACGTGGCGTGGTGCCATTCTGTTGGGCTGCGGTGTCGACGAGCTGCTGAAGACCAGCTGCGGATATACGGTGTTGGGTTTGCAGGGTTTGCAGGGTTTGCAGGGTTTGCAGGGTTTGCAGGTAGTGAAGAGTGAGGAACGTGGGGTCGGGTAGGGTCGGGTAGGTTGAGGTAGCAAGCACTGTCAGTGAGGAGGTACGACACCCTGTCGGACCCTGCTCAACACCTCCATAAAGAGTTCCAACCCGATGATGCATGAACTGTAAAAAGAACCTCGGGGCTCCTTTGTCATCGTCATCTTTCCTTAACTATTTTTGCGAGAGTTTTGTTCCTTCGATTTAATCTCTCTGTACGCGTAAAATGCCTGGGCCCACCAATGGGCTACATACGTCTCGTAATTCGAGAGTGTCCCCGATCGATCGCCGACTTACCCGCCAAAGCCGGTGTCTGGACATCCGCCCACTTAATGTCACACACCGACAACGGCCCGCCCTCGCCGCCAATGCCGCCGGCGCGTCCTGCCGAGCCAGACGAAGCTAGCGACCGACGGCTGCTACTGGCGCCGCCGCGGCCGCCGCCGCCGCCAGCGGCGCTGCCGCCACTTCCTGACTTGTCTAAGGAGCAACGCGGAGATCCGGACTTCGGGGCTCCCGTCAGCGGCGGCGACGGCGGCGCGCTGAGAGGTTGCCGCTGCGGCGGGATATGCAGAGGCCGTAGCGGCGCTTGGACCGACGGCGGTTGGGACGGCGGTTGAGGCTGCGCCAGCGGCGGCGTCGACGGACCCGTCAGCGCAGTGTGGGCGCTATCGACGGAAGTGCTAGCGGATGAGGAAGTGGACGTCGAAGAGGTCGAAGGGGCCGAGGATGAGGAGGATGTTGCCGCGTAGGAGGAGGACGTGGCGGAGGTGGAAGACGTAGCGGGACCTGAACCATGCGGCCCCGTACGACCGTTGGTACGACGGAGCAGCGGCACGTTGGCGGCAACGGCGGCAGGTGCTGGCGGCGGCACCGCCGACAGGGCTCGCTCTTTGAGCGAAAGGACAATGCCGGAGCCGTAACGGCTAATTCCATGCAGCGACTCGATTAACTCGACCTGTAGGCGACAAAAACAATTGATTGGCAAGCAGAGAGTGATACAACTCGAGGTGCAATACACACGCAAACACACGTAACCATACCTGCATGCTCATGTTGGCATCCATGCTGTCGGACAGTGCGTACGACAACGCCAGCTGTTCGATGTTGAGGCAGTTCTCCGGAGAGTAATGCACCAGGTCTCGGAGCCGCCAACTGGACAGCCAGGTGACTTCCCTGGAGCGCAGGACGGGATGCGGACAAGGGAAGGAGAGGGAGGAGAGGGAAAGACACATACGCAAAAAAAAAACCAAAGTCAAAGAAAACAACTGTGGACGTTCAAACTAAGTGAGGATGAGGAGGGAGAGGGGGAAAGAGACGAACCACGTGAACGAGTGAAGCTGCTGCCAAGGAAAGAGAAGTAGAGCTGACCAGTAGGCGGTTTTGAAGGAGCCGACCGCGGGATGATGATGGCCGCGGAAACCTACCTACCTACCTAGCCGCCAAGACTAAAATAAGAGCGGAAGAAAAGCAGTAAAGCGAAGCCGTAAAGAAGTAAAGGTAGGTGTAGAGGCGGCGAAAAAGAACTGATGACGTGAGCTGGAATATAGGTTGCCGCCGGCCTGGCGGCGGCATTGACAAGGTGGACCAAAAATGGACCAAAAATGGCTGATGGGCTGGTAATAAAAAGCTAACGACATGTTAGTGCTCCTCCCAACCCCCCAAACACGCGCCCGACCCGACCGAGAGGGAGAGGGAGCGGGAGAGGAGGTGGAGGAGGGGGGATTATGGACCAAAGACGCGTAGTACGGGCAGTATGAGGACAGAAGGGTAAAAACCGTAAAACATGGTCAAGGGTCAAGGGGGGGAATGTTATGACGGCGTTACACTCACTTTTCCAAAAACGTATCCAGCGCGGATCGATCCAGGGGCCGTCGCTCCGAAAGGTCAGCGCCGCCCAGCCGGAACGCCTCAGATCCCGCCCAGCATAACGCCAGCAGCGCATAGCCCGAGCCGGCAGCGCGTGGCGGCGCCTGCGGCGCCGGCGCGAAGGTGCGCTTCACCTTGTCGTACGCATGACCCGGAGCACGCTGTTGTACACTGATGATTACGTTATCCGGCGAGAACCTGGAGTCATGTCAGATGGAGGGTCGGAAGTACCCGGGGCGGGGCGGGGCGGGGGGCCCCCCATGTGTTTTTCATTTTCTTTGACTCAACCGATGACCCGTCATTGGCACTTTTCGACTGAGGGCGCGGCCCAAAAGTGCCGCGCCCTCAGTCGAATCAGTCCAACCAACCTGCCACCTGCCACCTCCCTCAGACACGGGGAAACCCCCAGCCTTTCCCCCCTATTTCACGCCGCCCCCCAATCTCAGAACCCAAGATCGTTTTGCCCGACTGCACATCTTCCGTACAAAACTCAGCCCATCTTAGTCGTTGCAAGCGTCCCTTATTCCCTCCTCTCCCGCCGGAACCCCCACACCCCGAAACACGCACACACACACATACGCACATATACGCACACATACACGCACATGCACGCACATGCACGCACATGCACGCACGCACCTGCACATCTTCCGTGCCGTCAGGTCCCGCACCACCGCCTCCACCTGACCCTCGTGACACGACAGCACCACCTGCATCTTGCCAACCGCTTCCGTACCCGCCAACGACTCAACTGCCGTAGCCAGCGCCAACAGCTGCCGTACACCCAAGCCCAGCCCCACTAGGTGGGAGGTCCATTCCGTACGGGTTGGGTGGGTTACGGCTAGCAGCTGCCAGGGGTCCACCGACCACATGGCCAGGGGGCCCAGCCGTGCTGACATGAAGATGTCGTCATCCACGTGAATCTGTTTTAGAGGGGGCGAGGGCGAGGGCGAGGGCAAGGTGAGAGCCACACACCCACGGTCATGCATCACAGGCTCATCCTAATCTGCTTCTCCGCCGTTGCACCATCCCTCCTCCCCCCCTTCCTACCCACCCCACCCCGCCCACTTCCCTTCCCTTCCCCTCTCCCTCCCTCCCTCCCACCACACCCCTCACCTGCACCGCCAAGCGGCCGTCCTTAATGTCCCGCAGCACCACGTCCTTGTACCTCGCTGCCTGCTGCCGCAGCCCGGGTAGCGCCGCCTCATGCACCGGCGGCATGGCCCACTGCTGGGCCTCCACCCACCGCCCGTTAGCGCTGCGTAGCAGTAGGTACAGGGGAGGAGAGATATAAGGCCCCAGCAGTATCAATAAACCAACCATTAATCTTTCAGCAAAGTAACAGCCAGTTCACCGACAGGAAGATTATGAGTGTAGGTCTTAACATCTGGATAAGGATCCACTATGGCTGTTACTATTTTGCTAAAACTCCCCTCATTATCCCTAATATACATACCTATATGTATATATACACATATATATACAAGCAACTGGTAAGATATGCCGGAATAGAGTACTGAGACATCTAACCCCCTTCCCCCCAGTAGTAGCAGTGGGGAGAGTGGAGCCTTAGGAGCGGCAAGGAAGCAAGCCCTAAATCGGAGCTTTTCAGCGGCAATCGCCCCACCCCGGCTTTCCGTCCCGCCTTCCACCCGCGCGCGCCGTACCCACGCCGTACCGATTGCAGTACATATTGAGCATGCCCGAGGTCGACTGCAGGATTGCCGCATTTTCCTCAATCGATGCCAAGAGCTGCTGTTGCCTCAGCACATTGGCTGTCTCCGCATCTCGGAGGGACCGCAGCTGGTGTCTGGCGGCTCGCAGCGGCAGCGCGATCTTGCTAGCGATGCGTTGTGCCATGGTCCCCACTCGATGCTCTCCGGGGGTGCTGGGGGCCTCGTTACCCAGTACAGGACGATACGTGTCACTGTGGATTTCAATGAGTGGATAGAGCACGGGATGCGGAGGGGACGCGCGATGCGAGTTGAGACTCGATGATATTCTCCCAATCCGCCAATCCACGTGTGTAAAGACCATGTGTGTAAAGAAGTAAAGAACCCCAAGGGCACCCATACACACGATTAGACTAGCACATCGTGGTGGGCTCGGCAGGGTTGCCGAAAAATATTTGCCATTCAAGCAAGTCGCGTAAACTAGACCCTATTTACAATATTAGACAATCTCGGTCGGATTTTCCCGACCGGTCTCTTCTCAGCGGCAATGGTGCCCCTGCCCCTGCCGACGGGGAGCTTTAAGTAATGGCAGTGCGGGGGGAGGAGCTGTAGCGACTTGGCTGAGGGGAGGGGGGGTGCGGAGGTGTTGGGGGACTTGTGAACACCGCGGGATCGTGTCAAAGCTCCCTCCCCGCGCTCCCCTCCCTCACCCGTCTAGTTCAACTCCTCCTCTCCCACCGGCAGGCTGTGTTTTGACCCCCCCCCAAAGCGTGCGATTCCTCATGCCCCGCTACCCCCTCCCGCTGCCCCCAAACCCCGGTCCCGGTACGCAAACAGCTCCGAAACCTCACCTAGCCCGTTGCGGACCAGGCGGACCAGGCCGACCAGCCAGCACGGGTGAGCCCCCGCACGACGGGGGTCGCGGGCCCATGCCCAGTAGCGACGGCCGCACAGGTGAAGCTGGCCTTAGCAGCCCGCCAGCTCCTCCACCTCCCCCAGCACCTCCTGCAGCCGCCGCCGCCGCTGCAGCGGTTGCTGCTGGTACCGGCTCGCTACGGCACCGTACTCCCGTACCCGACGGAGCCGAAAGCCGCAGCGACCCAGGCGCGCTTGGCCGTGACGGCCGTAGCGGCGCGCCGTGGGTTTGCTGTCCGGATAGCGGCAATAGCAGCTCCCCAGCGGACGTGCTGCCGCCGCCGCTGCCGCCGCCGCCGGGCGTCGCCGGGGGGTCTGGCTGGGAAAAGGCACCCGACCACGACGCGCGAGCGAGACTCGTGCGGCCTCGGGGAGTGAGGCCAGCGCCGCCTCCTCCGCCCTGTAGCGGCGGGGAGCCATTGGCCAGGAGGGGGGTTGCGGCGGCGGCGGCGGCGGCGCCCGACGCACTGCTGGGTGTGGTGGCACGCCGGCGCGCGGCGCTGAAGGCGGGCGGCGGGCCCAGGTAGCCGACGGTGGGTAAGGCTGAGGCCAGCGGCGCCGATTGGAGGCTTAGCGAGCCCCCGGCGGAGTTGGAGTTGCGTCTTCCGGGAGGGGCCGAAGCAGGGGCGTCTGCGGTGGATGTGGGTGAGAGGGAGAAGTGGGCAGGGGTGCGGTGAGGTGATGCTAAGCTGCGTCACGACTGAGGATAAAGGAGTGGGCCTTGGGGTAAAGGTGCGCCCGCGCCTGCCATCTGTATTTGATCAGACAGCCCCGCTCTTAATATTAATTTTGTTCACGTCTTGAGTCTCCCGGTCTCGAATACATTGGATACATTTTATATAGCTATATGACCCAATATAATACTTGTTGGCCAGTATCGCTGACAGGGAGCAGTGACCGGAGGCGGAGGAGAGGGGAGCTCAGAAGGGGAGCTCAGGAGATAGCGCTGGGGATGTGAATCCACGCAGCTGGAAGAACAGACAAACATACAGAGAGACACGCAAGATACGGCCCACGGAGGCCCTACCTCGCAGCCGTGTGCCAGGCTTAGCCCGAGGGTAGCCCGCGCTGTCAAAGCCGGGCGACGCGCCGCTGTAATGCCACCGCGGTTTGTTCGGTGAAGAGGCCTTATGCCCTGGATGCCGCATCGCCGCCATAGCGGCCGCCGCCGTGGCCGCCGCCTCGTCGGCGTCCAAGCCGTCGTCGTCCAGGGCCGCCGCCTCTGCGTCAGAGGACACCCCAGCCGCCGCCGCCGCCGCCGCGACCGCGGCGGCGTCGCCGTCGCCGTCGCCGTCGTGGCTGTCGAGGGCTTCCGGCGGGCAGGACGCCTCCAGCGCCTGTTGCTCCGCAGCGAGCTGCTGCATGGCCGATCGCAGGTTCTCCAGCTCAGCCTGGATTGGTGAAAACGAAGACAGTACAGATAAATTAAAGCTGTAAATAGTGCAGACGTACAGGGTAATTATACAGGGCAACAATACAGAAGAAATGCATGTTCGATATTAGACCAATTATTAGTGGTCTGGTCTATTATGGACAAAAGATGTGCATCACGCACCCCACGTCGCTAGTACCCCTGCTTTGCCCGGATTCAGACCGCCGCCGCCACCGCCGCAGCCACAAGGACGCACCTTCATGTCAGGAAGTTTGTCGCGTGCAGCCGCCAGCCGCTCGCCCTCCTCCACAAATTTCTGGACGCCCTCCCCCAGCTGCTGCTCGGCAAGCAGCGCAAAGTTCTCGACGCGGGCGCCGTCAAACCTCTTCTTGGCCTTTCATCCCCATTTCGACAAGCGACACAAAAAGAACGAAACATACGCAGAAAGCTTTGAATTGAATGCATGACTGCCAGGACGAACATGCCAATTAGGCGAAAGAGAAAGGACGTCATCTGCTCTCACGGTCGGAAGGTCCGCGCGCTCAAAAATCGCCTCTTACTACGCACGCATGGGTTCTTCGTACGTGCGTCCGCTACAGATTAATCCGCTCAACTCCCGCACATTGCAGCAACGACTGCAGCCCCCGCCGGCAGGTGAAGCCCCACCGAACCCCAGCATATAAACAAAAGTGTTATGTTACCGATTTCGACGCGTATCCTACTCACATTCATGGCAACGTACGTCCCTACAGCCAGGAATGCGGTCTTCTTGGCGTGCTGCACCGTCTGTCGCCATTTGGTGTTGCCGCCTCCGCTGGCGGCGGCGGCACCAGAGCCCTTGGCCGCGCCGCTGCCTTCCGCTGCGCCGGCCATCGAATCCGGCGACGGCTTGGCCCCTATGCAGTGCGGAGAGGAAAATGTTTATGCATGCTAAAACCGTGCATAGGGTGTATAGAGTGGACGGCCCGCCCCCAAGTCTCGGCTCCGAAACCACGAGACCTCACCACATGCACCCCCAACGGGCAGGGATGCACGTTGGCGGGTACATGTTAATCACATACATACAGGCAAGGATAAATACCCAACCAAGTAAAACGGCAGTGGTGGTATCCGTCAACCAGCAAGCATCAAGCACCGCCTGAGACGTGTATCCATGTTTTTTGGCGTAAACTTAGCGTCGGCGCTATTTTCCTAATACTTTTCAACATAAACATAAACGCGTTCATATACCCGTTCGCTCAGTACTCGCATTCTCCTACTGTGCTAACGAGCGCGAAGAGGGGCTGGTGTCAAGCAACTCACGTTGCGAAACAGCGCCAGGTCCGCTCTTGCTGCTGTACAACCGCTGCAGCGTCGCCACCTGCTCCGCCGTACGACGGGCCGCATCCCTGTGGTTTACACATCGTACGTAAATCCGTATGTATGTACATGATCCCCATAGATAGATAGAGAGAGAGAAGCGAAAGGAGAAAGGGCCGGGCGGCGGGTCAAAGATAACACAACAGTCACAGTCAACGATCAAGTAACCGACTGCATGAATGGCGGCGCCTGAGTTATGCCCCCTACGGCCGCCAGGTCATGTTTCTGCCCCGTCATCTCATGTTTGGCGGGACCGCGGTGTCGTTATTCAGCCCTTTCCTAGCTTAAATGTTTTAGCCTGTGAAGCCCCTGTGTCTGCCATGCGTCCATGCCTGACCCCCGCGCACATCGTCAACCATTAAGGCGCCCAATCCCTCGCCAGCCGCTCAGCTACTCGGCCAGCCGACCGGCCAGCGATACTCACAACTTGGCGCTTGATGCCTCCGAAATCTCCACAGCCTCCGTGGCCAGGGCCGCGATGTGGGAGTTGCGCAGGATGGAGGCGGAGTTATTGAAGGTCCTGCAGACCCACGGGTCACCAAGCCGGTGCACAGGATGAGGCGGACGAACGAATCCACGGGTCGCAGAGCGAGCGGACGGACAAACGGACGAACAAAAAGACCCGGAGGTTGCGGAACGGGCGGACGGACAAACGGACCCACGGGTCACCGGCTTTGCAGAATGAGGTGGCCGGACGGACGCACGGAACCCCATCCCCGCGAGATGCACAAGCATCTCAAATGCATGTATGTATATCTGTACGAATGCACGTAACAGCAGTAAAGTACGTGGCAGCGCACATCTCCGGGGCCCTCTCCACTCACCCCCGCTCGTTCATCTTCTGCCGCAGGTAAAAGTCCGCGTACTGCAAGTTCATCTGTACGTCGCCCTGCCCGCGACGGAGTGCCATAAGTTGGCGCCGCTTTGCCTGCGTGTCGAGCCATCACATCACATGGTACATGAATGGGTTTGGATGGCATGTTGAAAGGGGCTATCACATAGTCACTACTCAGATGCCTGTGTGTGCGTTTTGTGTTTTGTGTTTTGTAATGTGTTGTGTAGCACAAGCAATACAAAGAGTAAAGTGAAGTCCGTCTCCACAACAGTGTATATATGTATATATGTGTGTGTGTTACACCTCATTTACGTTACCCTAATACTATGCATGCATGTGGAAGCTAACCTAGGGTTCGCGGAGTCGAGCACAGCTCAGCGTTTAGGGTCGCAGGCTCAAAAGTACTTCCGACCTTACCAGTGTCAATACCGTGCCTTTCTGCACCACAGCTCACCTCCACCGTGCCCGTCCACCATCCCGGTGCATGAAGGTCCTACCCATTCCCCCCTGCACCACGACTGACATCACCATCACGACCATCACCACCGTCATTGCCACCACCACCACCACTACCACTACCACTACCACTACCACTACCACTACCACTACCACTACCACTACCACTACCACTACCATAACCACTACCATTACCACCACCACCACCAATAACAACAGCAACATGAACTCCATTGCTCATGTCCGATCAACACCCAACTCCGTGCACCGTTCATGCATTCGTCTTCCAGCATATACCCCTCAACCTCCGCATCGCATCCCGCCCCTACCTCCTTCTCCAGCTCCTTCCGCCCCGCTTGTTCGTCTTTGGAGAGCGCAGCTTCCATCTGGTCGCTGGTTTTAACGACTTGATTCTGGGGAAGGACGGGCGCGCGTGAAGGGGCCGTACGTGTACGGCCATTGCACACAATGTTCGGTTACAGACGAACAGCCCATTAAAGACGAGCAAGAGCGCAGCAACTGAGAGCCCTGCCACGAATGAACCTTGGCCTTTAACCCGCCGTATGCGTCCGTCCGTCCGCAGTGCACAAAACCCAACCCAGAAACGTGTGACAGCGCTGTGGAACAATTTTCGTTGCCCTTATGGTGTAACGCCTACATGCAATGCAATGCCCCCTTTGGGTACGGTAGGACCAGTGGGGCATTGCCACGCTGCGGGCTCTCTAAAATGCCCGCAGATCGGGCAGCAGCACCCATCGCTGCTCATCGCAGCAAGCACAAACACGCAGGAGCCAGCTGCAGCACGCGTATTTGCGGCGGCTGTATTTTCTCGTCCTTTTTCCAGCCCCCGAAACCATATTCCCGTGGATCAAGGAGGGGCCACCGGAAAGAAACCCTTCAATAATTTCTTGAGTGCCATGTGGAGTACAAATCAATAACTCCTGTCCATGCCATGGACCCATGGCGCAATCGCTTTTCCCCCCTGGAATACATGCTAAGGGTATTAAATGTAAGCTATGGGCGCAAAGTGTTTGCGTTGATTGGTACCAATCGGCTTGCGAATCTTCAAGGTGCATAGGTGACCGCGTTCGCACGACAAGCCGGCCGTACCCTAGATTTTTTCAGAAGTGAGATACTGAGCTTCTTAGTCCCAAGCCATACCAAGCCAAGCTGATGACAGACCGGGCATTTCAGAAGGTAGCAATGGACTCCCAGCAACCGTCTCACATTGCGATGGCTCGTTCCCACAGGACGTTCTTCAGTGGCAAACTGTGAAACCTAGCCTACGATTTATAACCCCGCCACAGAGCAATCAGTCAAGCTCCACCACCTACCCCCAGCCAGTCCAGCCGAGCAGTGAAGCTCTGATTCTTTGCAAGGGCAGGCCGGTCATAGCCTGCGGACCGGACATTACATTGGATTTTTAGTGTGCGTACACTGCGAAGCTTGGGCAGTACACAAAATTGGAATGGCACAGTAATTCGCAAGCAGCTGGCCCAGTTAAAGCAAGGCATGATGCCTGATGGGCTCAATAAAGAAGCATCTAAGGCTAATCAATGGTCAAAATTGCTACTGAATATGGTTTTCCCCGGTTTCGAGTAACATAGCTCATGGCGTCACGCCAAAAGGAGGACAGCAAAGTACGCAACACCACGCTAGCACAGTGATGCTGTCTGTGATTTGCCTTGGGGACAAAGATTTCGGAAGCACTTTAGGTTCCAGCTCTCAGCATGCACCGAGAAGCCAGCAACGCAACCCCAAATCGAAGCTGCTGCGGACACATAGCCAAATCGCCCGTAGCGTAGCATACCTCCAAGCTCATCGAGCTCCTTGGCGACAGCGTTCTTTGGCCCATTTTCCAGGAAGTCCTTACTTGCCGCGCCTCCCATTTTTTAGGTTAAGAGTTAACACATATCGGAAATAATTTACCAGATAGCTTGTTATCAAAAACGGTGCCAAGCAAAACCAGGGGCCCAAGGCGTCAAGGAGTTTCGTGAGCTGTTTAGTTTCCACTTAGAATACTAGATCGAAAATGTTACGCGTAAGTGATAACAATAATATATGGCTCTATTGTGTTGCGTTACAGCAATTGTTGCCCAGGAAGGCAAAATGTCCTATCCGTACACAGGAACCGTTGAAGTGGTAGGCGTCGAGCCCATCCAAGAACACGTCCTAGATTGCGCGCGAACTTTCACGGATGCGTCCAATATTTCGCGTGGAACTGCTTATACCACAATTGATTATAAGTCTGGTGATCATTGTTTTTTCTCAGCTCTATGGCCATCTGTTCCATTTCCCGGTTCATATTTACCGGTTCATATCAAGATCGCTTTCCAGATTTGCTTGAATTATTGATCCTTTCTCGACTAGCCAGGCTTTCCGAGCACGTTCGTGCCGACCGTTCTAGTTATTTCAGTTATGCGCAAACTCGTTCCCAAGCGAAGTTACACACCTTGAAGTTAGATCAGTGTTAACAACAACTTTGGATATTTGAATAATTCCATGGGAAACAAAACCAGTGGAAATCCTGAAATATCACCTTCCGACGATCACATTGACGTTCCTCCGAGGGATACCGAAGCGCAGGCGGGGACACCGTCATTGCAGCATGGAAGTTACACGCCTTCCGATTCAGCTGATCAGGAAACACCAACCGCCGATTCCACGTCGGCCGTCACCGCATCCCATGTCTTTCCACACATCCCACATGGCACATCCCTTGCGCGCAGTACTAACCCCATCAACCTGCCCGAAATTCCTAGGCCCAACATAAACCCCTCCCTGGACATCTGGTCCTGCCTGGCCTACGCCAACGCGCGCTTTGGATACCGCCTCGCCATCGTTGACCTGGCGCCAACACCGGTCAACGCGGTCGCGCCTGCATCCCCTGCGCCCTTCACACCGGCCGCGCCACCGGAGCTTGATCGCCTCCTGACCTATAAGGAGCTGCATGACCGGTCGGTGGCCGCAGCTGCGGCTCTGCTTGCCGCCGGCGTGCGCCGTGGTAGTCGTGTTGCCGTCATGCTCCGAAACTCAAGCGAGGTCCTGGAGCTGCACTTCGCGGCAGCGCTGCTTCGAGCTGTAATCGTCAACGTGGTAGGTTTCTTTTTTCTAGACAACACGGTGATTTTTCAAAGGTAGTAAATTGACCTCTTACGAGTCTATGATACGACAGCGAGGCAACTCTTGCTAGTCCGGCAGTACGGTACGGCCATTCTGGAAGGCAAACCGTATGGATCCATGTAGGTGATGCATGCCTTGATACGACCTAAGGGGAGGCGTGCTGCAGTTACAAATTTAAATTATCCTCATATTACTTCGCAAATGCTCCAAATCTGTACAGTTCATAGCAGAGATTTCCCAGCCCAAGCTACCAAAAGCAACGCAACACAGTTTTGGGTCGTGAGGCGGTTGTGTCTCGTTAACGAGGTTGTTATCGGCTAAGATAACGGTTTCACCGCTTTCACCACCCCACATCATGGCGTTTTAATGCCGTACACAACCCAAATCGTCACGACAGGTCTTCCGAAGCCTTTACCACCGTGCCTGCCCAATGGTTTGCTTCTTCCTCAGAACATCAATTTAGCACCGCCTGAGCTGTCGTACATTCTCCGAGACTCCGAAACCGAGATTCTCATCACGCACGCTGCTGAATTTGGAGCCACGGTTTCTGCAGCACTGGACTTCGCCACCACACAGACACCCAGTACGCAGCAGCTTACTGCTCCCGCTGCGAGCCCACCTTCGGCCGACTTCCACCTCCACACCATTTTCGTTGTCGATGATAGCAGCGCCGCCGCCACCGCGCGGCTACTCGCCAGCAGTGCCGTACGGCGTGGCAGCTTCATTCATGTATTGCCGTACCACAACGCCATCGCCGCTGCGCTGGCGACCGCGCCGGGCTGCAGCCCGGGGGAAGTGCGCGCCGCTGCCTTCACCGCTGCCGCCAACGCTCCGAATTCACCAACCTCCGATTGTACGGCTTCGCCGAGGACTGCCGCATGTCAAGATTGGGATCCTGACGATCCGTACCACATGTACTACACCAGCGGTACGACAGGACTGCCCAAGGGTGTCCTGCTGAGTCATCGCATCGTGATGCTGCACGCTATTGGCACCATTGCAGGTAGTAGGGTGCGCGGTGTGGAGTATTGGACGGGAAGGTTGCCTAAGTTGGCACCGGAAACCCACATGCACTTTAGGGCGAGGCTTTCCACCGCTCAACAACCGAGATAACCGCCCAACAACCGATACCGAAACGCTTAAAATACCGATACCGAAACGCTTAAATAGCCGAAACCAACGGCCTTCTCTGTGCAAGCGCCCCTCTCTACCCCGCTATACTCACCTCACCTAAGAAGCCATCCGTTTCCCGGGTGGACCGCTGCTGGTGTTCCACACACCTAGGGTGAAGGGCCCGACGTATGTTGTGTACAGCCAAACCACGTCATAATACACCTCCAGCGGTACGACAACAATATAGGTCTACTGGTACTGGTCCAAAAATTACAGACTAAACTATTCTGTGCGCCTAGTATAGTAATAGTTCATTAAGCAGGGAGGAACGCTCTGCTTTTTGACGAATATGATAGGCAATGTACGTACGTATGTACGTATGTTTTAAATGTTTATCCTCTCCTGCGCCGTGTGCTCATTGTGCCACCGTCAGAAATGCGGCTCCACGGCGGCGACGTGTGGGGCCACATCGCCCCACTCTTCCACCTGGTTGACGTGTTCGCGGTTTACTCCATCACCTTGGTCGGTGGCCGCCACGTCATCATGCGCACCTTCAGCCCCGCGGATGCTATCCTCGCAATTGGTGCGTGTTTTGACGTGTCTTTGTGTGCCTGTCTTTATGTTTAAACCCTGAGTCTGTATGTCTGCGCGTCTGTCCGTCTGTGTGTCTGTATGTATGTCTGTGTACGTGTGCTGCATGTGTGATACACGCCTTTCGCATGTTATTTACAACGCGGACGTGTGAAAACGCAGAAACTGAAATGATGGCCTGTTGACATGTCGGCATACGACTCGAGCAACCTTTCAAATATGAGAAATACGACACATACGCACAGATGCTCGTGTCTCCTTGCATCTATGATTCCCAACCCCCTCTCAACGCCAACCCGCCGTCCCCTCAGAGCGCGAGCGCATCACCGCGACCAACTTGGCGTCCACCATGCTCACCATGATTGCGAACAACCCGCTCCTGCCGCTAGCAAACACGTCGAGCTTGAGGGTGCTCAGCTGTGGGGGAAGCCCACAATCGCCTGCCATACTGGCGCGCGCAGTGGCGGCGCTGGGCTGCGAGATCTTCCTGTCGTACGGCATGACAGAGGTTTGTGGGAAGATCTCCATGAGCATCCTGCCGTACGGCTGGTGGCGCAGGCACGAACAGGTGGGCGGCGTTGCTGCTGTTGCTGTTGCTGTTGTTGCTGTTGCTGTTGTTGCTGTTGTTGCTATTCGGGCCCGTTGGTGTGTATGCGTATGTGTGTGTATGCGTATGTGTGTGTATGCGTATGTGTGTGTATGCGTATGTGTGTGTATGCGTATGTGTGTGTATGCGTATGTGTGTGTATGCGTATGTGTGTGTATGCGTATGTGTGTGTATGGGTATGTGTGTGTATGGGTATGTGTGTGTATGCGTATGTGTGTGTATGTTTGCGTGACGGGAGGAGCCGGTAAAGACGGAACGAAGAGAAAGCCGGACACAGATATGGCTGCGTGAGGTGTGAGGCGTGTTATAGCCCTGCAGGGGGTTGCTGGTGTGGTGGTGGGTGGGTGGTGATGTCACTGCCGTACCCCCCGTTTACACCCCCCCCCTCCGCGGGTGTTCTGGATCTTAAACCTGCAAAGCCGAATGTACGGCATCTCCTTGGTGATGGTGCTGATGCTGATGGTAGTGGTTGTGATGGTGGTAGCCGTGTGAAACGATGACTAATGAATGGATCCAACCATGACCCAGATCAGCAATGCAGCCTTGATTAGTTGTTTGACCCAGATCCAGATCCAGACCCTTCCCGATCCAGATCCCGCTGTGACCCAGATCAGCTAACACGTGGGCTCAAAAACATTTTGTATATTTGACGCGAATCCAGATCCTTTGCAATCAGCCGTACGACCCAGATCAACCGTTTGACCCAGACCAGCAACCACCACGCCATTCTGTTCCCATGGCGTCCCCCCGCGTCCTCTGCGCCGCTGACGTTCGGTTCCCTTCCAGGACGCCCCTGCCGCTGCGACCTCCGCGTCCTCCGCGCCTTCCGGGGCCGTCACTGGCGCCGCCACTGGCAGCGGTGCCGTCGGACACGTCGGTGACATGGCCACCCAGGCCGCCCTCAACCCCTCCCTGGACTTGGCGGTCCTCAGCTCCGCCCAGCTGATGGACCTGGTGTTCACGTGTGGTCGCCCATTTGTGCTCATGGAGGTGAGAACGGATGTATGGTAGGCGGTGAAGGCGGGGAAGGGGAGGGAGGGGAAAGACGAACCACAAACGAGTGAAGCTGCTGCCAGGGCAGGGGGGGAGGGTGGCGAGCTAGCTAGGGGCGAGGTGGGCGGGGAGGTAGGGGGAGGTAGGGGTATGCATACATAGCCCCATATGAGTCGTAGTAAAACTGTTTATTCACAATTTTCAGCCGCCTGTTGTGGCTTCACACATCCCCACATCGCTGGCCGGCGCAGGTGCGCGTCGTTGCGGAGGACGACCACGGCCACCAGCACGATGTGACCCCTGGCTCACAGGAAGTGGGGGAGGTGTGGTGCCGAGGGCCCACCGTCTTTGCTGGTGAGGCCGTGAAGGCAGGCTTTATTGGGTATAAAAATATGAAGTTTGCACGATTTACGGTAGAAAACCCGTTTGTACGATTTATAGTAAGAAACCCTAAAACAAAAACGATTGTTTTTCTTAGTTGTTACATGAAGATTGTCGCGTTGCTATGTCGGGTCGAGAGCCAACATAAATATTTAGCCTGCTGGTTGCTCAGTCAGTTCCTCTTACCTATCGCCGGAACCACCAAATTACCACTTCCTTGATTCGTGTGATACTGTGCCGTACCCAAGCAAGGCACCAAATGCTGTGATTCATTCAACATACCCGCCAGGTTTGTGTGCCTGTTTGTCTGTCCGTCTGTAATCCTCGCCTGTCCGGTGCATTCCCTTCCCAAACCCCCGTTCCACAGGCTACTGGCATCGCGAGCAGGCCACAGCCGAGTCATTCGCTCCTGGGGGCTGGTTCCGGAGCGGGGACTTGGCGGCTGTGGACGAGACGGGATACATCCGTGTTGTCGACCGCAAGAAGGACATGGTGGGAAGGAGGGGCCGGTTGTGGAAAAAGGAGGGTTTGGGGAGGGATGAAAGGGAGGGAAACAGGGGAGAAAGAGGGGAGGGGCGTCCTGCGTTACCGTACGAACAAGGCGCGAATCTACGTAGCAGAGTACGCTGACGTGAAGTAGTAGCCAGGATGTGGCTGTAAAAATTGGGCCTGAGAGTGGTTGCACAAATTGGGCCTGAGAGGAGAAGAGGCAGGAAGTGAGACGTGCGAAATGCACCGGCGGTGAAGGTCCTTAGAGAACCAACCGGATTTAACCATCCAATGAACCATTTTGCAAAGTACATGTCCTCGTCTGTCTGCATGTCTGTCCGCATGTCCTTGCTCCCCTCCGCTTTCTACTCGGGCCAGGATGTCCACCGCCCCTCATCCCTGCCGCTGACTGCCCGTCCTACCTTGCACCTGCCCCTGCGGTACATGTCCTGCGCCTGTCCCCTTCACCCCTCTAGATCCTCGTCGGCGGTGAAAATGTGTACTGCAGCGAGGTAGAGGCCGTACTGCAGGCGCACCCGGCCGTAGCGCAAGCGGCGGTGTTCGGACAGGCGAATGCGCTGCTGGGTGAGGTGGTGATGGCGGCCGTCGTGACGCGGCGCGACGCCGCGGCAACGGCAACGTTGGCAGCGGCGGCGGCGGCGGCGGCGGCGGACACATCTGAGGCTGATCTGCTGGGATGGTGCCGCCGGCGGCTGGCGCATTACAAAGTGCCCGCAAAGGTACGATATGTATGAGCTCGAGCATAAGGATAGCTCGAGCACAAGGATAGCTCGAGCATAAGGATAGAGAGGTCCGTGTGGGTATCACGCACACGACCCCGTCGTGGGAAGAAAGTGGGGCCACAAGTCGCCTAGTAGAGAGAGAGAGATCAAACAACCGGACACAGCCAGGCAGCCCCCTTCGTGGAAAGGAAGCCCCCACACGCCGCATGCAATGGCGGCCCGGGGGCCATGCATTTGTGTTGGCCGTGTATGGGGCCTGGGGGGGTTGTCATATCATAAGGATCACAGTCCAGGACGACTTGCCAAGCAAGCCTTGTCTCAGATTTCTTCTGGATTGCCGCAAGTGCAGCTAATCAGTGCAAAACTGGTACTCATGGTGCACGCACCTTTTCCGTGTTCGTGCAGATCCATTTTCTTGATCGGCTGCCTGTCACTGGCTCCGGCAAAGTGCTCAAGACAGAGCTCAGGAAGCGCTTCCAGGTCTCCTCGGCGGCCACGGCGGTAGTGGCAGCGGCTTCCGGGGGACTGTCTGCCGCTTCCTCGGTCAGTTCGACCGCCCCACGGGTCATTCCGCCGCCGCTGCCGTTGCCATCGCGCCGGTCGCCGTCGCCTGAAGTCGCCGAGGAGTCGCTGGCGGCGCCGGCGATGGGAGTGGAGACGCTTCGCCTCGCAGCAGCCATCTGCGCCGCATTTGCACAGCCAATGACGCCAGCGAGCGCCAGCGGCGCCACTGGCACTGGCGCTGGCGCTGGCGCTGGTGCGCGCACTGTCGGACCGTACGGCATCCGCGGTCTCCCGTTATCGTCGCTGCATAACCTCTCAAACCGAGACGTAACTTACACAATCGTTCTGCCGCCTCCGCCGCCAGCAGTGCCCGTTCGAGGTGCCGCGGCTTACAGCGAAACGACAAGTGACGCTCTGGCCAGGGCGCTGTACGGCGGCGCCCGCCATGTTGTCCTGATTGTTCCCGGACAGCCGCCAGCAACCCTTGGGCTACAAATCGGAACCGTTTCGCGTTTTCACGCTGGCGTGGACGTCCGAACGGTAGCGGTGGATCCGCGCGCGTGTCTGACCGACCCACGGGTCATTCGCTTTGCCGTGCTGTCATCGAAGCGTGGCATGCCGCCGCTAGGAGCGGTTGCCGCATTCGCTGTCCGTCGGGACTCCCTTGCGCCGGTGGTAATTGACCTAGTGGCGGCGCGCAGTGCGGCGGCGGTGGCGGCAGACGTGATCCCGCTTGAGGTACGGCAGCTGTACGATGCCGTACGGCGGGCGGTACCGAAGCTCCCCATCGTGCCACACCTCATGGCGGATGGAACTCAGATGCGTCCTCTGGCGGCGGATAAGCCGCTCGTGCTCCCATGGGCAGCAAAGGTGGGACCATTCACAGAGACTCCAGTTCCTCCTGGTGCTGCTGCTGTTGCGACAGCTGCTGCCGCCGCCGCCGCCGTCGCCGCCACCGCCGGCGGCGGTGGTGATCTGACACGTGCCGTCGCCTCAGCGCTGTCCGCTGGCGCCCGCCGGCTTGTCATCGTTACGTCGGACCTTCCCAGCGATTCTCTTTACTCGGAGTGGTCTGCCGTACAGCACATCGCTTCCGCCACTCCCGGCAATGTGCGCCTGGTGGCGCTGCCCCGCGGTGCCTTGCACAACGCCCAGCTGGCACGTTACTGTATCCTTTCCGCGACTCGTGACCTTGGCTCGCTATCCGGTATCCTTTTTCCAGCTGCTGTAGAAGGTACTGCTGCTACTGCGGTTGCTGTTGCAGCTACTGCGGCGCCGGCTGCGGCCGTTCCTACCTCCTTTCCCGCCGCCGCCGCCGAAGCAGCGGCTCTGTCGCGGCCGTCCGTGACAAGCGTGCTGGCGGAGGTGGTATCTGAGGTCCTGGGCATGGCGTCGCCGCCGCCAGGTGCGATGCCACTGGTGTCCGCTGGCTTAAACTCCTCCGCTGCCGTGCAACTGGTTTCTCGATTGGAGGACAGGCTGGGGGTACAGCTGCCGCCCACACTCGCTTTCGATTACCCCACCCTGGACGAGATGGAGGTCTTTCTCAGGGGCATTGACGGCGGCGAAGACGCCGCCTCAGCGCCGGCGACGCCGGCGGCGGCTGAATCCGCTGCCGCTGCAGCAACCCCACCCTCCAAGGACCAGCTCCTCCCTCGCGTCCTGCATATCGTACGGGAGGCACTTGGCGGAGCCGCCGCGCCGATGTTGTCGACGGACACGCCGCTCATGGCCGCCGGCGTCAACAGTACCGCCGCCGTCGGCGTGACCAACGCACTGGAGGCCGCCTTCGGGGCGCAGCTGCCACCCACGCTGGTGTTCGATTACCCGACGATTGAAGAGATTGCGAACTTTTTGGCGCAAGCTGGCGGTATCACGGTTGCCGACCAGCAGCAGCCCCAGCCGCCAGGTACGCTCCTCTAATATGAGTACATGTTTGTACACAACCGTGAGTTTCTTTCTTTGTGCTGTTACAACCTTCTTTTTTATTTTGAACGGCGTTGAACGGCGAAAAGAAGATTGGCATGAAGAAGATCGGCATTTTCATTAACCGGCTCTAAAGATGTCAAGCGGCATCAACGATCCGTCCTCCCTCGCATGGCACCATGGCACTGTATGGTATGGATAGCACCCCCTGCGGCACCCTTGTGCAGTTTCGGCGAGCCGGCGGCGTGTGAGGCCCAGGGAAAGCCTCAGTGCAATGCCGCACACTGTTATTGTATACTTTTGGTTTTAGCACCTGAAGCTGCGGTCCAAAGCCGCAATTGATGTCAGCTTGAAAGAGCCATCCGAACGAATTGCGATCTGCGGTGCTCTAAACTTCCCTCTTGTACTCCCAACACGAACCGGTATTGCGTATCCCCCTGTGTGCATTTTCTGAAGTCTCGTGATATAGTCTCGTGATATAGCATCCTGTAATGCCTGGGCAAACAAATGGAATGCGTGTCAACCCATTCGGGGCCGCCGCAGCTCCGCCGCATCCTCCAGTCGCAGCACCTTCGTCGTCATCGTCGTTGTCGCCGCCGCCGCCGTCATACGACGCCCAAGCCGCGGCGGCGTCACGCGTACGGGAGGTTGTGGCGGAGGTGCTCGGCGGCGCAGCGGCAACGCGTCTGGCTGATGATACCCCTCTGATGGCTGCAGGTGGGGACCATGTAGCCACTCTGCCCCCGAGTGCCGTGTGCTAAGTAAGGCACATGCAACTGCCAACTGCCAACTGCCCAACTACCCACTAGTACCCACACACCGGAGTGCTGGCGCTAACCCTGCGTAAATTATCTTAATCAACTGGCCCAATACAACTTGCCCCACGCCTTCCGCCTACCCGTATTTTTTTTGAAAGAAAGGATTCTTCCCTTCCCTTCCCTTCCGAAGCTCCACTTTTCCAGGGTCCTTAGGCAACAGAAGCAAAGAGATTGATACCCTAGGACAGAATCCCAAAGCTTAACGCTTAGGTTAGCTCGCTCGCTAGTTTACAGCCCCATATATGATGTGTGGGACAGGGGGGCATATCTTCACATGCAAGGCGAAACCCTGCCTTCCCCGGCATTTCGGGGCACCCTCATCCAGCCACCCTAGTCAACTTCTCAGTGGATCGCTCAGGTTCCGCACCCACCACCATCATCCAACGGAATCTGCCGGATCGAACTCCATTCCTGGTCGGCTCGCGAGTCAACTTTATCCCAGGTCACCACCGTCCATCGACTAGGGGCACTTTGCCTTCCACCATCGGAAGGATTTTCGACCCTGACAGGTCTCAATCCCGGGATCTCCCGGGGGGAATGGTCCGTTCTTTACCTGTAGTGCGATATCAAAAATGTTATTGAGCATGCGCCATCCGGGATTTGCACCCGGGCCGCTCGCGTATCTCCATGTAGATGTTTGGGAGGCGAGTATCCTGCTACTAGACTAATGGCGCAGATGAAAATATATTTAAAAGTTTTGTATATATATATATATCATTAATTGTGTGAATTTATAGATACATACACATATACACATACACCCCTACTTTGCCCACATCCGGGTCTTCCCTCGATCTATCGGCCTCCTCTTTTCAGGCCTCAACTCCTCCGCGGCCGTACAGCTCACTTCCTCCCTGGAGCGATCCCTTGGCGGCGTCCAGCTGCCGCCTACCCTGGCCTTCGACTACCCCTCCATCGCCGCCATCGCCGAGTACCTGGCCACTTCCGGCGTCATCCCGGCCCCACCCACACAGCAGGCCGCCGCTGCCACCATCGCCGCTGCTGCGCCCCCTCCATCATCTCTTGCAACGCCTCCGCGCAGCATGATGGCCTCATCCCGGGAGGCGCCGGGTCCGCCCGGGAGGGCGGCTTCTGTTTGGACAGCAGCGGCGGCGCCTACTGTGACCCGTGGGTCGGCTGGAAGTGGTGGCGTCAACGGGAATGTGTTGGTCATCACGGCGGCTGCTAGTCGCGCCCCTGGTGGGACGGTGGCGAGTCCTTGGGCGGGCGCGTCGGAAGACCGGACGACCCGGGTGCCGCTAAGCAGGTATGTGTGCGTATGTATGTGTGTGTTTTCGTGTGTGTGTATGTGTGTGTGCGTGCGTATGTATGTGTGCTCAGCTGGCGGACCGTGCACGTGATCAGCATGGTTGGCCAGCTGGCGTGGGGTTCACGGGCGTGTATCTGGAGGAGTACGTGTTTGCGTATGTGCGTGCTCTCATCACACACGGAGCACGAGAAGCAAGGGCAACGCAACTATAATCGGTTTCGCGTTGCCGCGGGTGATGCATAAAACAAGTGGGCAATGCCAGGGCTAATAAAGCAGGCAACCCAAACTAAATTTTTCACCGTTTCGTTCCGTCGAGATCTGTCAATCTTGGTTTGCGTACTGAATCCTTCGAAACAAAGCTTCCGTACATTTGTACATCATTCGTACGCAGGTGGGATCTTGACCGCCTGGAGGAGCCCACGCTGCCCGCCCAGCTGGGGTGCTTCCTTGCAGACGTCGAGGCCTGGGACCCGACACCGTACGGCATCAGCCGCGCTGAGGCCGTACTGATGGACCCGCAACAGCGGCTATTGCTGGATGCTTTTTCCGAGGTCCTCATTTCTGACCGGGTACGTATCCTATCCTCCTGGAGAGGGAGTGTGAGAGGGTGTTCTGTGCGCATCAATGCGGGCCTGGTGATGGTGGTTGTGTTGGTGGTTGTGTTGGTGGTTGTGCTGGTGGTTGTGCTGGTGGTTGTGCTGGTGGTTGTGTTGGTGGTTGTGTTGGTGGTTGTGTTGGTGGTTGTGGTTTGGGAATGGAAGAAGCATTTGTGATAGACGATTATTGTGGTTTTGCTTCATTTCCTGCATTTTGGGTTCCGTTTCGCATTTTGCGTTCGTCTCCGGTGCACCCTGCGCATGGACTTTGCTTTTTGCATTCTTTCTGCATGATGAGACAACAACATACGACGAATGTTTTTAAAAACATTACGTTGGCAGCCGTTTGGGTTACACGCCGTTCATCATCATGACATGCGCCGTACGCGTTGACTTCCCCCGAAGAGCCACCGAAGGAAAGCCACACGGAGCATGAGCGCAGAGTAGCAGGGAGAGGCGAATGATTCCTCTGTGCCGGTCCCATCTCGCACCTCATGGTGTGACGTGTCCTTTGTGTGCTGAGAACTGTGATCCAGCAAGCCAACAAGCCAGCAAGCCAGCAAGCACAAATGAGGTCTTGGTATTGGTATAGAAGTAGATTTGTCTGAAAACACGATAACGTGTGCAGCTGCTCAAAATGCTAGATGATTGAGCTGTGTTTTTTGCATTTTTTTGCATAATGCGTGTGTGTCACTTTCGTGCCGCAGCTGCTGTCACTCGTCGAGTAACACACAGCTTGAGGAGCTCGGATTCATGATTTGCTTATGTTGGTATGGTTTTCGGTTTTCGGTCCCACAGGCTGCAGCCGCCCCGTCGCCGGCGTCTGGCCCCACCGCCGCCGCCGCCGCCGCCGCCGCTGCGTCCATGGGCATCTTCGTGGGTGTCTCGCAACTTGAGTATGCCAGGATGACTTTGGAACAGAAAATCGACGTCAACGCCTTCTACGCCACCGGCGCCCACCTCTCCGTTACCTCCGGGCGCCTGTCGTACACCTTCGGCCTGCGCGGCCCCGCCGTCACTATCGACACGGCCTGCTCGTCCAGTCTGGTTGCCGTACACCTGGCGGCGAGGTCGCTGATGGCAGCCGAGACGGCGACCGCAGCGGCGCTTGGCGTCAACTTGACGCTGGTTAGCAGCTGGACGCAGGTCGGGTGCCGTACTATTAATGTCCAACCTGTTGTGTACAGTACATGATGATATAGCTTCCAGCCACAATACAACGTTTCAAGGAATGAGGCTCAGCGCCTCTCCTCTCACCCACTTTCCCACTCCATACCCACACATAACAGTGACGTTTGAGTTAGTTGACCTTTACTCACACAGCCGGGCAAGGGATGGAGTTCGTCCGGAAAGAACGGCGAAGCGGAAGAAGCGAATGTCGGTACGGGTTGTTGAAAATCAGAGTTACAAGACCTGCAGGTGGCGAATAAACCCGTACACTGTCGGGTTTACGCGTTACCTGCATGCCTTCGAATGACAAGACCCGTATGATCCTCCCCACGCGACCCCGCTGTATTCCCCTGTACACCACCTCCAGGCCTGCAACCGCGCCGGAATGCTCGCTGAGGATGGCCGCTGCAAGACCCTCGACGACGCAGCCGACGGCTACGTTCGATCTGAGGGTATAGGAGCCCTCCTGCTTAGGATGCTACCGGCAGCTGGCTCCTCAGCATGCGGCCGCGGCGGCGCCGCCGTTGCCCTGCTGGCCGGCACCGCCGTCAACCAGGACGGCCGCAGCAGCAGCCTCACTGCACCCAACGGCCCCGCGCAACAGGTACTTCCGGTGATGTCGAATTTGTGCCACCTAGCCTTGCGCGTTCTCTTTGTAGGGTGCTCTAGGATTTTCCAGTGCATGTTCGTAGGATCTGTTTCGCGTGGTTGGACGACTCAGTCGCATAGGAAAACCTAAAAAAGCGTTTGTATTTGCTCTTTATTTGCTGTATCACAATGCTCGTGCTTAAGATGCGAAGGTTTCTCAGTTTACGAAAGGCAAGGAAGGGTAAAATTAAGTAAGAATAAGAATGATTGCACACTCCACTCCAACCCTTAATTTTTTCCCGTTAGTCTTTCTGCATCATGTATGGAAGGTATCCTAGGGGCCCCCCAGCCATGCCGTATCCCGAGCCATGCCGTACCCTGATCCATCCCTTGCACAGTGTTCCCGGCTCGGATGACCGCGGATGTCATCGCGCAAGCCTTGTTGCCCCCAAAACGGCACAGGTTGACCACGACCCATCCACCCTTGCTTGCGCAGGCCGCCATTCGTTACGCCTTGGCGAGTGGCGGATGCGACCCGCGGGACGTATCGTGCCTGGAAATGCACGGTACCGGCACCCCGCTGGGCGACCCTATCGAGACGTATGCCGCCGTCACGGTATACATGCGCAGCGGCGGCGCCGCCGCCACCGCCACCACTACTGGGTTGGCCGCGGCGGGCCGGACGGGCCCTGCGGAACGGCAGTCGGGCGAGTCGCTGCGAATAACCGCCCTCAAATCGCATATGGGCCATGCGGAGCCCGCTGCGGGTAAGTACGGTGCCGGGTGTAAAACAAAACCAGCCTGTAAAACAAAACCTGAATGCTTGCGAAGTCTTGGGAACGAGAGCCGATATTATCATGTTTTTTCCATAACTTGACTGGCCTGTATTAATAATTTAAATTAGAGGAAAAATGCACTTCAACAAATAAGTTTTGGATTTCTACTCCGTAACAGAAAATCCTATGGAGTGTTGAGCGCAAGAATTCGTCTTTGGGGGCATCCAGGTTGCGTGCGTCATGTCGCGTACTTGCCCAAGCCGTCCCAACCTCATCCCTTTCGTTTCTAGGCGACTCACCCCTTGTCCCCCGCACACGCCATTCCGTGTCTTCATTTTTCCTCCTAGGGCTGCTGGGATTGTTACGACTGGGCTGGCAGGTGCAGCATTTGGCCCCAAAGCCGCTCATGCAGCTGCGTAACCTCAATCCCCACCTACATGCCACCCTGGAACTGGCGAATTCATCGGGCCCTTCTGGCGAGCCGTTGGTGCTGCTGCCGCGCGCCGGGGCCCCGTGGGTTACCACCAGCTCAGCGGCACCAGCTACGGAATCCCTGGAGTCTCTCATCGCGGGTGTCAGCGCCTTTGCGTTCCAAGGCACCAACGCGCATGCGGTGCTGGCATCCGCGCCTCCGTCAATGGCGGGTGCGGCAGCGGCAGAGGTGGCCCCGCCGACGTGCGATGCCGCTGCGACGTTCGCGCCCCTCGCGACGGCGACGCGGCACTGGATTCACCCGGTGCCTCATCCTCTAGTGGGGGCGCTGTGGACGGCGGTGTCGGAAGCGGGTGGGCGACGTGTTTTGGTGTCCGAGTGCAGGTACGTGTACGAGTGGGTTGGGTTGGTGGTTTACCGATCGGGACTATCGTGCACACGGAATGATGTATTCACTTACACACGTTCATTCACTACTTTCACTTCTAAACAATAGACTAATTGACAGGTAGAAAAGTGATGCAGGCAGACAGGCAGACCGACAGGCAGACCGACAGGCAGACAGGCAGACAAGCAGACAGGCAGAAACGTTTGGTATGGAATGTATTGTATACAGATTCGCTGCACCGAAGCTGGCGACACAAGCTGTGGAATCAGGAAATGGTTGTGATGTTGCAAGTAATTGATGGAGGTCTACCAGTTTTTCGCCTCTCCATGTGCTAGCTGCACCACCACCCTGGCCTCAGTCAACTTCGGCCCTTCATCCCTCCCCGCCTAGCACTTGATTGATCGTAGCCATGAGCCATGAGCGAGTCTTATTTGGAAAGCTATGCTGATTCGACCTCGGCTGTTTGGCATTGCCTACCCATCCCAGGCTGTCTTCCCTGGCGCGACTGGCATATTTGCGTGACCATGTGGTTTCGGGGCGCGCCCTGCTCCCCGCCGCCGCCATGTTGGAGCTCTGCCTCGCGTCCGCCGCCACCGCCCTTGCCTCATCTTCAGAAACGGCCGACGTGCAATGGGGCATCTCCCAACTCACCATCCTCAGCCCGGTCATCCTGCCGCCGCCGACGTCTCAACAAGGCGGCAATGGCAGCGGCAGCGGCGATGACACTGTCGTACAGTGTCATGTTGACACGGCAACAGGCATGATGCAGCTTTCGTACGGTGTTGGCGGCAAGGCTGCGGTGCCGTCTTCGGGCGGCGGCGGGCGGCGGCTTGTTGCAAAGGGTACGGTCACTCGAGCTCTTTCCGGCAGCGTCACGCCGCCGACAACCGCTTTTGCCGGTAGCGGCATGGCTACTCTCCCTGGAGGCACCGCAGCGGTAGTAACCTCAGATTCGAAGGCCCTGATACGCCTGATGCACCTACTTGGCATCGCTACTGCGGCTGCAGCTACTGCGGCTGCAGCTACTGCAGCTTCCGTCATGACGGGTACACTGTGCCAAATTGGCGCCGCAACCGACACGGCCGCCGCCGCCGCTGTGCCGTACGCCGGCAGCAGCGCCCGCCAGGCTCCAGCAGAGGAGGGTTACCTCTCCCGCCCCGCTGACGTCGATGCTGCATTCCATCTGGGCGTGCTACAGCCCGGCAGCGGCGCCAAGATCCCCGTGGCTGTAGCTTTCTTCACCGCGAGGCCGCGCCGTGCTGGCGCCATGGAGGGCGGCATTTGGGCCAGCGCCGCTGCCGGCCAAGCAGGCAATAGGCAGCTGCCGTCGCCATCGCCATCGCCGTCCTCACCACAGCTGCAGCAGCGCCGCTCAGTTAGCAGCTTCTACCTTTGGGATGCAGATAGTGAGGAGGGAGGCGCGCCAGCTGTCATAATTTGCGGACTGGAAACCGTGGAAATGCACCGCGGCGCCAGCACCGCCGCCGCCAGCACGGCAGCGACAGCGACAGCGACAGCGACAGCGACAGCGACAGCGACAGCCGCGGAGGAGGCCGACACAGGTCCGGGTGCAACAGCCGCCAGTGAAGAAGCTGTGCCCAGCGCTGCCGATGCCATGTACGAAACTGAGTTCGTTGTGGACGAGCCGGCACAAGGTACGGCATCGGTCATGGGTACCGATCTGCTAGCGGCTGCCGCCATGGCTGCCAGCCCTTCAGTGGAGGTTGTGGCTGGAGCAGGCGGTCGTGTTAGGGAAGGTGGAGAGAACGCCGCGGTTCTGTACGTTGCTACAGATGGCGGCGCGGCGGCGGCGACCGCTAGTACCTTGAGTTTCCTTCAGGGAGCTCAGAATATTCCCACCCTGGAGGGCATCGCTGGGTCTATAGTTAGGGGCTCCGCCGCCAGCAGCGCCCGCGTACTTCCGCCCTCTGTCGCTACCGTCGCTACTGCGGCCGTCGACGGCGTCTTACGTACGGCAGCAACCGAGATCTCCAATCGTCGCGTGACGCTGACGCTCCGCGCGACGCCGTGTACTGCTGCCGTCTCGGCCGCGGACTTTATGCATGGTCAAGACGGAAGTGGCGGCGTGCTGGACGCGTTTGGCATCGGGCTTCCAGAGGGAGGCGCCGTCGCGGTACGGCAGCTCCGTCACATCGCCGACGCACCGCCGGCGGGACCAGAGGCTTTCCAGATCGCCGCCCAGCCGCGCGGCGCCTTCGCCAACCTGGCAATCTTGCCGACGCCGCTGGCGGCAGACGGTGTCAGCACCCCGTGCGGCCCCGGCGAGGTGGCGGTGGCGGTCAAGGCCGTGGGCCTCAACTTCCGCGATGTGCTCAACGTTCTGGGCATGTATCCGGGAGACCCCGGACCCCCGGGCAGCGACTGCGCGGGCGTGGTGCAGAGCGTAGGTAGGTATCCTCCGGTGGGAAGATGTGGTCCACCGTGTTTGTCTGTCTAGTTGTCTTGCTTGTTGAAGCCATGGAATGTGGTGTGCGAGGCGTCCGTGTGCTGCGGTGCCGCGCTGACCACCTGGACTCTGACCACCTTGACCCTGACCCTAACACCCTGAGATATAGATGTGTGGATAAGGCGGATAAGTCAGGTCAGCGCGCAAGGTAGCGCACAGGGGCATCAACCCAGTTACCCTCTTTTTAAGTTCAAACAAACACATGAAGGTGAAGGTGAAAAGGGGGCGATTTTATGTGATGTGTGGATTTGTGTGTGCGGTGTGTGCGTTTCAGCTCTCCAGTCCTTCCCATTCCATCTCAGAGCTCTCAGTATTTTGTGTGTCTTGGCCGAGGCCCTTGGCATCTGGAACAAAAAACGTAAAACTCTCAATCCCTCTCAAACCCTAAAAAACCCTAAAAAACCCTAAAAAACCCTAAAAAAACCCTAAAAAACCCTAAAAAACCCTAAAAAACCCTAAAAAAACCCTAAAAAACCCTAAAAAACCCTAAAAAACCCTAAAAAACCCTAAAAAACCCTAAAAACCCTAAAAACCCTAAGTGCATTCCTCACATTCCTCGGGAATATGAGAGGTCGGAAGCGCTTGTGGACGCGTGTCTTCTCCAGCAATAGCCCGTTAGGGATGCTTCCTGGCGGATAATGCGTGACCTTATATTGCGTGACCTTGTTTCACCTTATATTGCATGACCTTATATTGCATGACCTTATTATATTGCGTTTGCGGTGAGCTGCATGCAGGTCCTCCTTCTGGTTCCCCCGGACGCGGGGTCGATCTCGCGGTGGGTGATGCCGTGTTCGGTCTTGCCCACGGGTGCATGGGCTCCAGAGCGGTGGGGCCTGCTGCCATGCTGGTGCCCCTGCCACCGCACGTGACCTTCGCCGATGCCGCATCAGTGCCAACGGTAGGTGTGTGTGTGTGTGTGTGTGTGCAGGTACAAATATATATGAAGGTTTAGAGGAGTCGCGGGTTATATAGCTTAACCCGCGACCGCGACCGGGACCCCCCACGAACTACAAACTTATCACGAGCCGTGAGGTTCAATCTCTAGAATTATTATAGAGGGCCAGGAATACCTTGTTTTCTGATCATTGAGAAATGAGCAAGCATCCCCCGGCTGCTGGTGGCCCTGCTGTGTACTTTGGGCGGTTGGGGTATATGCACGTGCCATCTGCCTGCCCACTGTTCAGGTGTAAACATATGAGTCACGGTATGGAAATAAAAATTATTGTGGTTTTTGACCTTGGTTCCATTGGACCATTAAGGAGTCAGTCAGTCAGTCAGTCGCGTCCGTCGGGACCCGTGTCCTCGCGTCCTACTATTAACCCCTCACCAGGCTAACGGTTCGGTTGACTATTCCGTTGTTTCTGGTGCTGCTGTGCGACTGTTTCCCCGCTACGCGCAAAGGAATGAAGGGTTTGTGTGGAACCCCGGGATATCGTCGTTTGGGGGTTAGTGTGCTGCCATCCATCGTGCTGCCATCCATCGTGCTGCATGTTTGTTGCCACTGACTGATGACTGTTACCTCAGCTTGCCCTTTGCCCCCGACGTCTTCGTTAAGAGGGAGGGCGGGGAGGGCTGGCGCGTCTCTATCTTGTAAATAGGGTTTAGTAAACTAGACCCTATTCACAAACAATCTGGCGCGGCGTCTCGTTGATTTTTGGTTTGGCACGCGTCAGCGCCATCCAGGTCTCATCCAGGTCTCCTCTACAGATGTGAGGTGGTGATAACAGCCCCGCCGGTGCCGATGCCGATGCCGTATCGATCCGGGGAACTGAAGGGGATGAATCAAAGTCTTCAACGTCTGTGTAAATAAGTGTGCGAGACGAAAATCTCCATCGTTCCTTCCGTCCGCTTCGCTCCACACCCGACCCCACCCGCCTTGCAGGTGTTCGTTACTGTGGTGGCCGCACTGGAGGCGGCCGCGGGCGTGCGCCGCGGGGACAGGGTGCTGGTGCACGCTGCAGCAGGCGGTGTGGGTTTGGCAGCGCTGCAGGTAAGTCGAAGTTGTCAAGGAAGTATCAGAGATCGGTCGCTCGGAGGAAAACGGAAAACGGAATGGATTGCGCTGTACGCACGCTTGTCCAGGGCGGCCCGGCACGGTCGCTGCTTTGCCCTCATGGGCCCCCTCTCGGGCTTTAGCGGGCACCCCAGCATTCGTGTGTAACCTGTAACTTGTAATTAACTGCATTCGCGCCGCCGGGGAACCGGTCTTAAAGAGGTTATGGAGAAGTTCGATCTAGCGATTCTGCTCAACAAATGATTTGTCGCGCGGTCTCCTTTCTTTCCAACTGCTGGTGCGTGTGATCTCTCTGCGCCAGCTGTGCTCATACAGCTTTTGATACATACTTTGCCTTCGAGCGGTGCAGTGTATTCTAGTAGTTTTGGCGAGCCTCGCCCGAGAAAAAGAGGATATGGGCGTTGTGAACGTGTGGCTGGTACTTGCAGGTCATTCGCTCGCTGGCCGCAGTGCCGTTCGTCACCGCCGGTGGACCCGTCAAGCGCTTGCTTCTGCGTCGTGAAGGCGTCGCTGCTGCCGCCGCATCCCGCGACACTTCCTTCGTTGAGCCGCTCCTGCTGGCCACAGCTGCAGCTGGCCGCGGTGGCGAAGGGCTTGGGGTTGATGTCGTGCTGAACAGCCTGACCAGCCCCGGCATGGTGTCCTCTAGCCTGGCGCTGCTGTCCCGCGGCGGGCGGTGGGTGGAGATCGGCAAGCGCGACATCTGGTCGGCCGCGCGAGTGCAGAGCGAGCGGCCCGATGCGCGCTACGGCCTACTGGCGGTGGACTTCATGCCGCCGGAGGTGCGTGAGGGTGCTTGGGGGCCATGCTGGAGAAACGAGAAGTGTGATGTTGATATACCCTGCAGTTACCCCTGCACTGCACCCAATTTTCTTTCAATGACCACCAGCATATGCTCTTACCAACTTCTATATAACAGTTTTAGAGCATTCAAACACAGGCAAGTTACACAAGTTACGCACGAGTGGGGGGGGGAGATACTCTTACCAGTGTTGGGATGCCTCTTCCGTCCAACCGATATATTCTGTTCCCCAATATTTTTTGCTGTTGCGGCACGTGAGCTCCTATCGCCCCGGATAGGTCGCTCCTGCCGACTGCAATAATAATATTGGACAATCCAGTATTGCTGTTCCAAAAACACACCACCTTATCACTTGCTTGTCAGTCTCGACAACGGCCCTCAGTCTCGACAACGGCCCTCTTTGATCCCTTCCTATCTGACGGACCCTGACGGCAGGTCCTGCACACCAAGCTACAACACGTGGCGTCGCTGCTGGCCCACCAAGCCATCACCCCGCTCCGGAACCTCTCCTACCCGCTGGCAGCAGTCGCCACCGCGCTGCGTGCGCTCGCCCAAGCTACCCACGTTGGCAAGGTCGTGGCTTACGCGCCACCTGCTGCAGCACCTGTAGGACCGACCCACGGGTCTGTCCTGTCGCGCTCGCGAGTACTGGTGACGGGAGGTACTGGTGGCCTGGGCCTGCTGGTGGCGCGATGGCTGGTGGGCTGTGGAGTCGTGGGCCATGTGCACTTAGTTAGCCGCAGCGGCCGCGTTGCCGCCGCCGCCGCCGGCGGCGACGAGGGCGCGGCGCTGGCAGGCGTGCTGCTGGGCGGGAGCGGGGTGTCCGTCACCATGGAGGCGCTGGATGTAGCTTGCGCAGAGGATGCCCGTGCGCTGTGGCATCCGCTGAGGCGGTGTGGCGTTGAGGCCGCAGCTGAGGAGGAGGAGGCTGGGGAAGTGGGGCTCGGCGGCGCTTGTGCTGTCCGCTGTGGCGGCTGGGATGCTGTGGTGCATGCCAGTGGCGTGCTGGCGGACGCGATGCTACCGAGGCAGACCTTTCGTGGAGCGCGGCAGGTGAGCAGAGACCCGGATGGAGACAGCGCTGGGGTTGCGTCTTGAACTACAATTTTATGCTTTTACACTTCTATTTTCGTTTTTGGATAACTGGTAAGTGATGTTGTCGAGTGATATATAAGGGAGAGACGACACACAATACACGCTTGTATATGTGTAACACCATGTTCGTTCATCATGCATGTATGTCGGAGGAGGAAAGCGCGGGAATTGCAGGTCGTAATCCACCGCTGGCTGAGGCCCACGTATCGTATCATCACCACGAGTGTCATTACCACGAGTGTCAAATACGTTATAGCCCAACTGGCGCCCAACCGCATTGCCATGCGGTCGTACAGCCATAAAAAACAATAAACACGCACTGCACTCCAACAGGTGGCTGCCCCCAAGCTCACCGCCGCCCAGCCGCTGGCTTCCGCCGCTGTTGCCGGCTCGCCCCTGAGCCAGCTGGTGCTGTTCTCCTCCGTGGCTTCGCTTATCGGCGCGGCGGGTCAGGCCAATTACGTGGCCGCCAACGCGGGACTGGACGCGCTGGCGGAGGCGTGGAGCGAGGCGGGTGCGTACCGTCCATGCAAAACCGTTCAAGCGGGACCCGTTATCCAGTTACAACCACCAAGGAAATTGTCAACCGTCGGATGCTGCTGTATTCGGTCCTTGTCCCCATCCTCTTGTCCTCATCCCATCCATGGGAAGCAACCTCAACAGGAATAACCAACCACCCTGCATTTTCCTTGTCATCCCTTTTTGGCCTCGTTTTTGTTGTATAATAATGAATGAAATGAGATGGCGTCTTCCCTCCATCCATACATGGAATGCAGGCCACCCCGTCATGGCCATCCAGTGGGGTGCCTGGGCCGGCGGCGGCATGGCCAGTGCGGCCGTCATATCCCGACTGGAGCGTATTGGCCAAGGCGTGCTGCCGCCAGCGGTGGGCCTGGCGGCACTCGCTCACGCGCTGGGCGCCGCGGCCGCGAGCGGCCGCGGCGCCGCCGTACCGCTGCCGTTACCGCCGCCACCACCGGCGGCGCGCGTCGTCACCGTCAACCCATTCCGCTGGGCCAAATACCTGTCGCAGCACAGTCGGGAGCACCCGTTGTACGGAAGGTTTTACGGCAAGCGGAAGGTGCAGCCAGCGTCGCCGTCGCCGCTGCCGCTGTCGACGGCTGGATCACCCGCCGCTGTGGCTGCGGCAGCGGCAGCAGCACAAGAGCCTGCTCGCTACAGCCGGGAGGTGGTGCGGCGGGAGGTGGAGTCGGCACTGGTGGAGGTTTTGGGGAGTGCTCTTCCCGAGAATGAGCCGCTCATGTCGGGTAAGCCACGGCGGGTGTGAGCAGTGCGGCGACAGTGGTTGTCGTGTTACTTCGGGTTTATTATTGATTGCCCTTGCTGCCACTCGCCACTCCCTGGGACTGAGGAAGCACCCTAACACCGAACCTGCGAAGTGACACGGCGTACTCTATACCTTCTCTTCCTTCCTCCTTTCCTTCCTTTGCTAGTGCTGCTTCTGCTGCTTCTGCTGCTTCTGCTGCTTCTGCTGCTTCTGCTGCTTCTGCTGCTTCTGCTGCTTCTGCTGCTTCTGCTGCTTCTGCTGCTTCTGCTGCTTCTGCTGCTGTCAAGTCACCACGACGCGCTTTGTCATTTCCGTTTGGTTGATTGTCGTTTTCCATATGACGGACATTTGGCTAGCCTGCACCCAAGCAAGCATCCGCGGTGTAATAGTTCTGCGCTTGTATAGTTGGTACTAATCGTACTGCTCTCGTACTGCCGTACCGTCTCCGAACCTCCAGGCGGGCTGGACAGCCTTGGCGCCGTGGAGTATGTCAACTTGGTGTCGCGGCGGCTTGGAGGAGTGCCGCTGCCCGCGACTCTAATTTTCGACTACCCCACCACTGCCGCCATCACGCAATACTTGGCAGACAAGCTGGCGGCCGCGGCACCGCCAGCGGCGGCGGCGGCGGCGGCCGCTGCGCGCATGGCGGCGCCGCTGGCGGACGCAGATGCCGCTGCAACGGACTTGGACTTCGTGCAGCAGTTGGTGATGGGGTACGGCATGGGTGACCCTGTGCCGCCGTCGGCGCCGCTGACGCCGGCGGGTGGCGCTGTCTACCCCAATGTTCCAGCTACCGTTGTCGGGGTCCTTGCTTACGAGATGGCACCACTGCAAGAAACTGCTGCCGCGGCCGGCGCCGATGCGGCCTGGATAGGCAGCGGCCGCCTGCCGATGTACGACAACATCACTCCGGTGCCGCTGGAGCGCTGGGACCGTACGACAGTGCCTGGGGAGAACGGCAACATGGCGATGCAGTTTGGTGCCTTCCTCGCGGGGGCCGCGGACTTCGACGCTGCCGCTTTCGGCCTGTCGTACAGCGAGGCGATGGCCATGGATCCGCAGCACCGACTCCTGCTACAGCTCGCCGTCTCCGCCAAAATTTCCGCCGGTAGCACTGCCGGAGCCGCCGTACAAAGCCGTACAGGCGTCTACCTTGGTATCTCCTGGACGGAATACCACCGCATCTGCGAAGCCCATGGCGCGGTTTCGGGGCCGTACGCTTCGCAGGGTGCCGTACTTTCCGTGGCCGCCGGTCGCATCAGCTTCCACCTGGGTTTGGGCGGGCCTTCCCTTGCTGTCGACACCGCCTGCTCGTCCAGCTTGGTAGCCGCAACGCTTGCATACGAGTACCTTAAGGCTTCGGCACCTGGGCCGACAGCACCAGCGGCGGGGCCGCGGACTGCCGCAGCGGCGAGGGAGACAGGAAGTGGAGGGGCGACGGCGCTTGTCGGCGGCATCAACATGATGCTGTTACCGAGTACGACAGCCATGTTCCAGCGTGCAGGTCCGTACATAAAACCCTTGTTGCATCTGCGGGCGGCTGCTGAAACCAATATTTACATCATGCGTACAATGGACGCTCCAGATGCTCCAGCAGGATCCTTGACAATTCGAGGCTCAGGGACGGGCCGTAAGGGGAATTCATTCAGACCGGAAGGGGAATTACAGTGTAATAAAACACATAGTGTGAAACCCATATAATATTTATATATTATTTATAATATGCATGTATATATGTTGTTACAGGGTGGTTAACTTCGCCAGCGGCCCCCTTTCCCGGGGCAGTCCCTGCTCTCCCCTGCTAGAGGGGCACCCTAATCCGTCACCCCATCCGACTTCAGAATGTATTTGTTGGGTTCGGCAACTCACCACCAGCATCCAACCAAATCTAGCGGATCAACGGCGCATCAACTTAGTTCCCGGTCAGCTGCAAGTTGATATTATTACGTCCTACATCGTCCATGTGATGGGGGGCCACCTCCCATTTCAACACTCCTCAAACACCCGAGGGGCCGGCAGGCGGATTTGAACTTAACCTCTGCCAGCCGCCCGCAATGTATGTTTACAAAATGGCAGTCTGCTGCTTATCATCATCCCGGACGTATCCTTGCAAATGTAATTGTGACATACATGGCACATCTACAGCAAACCTTACTGCGGTGGCTGTGATGATGATTTTGCATTTCTGCTCCTCTGTATCCTCTGCAGGCATGCTGGCGCAGGACGGCCGCTGCAAGGCATTGGACGCCGCCGCTGACGGCTACGTGCGCGCAGAGGCCGCCGGCATGATGCTGCTGCAGGCGCTCTCTAACGCAGAGCACGCCGCCGGCGGTGCCCGTGCTGGGCAGCCGCCGCCGCCGCCGCTGGCGGTGTTGCTGGGCGCCGCCGTCAACCAGGACGGCCGCAGCAGCAGCCTCACCGCGCCCAACGGCCCCGCGCAACAGGGCCTTATTCGTGCCGTGCTTCACGCCGCCGATGTCGCGCCGGCCGCCGTGACGGCGTTACAGATGCACGGCACCGGCACGCCGCTGGGTGACCCCATCGAGGTGGGCGCAGCCTTGGAAGTCCTGGCGACTAAGTCAGCGTTGCCGTACGATCGCTTCCCTGTCACGTCCCCCGACGGCGCCGGCGGCGATGCCGTGAGGGCACTACAGCTGCTGGCAGCCAAGAGCATGCTGGGCCATGCGGAGCCCGCGGCAGGCATATCCGGTTTGTGTTTTGCCGTACAGCAGCTCCTGAGTCGCGCAGTAGCACCCATCCTGCACCTCCGTGCTCCCAATGCCCATGTGGTTGCGGCGCTGGAGGCGGCCGCTGCCGTCACCTTGCCGGTGGCCAACATGCCGCGAGGTCCACAACCGCTACCCTCGCCGCCGTCGCCATCGCCCGCTGCGTCAGGCGTGGATGAAATGGCCGCCATCTGCGGCGTCAGCGCCTTCGCGTTCCAAGGCACCAACGCGCACGTACTGCTGTCATCGCGCGGTACAGTGACCTCCGCCGACACCGCCGCCGCTGCCCTCACCGACACATCTAGCCTGACAGGACCGTACTGGCAGCGCCGCCGGACGTGGGTACATCCCAGGCCTGACCCATGGGTCGGCATGGTGCTAAATTCCCTGCTTCCCTCCGTCAGCTCCCGCCTGACCGTCTTCGAGACGGAGCTCACGGCCACGCGCCACGCCGACCTCTGGGACCACAGGGTCGCTGGTAAGGCGCTCGTTCCCGCGGCTGCCTTTTTGGAGATGGCGCGTGGTTGCGCCGCCTCTCTGCTTCTTCAGCCCCAGCATCAGTACAAGCGGGCTGGCGGCGGCGCTGCTGCTGCAGGCCAGTCTGCTGGTGGAAGTTATCCCGAGTCCCGAGTCGCTCTGTGTGCCGTGTCTGTGCCTGCACCGTGCGTGCTGCCGGACCTAGGGGACCTGGGGAAGGTGAGCGGCAGCAGCAGCGCCGCCGATGCCCGGGTTGCCGGCGTGGTGCTGGGCTGCCAGATCGATCTCAGCCGCGGCTCTGTGGCCGTGTTCAGCAGCGTCGAGCAGCGTCATCATAATCCGCAGCAGAAGCAGCATTCCGTGACGGCCGCTTCGCAGCACACGCCGCAGCGCACGCACCTCACAGCCACGGTGCAGGTCGTCCACACGCGTCGTGCGGACGTCTCGGAAACGACGCACCCGAGCGACACTGATGACGACTGGCAAGGTCTCGCGCGGGCGTCAGGCAGCGGTGCGTCCGGGAGGGCGGCAGATATGGACGAGAAATCGCCTCGCCTCATCGCCCTGGCGAGTCTGCTGCTCATATTCGCGGCAGGCGCCCGCCAGTCGCGGCGCCAGCCGCCGCCGCCGCCGCCGCCGTTGCCAGCCGTATGTGCCGCCGTCGTCGTGCAAGGCTCGGAAGGCGGCGATGCCGCAACGGCAGGCCGGCTGCCACCGGCCCAACTGGACTGTGTTCTACAGCTGGGCGCTGTGGCGGCCCTCGAAGGAGGGTGTGACAGCAGCCTTCGCGTGCCGGCTTCCCTGGAATGCTATACGCCGCCGCCACCCCAACCACCGCTGCCTCAGCTGCAGCAGCGTAAGAGCAAAAACGGGATCAGCGATAGCGCCGCCGCCGCCGCCGCCGCCGTCGCCGCTGGCACTATGATGCCGGAAGGGCACTCCCTGCATGCCACCGCAGTGCTGCGGCCCGGTGCCAGCTCCAAGCGAGCAATCACTGACTTCCGCATCGCATCCGAACACGCGGTTCATGGTAGCCATGTTGCAGCCTTGCAGGGCTTGGAGGCGCGAAGGGCAACTGCAGCGGCACTTTTCGCATCTGCCGACATCCCCAGCACCCATTCCGCCACCGTTGGCGCGCCGCTAGGCCCTAAGCTCCCTGCCGCCGTCAGCGCCGCCGGCCAGTTTCCCCTGACAGCGACCGTCGTGGCAGGTCAGGCTACGGATGTGGAGCGGGAGGTGATGTACCAGATTGTCCAGACGGCGTCAGAGCCTTTCGAAATGAATAGCTGCTCCACCGCACCTGGGGCCGCCCAGGAGCTGCTGCATCTTGGCGCGGCGCCTTCACCAGAGGCCCAGGCACTTGTGGCCATCGGGCTGGCGCAGCAAGCCGTGGGGGCGGGTGTCGCTGGCATTAACTTGGCAGCTTCCGCACGAGCGCAGGAGTACTCTGCTGCTGCCGCCGCGGCGGCTATTGCCATGGCCGGCGGAGCGACTGCGGCCCTGCTCCGGACCGTAGAAGCTGAAACCGGTGTCCTCTGCGCCGCCCGGGCGCTCCATGGCGCGTTAGGGGTAGAACAGGCAGCTGGTAAAGCTGCTTCTTCGTCTTTTTCTTCAAGCAGGACGCTGACGATCGAGGCAAGGGCCGTGACGCCGTATGAAGATGCGTACGGCACAGTCGAGACAGGCGGCGTGCTGCTGCGTGACGTCATGATGCCCATTCAGTCGGAGGCCAGGGAGGGAGGGTCAGTGATCGGGAACTTCCAGCTTGTTCCCCGGCCTCGTGGCGCCCTGGGCAACTTGGTGCCGCAGCCGCTGGCCTGCCCCACCACCGGGGAGGAGGGTGCGGTGCCGGCTGGCACGGTGGCGCTGCGGGTGCGGGCCGTGGGGGTCAACTTCAGGGACGTGCTCAACGTGCTGGGGATGTACCCGGGAGATCCGGGCGCACCAGGAGGAGACTGCGCGGGCGTGGTGGTGGCGGCGGGTGCGGGTGTGGATGATGCGGCGCTGCTGCCGCCCGGCACGGCCGTGTTCGGCCTGGCAGCCGGCAGCTTGGGGACGCTGGTGCACAGCAGCCCGCACACGCTGGTGGCGATGCCGGGATGCCTGAGCTTCGAGGAGGCGGCCACCATGCCCACAGTCTTCATCACGGCGCACCAGGTCTTTGGCGACGCCGCCGGGCTGCGGCCTGGCGAGCGTGTGCTGGTGCACGGTGCTACAGGCGGTGTGGGACTCGCATCACTGCAGGTGGTGGGCGCACTGAGCGGCGAGGTGGTGGCCACCGCCGGCAGCCCGTCCAAGCGCGCGCTGCTGCGGGGCCTGGGGGTGCGCCACGTGTCCACCAGCCGCGACCTGGGCTTCGTGGAGGAGCTGACGGCGCGGTGCATCAGCGGCCGCGGTGGTGTTGTGGACGTGGCGCTCAACACGCTGACCAGCCCCGGCCTGGTGTCCGCGACACTGAGCCTGCTGCGCCGCGGCGGCCGCTTCGTGGAGATCAGCAAGCGCGACATCGTGTCCGTGCCCCGCCTGCAGAGCGAGCGGCCTGACGTGGCGGCTTCCTTCGTGGCCGTGGACTTCCTGCCTGACACCGCAGTCCAGTCCGCCATGATGCGCGTGGCTGCGGGTGTCAGCCGCGGCCAGCTGCGCCCGCTGCCCCAGGCCGCCCACTCTCTGAGCAACGTCGCTGCGGCGCTTCGTCAGATGTCGCAGGCGCGGCATGTGGGCAAGGTGGTGGTGTCGGCACCACCCCTGGACTCATTCTCTCCCACACCGCCCAGAGAGGGTTCCGTGATCATTATCGGAGGCCTCGGCACCCTCGGACTGCTCACAGCAAGGTGGCTGTTAGGCCAAGGTCTGCGGCACGTCCACTTGACAAGTCGCACCGGCCGTCCAAGCAGTCCAGCCGCCAGCGAGCAGCTCGCGACCATGGTCCAGACCCACGGGTCGCTCATTGAGATCAGCGCTGTGGACGCAACCGCAACTGCAGACCAAACGTTGCTGATGGGACTGGTCAACGGCGGCGAGCCTGACGATGTGGCCTTGTGGACTAACCGACGGCGGCCCTTGCTAGCTGTCTTCCATGCCGGCGGCATGCTTGCAGATGCCGTACTCGAGCGCCAGAACGCGCCCGGCATTCGCACCGTATCGGCGGCGAAGTGCAGCAGCGCCGCTATCCTGCGCCGCCTCTGCGGTGCATTACCAGTCGCTACCCACGTGTTCTTCTCCTCCGTTGCTTCGCTGCTGGGCTCCGCGGGCCAGGCCAGCTACAGCGCCGCCAACGGCGCCCTTGACGCGCTAGCCGACACCAGCCGCGCCGCCGGCGTGAGCGCCACGGCCATCCAGTGGGGCGCCTGGGCGGGCGCAGGCATGGCCGCTACCGCAGCAGTCGCACGCAAGGTGGAGCGGTTGGGCATGGGGATGCTGCAGCCGCGGCAGGGTCTAGAGGCGCTTGAGCGGTTGCTAGCCAGCGCCCCAGTGCCTTCTCGCGGGGTAGTAGGCTCTCGCGAAGCCTTCTCAGCGGTACACGCAGTGGTACCCGTGGTGCCGTTCACCTGGCGGCGCTTCCTGGAGGTCGCTACCCGCCGGCGCAGCGGCGTCGTACCGTTCATGTTCCAGCACTTCGCCGGCAAGCTGGCGTCAGGGCAGAGCGGCGGTACCGCCCCCTCCCCCTCCCCCGCTGCTATGGCGTCCAGCCGCCTTGAGCAGCCACGCGCCCATGCAACCCAAGAACTGGGCAACACAGCGGCAGCCGTGCAGCGCGCGCATGTGCTAACGGAGGTCTTGGACACCGTCAGCGGTGTGGTGGGTTCCTCTGTTGCCCCCGATGCGCCGCTGATGAGCTCGGGCCTGGACAGCTTAGGGGCAGTGGAGCTGAGGAACGCGCTGGAGGGTCGACTGGGTGTTCAGTTGCCCAGTACGCTGGTGTTTGACTACCCCACCCCGGCTGCCATGGCGGACATGATTGCTGCCAGGTTGCCGCGCCGGCTTGCCGCTGCCGGCGGCGGTGCCGCCGCCGCGGCACTGACTCCTTCGCTTTCCGCTGCTGATATGGCCTATGTGGATGAGCCGGTACCCCAAGGTGATATCACACGCACCGTACTGCAGATCACTGCAGATGTACTGGGCGGCGGCGGCGGCGGCGGTGGCGGCGCTGGGGCCCCTGGGGGGCTTGAGGCTGACGTGCCCCTCATGGCAGCCGGGCTAGACAGCCTTGCGGCGGTGGAGCTCCGAAACCAGCTGCAGGCGGCCTTCCGGGTGGCGCTGCCGCCCACGCTGGCCATCGACTACCCGACAGCGGCCGCCATCGCTGCGCTGATCGCGTCGCGGGTTGCGCAATCTGCTGCAGCGACAGCAGCTACCCCAGCCCCTCTAGCCGCAGCAGCTTCTATTTCTGAGGCGGTCGTTCCTGCTGGCACGGCGCCGTGGGCGGTGCAGGGCAGCAGGTCCCTGAGCGCCGCCATCGTCAGCATGTCGTTCGAATTGCCAGCTGCTGCGCATTCAGGAGCAGCCACCGCTGCGCACGCCACCGGAGCCGATGCCATTAGCGCAGTGCCGTACAGTCGGTACGACGTCGACGCGCACGCGGCGCTGTTTGATGGGGCTCCGGTTCGTTTCGGCGGGTTTATGGCTGCGGTCAGTGCCTTCGACGCGGCGGCGTTCGGGCTGAGCGACGGCGAGGCAGCGCTGATGGACCCGCATCAGAGGCTGCTGTTGCAGGCTTGCACTGAGGCCTTTGCGGCGGTAGGTGACGTAAGGAAACGAAGGCGGCCATGCAGTGACAGTTGCCTGTCCGAAACCCCTGTCCAAAGCTGCATGCAGGCCTAACTTGGGAAGGCTTGTTCCGAATAAATGAGTAGAAGGATACTTTATCAACCCATAGAGTAAAAAGCAGCTTAATCAAATCTGCTAATAAAAGAATCGCGTTAGCACTGCAAATAGAGCTGCGAATAGAGCTGCGAATAGAGCTGCGAATAGAGCTGCGAATAGAGCTGCGAATAGAGCTGCGAATAGAGCTGCGAATGGCACTGCAAAGGACCACCATCTGTCCCACCTGTTCTATCGTAACTGGACTGGGTTCGCGATGTGCGCGATTTTGATGGTCATGCCTCTCCGCTTCCATCCGCCCGCAAGGATGCCGCCATGGCAAGTGGCGATCCTCCTGACAACGGCTTGCTGGAGCTGTACGGCGTATCACGTGACCGTTGGGGTGTATACGTCGGTACCTCTGCACTGGACTACAACAAACTGATCGCCCGTTACAACCGCCAACCGACTGCCTATACCGCCACTGGCAGCCTGTCACTGTCCGTCGTCTCCGGCCGGCTGTCGTACACCTTTGGCCTGCGTGGCCCCGCCGTCACCGTGGACACGGCATGCTCGTCCAGTCTGGTGGCGGTGCACGGGGCGCTGGCAGCCATGGCCTTGGGCGGCTGCGGTGCAGCGGTTGCGGCAGGTGCCAATCTCATGCTCATCCCAGATACACCGGCCATGTTCCAGAAAGCAGGTGCGGATGCGCCTGGAAGATGTTGTTTACATACATACAACGTACTTGTTTTATACTACACCTATTTCCATAATATCAATACGTATAAGTAAATTATATATACGTGTCACCTGTCACAATGAGATGTCCCACTTATTCAGTTTCAGGTTTCTTGCAATTGTGCGCATCGTTACTCAGCCGTAATTCACGATGCCCGTACGGTCTCCGGCTTTACGGTCCCCGACAATGCTGCTGCAGGAATGCTGTCCCTCGAAGGCCGCTGCAAGACGCTGGATGCCGACGCGGACGGCTACACGCGCTCAGAGGCTATCGGCGCCCTCTGCCTGACGCCTATGTACACCAGCACCAGCTCTTCCACACCGCATGCTACTTCACGCCCGCCGCCGCTGGCGGTGTTGCTGGGCGCCGCCGTCAACCAGGACGGCCGCAGCAGCAGCCTCACCGCACCCAACGGCCCCGCGCAGCAGGCGGTGGTGCGGGCAGCGCTGGCGGAAGCGAGGCTTTCCGCTGCCGCTGTGGCTGCCCTGTCCATGCACGGTACCGGTACACCGCTGGGCGACCCCATCGAGGTGGGGGCTGCCCTGGCGGTCCTCGATGCCCCAGCTGCCCCTTCAACAAAGAGCACGGCGGCCAGCGCTTCAGGCGCCTCTCAGCGGCTGCCGGTTCCATTTCTCTCCTCCAAATCGTCCTATGGTCATGCAGAGCCGGGAGCCGGTGTGGTGGGCATCACTCAGGCTGTACACGTCGCGACCCACGGGTCTGTGCTGCCCATTATGCACCTACGCAACCTGAACGAGCACGTCGCCGTAGCAATTGCGCAGACATCCTCGCCTGACGCTTGGTCGCTGCCCCGGCAGCTACAGCCGCTTTCCTCAGCTCGCGGGCCGGAGGGAGGCGCGCCCGCTGCGGCACCGGGCGGCTACGGGCTGCCTCATCCTGGGCTCATCCCAGCTGATTCTGAGCTGAGCTGCATCGGAGTGAGCGCCTTTGCGTTCCAAGGCACCAACGCCCATGTGCTGCTGTCGTCAGCTGACCGCGCTGCTGGCAAGGAGGGAGACGGCCTCGTCGCCCAGGCTGGATTTGCTGCTGCAGGCGAGGACGACTTCCGACAAACGTTTTCTGCCTCCTTATCAGTTCTCCACAGGGACACCATCGCCTCCTCCTCCGCCGCAGCCGCCGCTGCCCCGCGGCTGATGCTATGGCGCAAGCAACACCACTGGCTGCAGCCCGTGGCTAACCTGCTCCTGCACGCAGTCCACATTCCTGCAGCTGCTCCACGGCACGCCCGAGCGGCGTTTTTTGAGTGCCGTATCACCCGTACATCGCGGCTGGCGTACCTGTGGGACCACCGTGTCCGTGGTCGGTCTGTGTTTCCGGGCGCGGGCTTCATGGAGATGGCCGCCGGCTCCGTGGCGGCCTTGACGGCGTCGACGGCGGTTGGCGCAGAAGTGGAGGTGGCCTTGTCTGATGCGACCATCCCTGCGCCATTGGTGCTGCCGCAACCACCGGGTGGCAGTGGCGGCAGTAGCGGCAGTGGCGGCAGTAGCGGCAGTGGCGGCGACCTGGTACTTCGCTGTGGTGTTTCGCTGGCCGCCGGCCGCGTAGCAATCAAGTCAGAGGCCGTACATGCCGGCGGCGCTCCTGCTACTGCCGCGGTGCACTTCCGCGCACTTGCGACACTAGTGGCCCCCGGGGGCCTCGCCCTCGATGGCAACAGCAGCCTTTCGGCGGCAACAGCAGACTACACGGCGCAACGGAAGCTGTGTGCACTCTTGGCCCTGATCCGCAGCCGGCAGCTGCCAGACCATAGCTGCAGCAGCAGCAGCAGCAGCAGCCGTGACGGTAGCGGATTGCCGCCGTTGTCGCTGCCCAGCGGCACCCTTGCCCGCCTGGAGGCCCCAGGCGACTGCAGCGGCACCTTGCTGCATCCCGCGCTGCTGGACTGCAGCTTGCAGGTGGGCGCGGTGCCGGCCGTCGCGGGGGCTGCGGCCGTGCTGCGTGTGCCTGCAGCCGTGGGCCTGCTGCGTGTACCGCTGAATGCGGAAACGACCGCAGGTGTGGGTGCGAGCCTGGCAGACCCCGACAAGCAGGCGTCGTGGGTGACTGCCGTCGCGGCGCCCTCCTCCTCCGCCGCCGCCAGCAGCGGCGCAGAAGCCAGTGCCAGTGCCATGGAGATCAAGGTGGACTACCGCATAAGCAGGGCCGACGGGACCGCCGTGTGTGGCGTGTCCGGCCTCTTGGCCAAGGAGCTCCGTGTTCATGCCTCTGGAACAGAAGCCGCTGCCGCCGACGTCACCGCCGCTGCAGTAGCCGTGCCGTCACCAGCCGAAGCATCGGCCCATGTTGGTTTCGGTGGATCCATCCTCTACACCGCCAAGCTGGCCGTCAGCGAGCCAGCCGACATTGCGCTGATCCCGGAAGCCAGCAGCACGCGGGTCTTGTCGCCACAGCAGCCGCCAGCCCTGCAGCTCAGCTCCGGGCGGGATGCAGTCGTCCCGGCGCTGCTGGGCGCTCTGCAGGCGCTCACGCAAGGGCCAACAACCGCATTGAGGCTCTCCGGCAGCAGCGGCAGCAGCGGCAGCAGCGGCAGCAGCGGCAGCGGGGCGGTATGGCCGGAGGGACGACTGGTTGCCGACGGTGCAGCACGGGGCGTCGTGCGTGCGGTGGCACTGGAGCAAAGCGGCAGTTCATTCTCTGTCCTGGAGCGGTGTGCTGAGGTGGTGGCGGCAGGTCTCCGAGGGCTCCCCGTTAGCGCTGGCGCGTTGTCCAACGTTCACGTCAACGCCAACGTGGCATCCCTTGAGTCGTGGCATCCCACAGAGGGACGCCGCCGTGATGGCCTGTGGGACGTGCATGGCCCACGAGTCACCAGCGGTGCCGTATCATTGCCAATACTGTCACATTCGGATGTCGGGAAAGGAGGTGGAGAGATTGACTTCCAGCTTGTTCCCCGGCCTCGTGGCGCCCTGGGCAACTTGGTGCCGCAGCCGCTGGCCTGCCCCACCACCGGGGAGGAGGGTGCGGTGCCGGCTGGCACGGTGGCGCTGCGGGTGCGGGCCGTGGGGGTCAACTTCAGGGACGTGCTCAACGTGCTGGGGATGTACCCGGGAGATCCGGGCGCACCAGGAGGAGACTGCGCGGGCGTGGTGGTGGCGGCGGGTGCGGGTGTGGATGATGCGGCGCTGCTGCCGCCCGGCACGGCCGTGTTCGGCCTGGCAGCCGGCAGCTTGGGGACGCTGGTGCACAGCAGCCCGCACACGCTGGTGGCGATGCCGGGATGCCTGAGCTTCGAGGAGGCGGCCACCATGCCCACAGTCTTCATCACGGCGCACCAGGTCTTTGGCGACGCCGCCGGGCTGCGGCCTGGCGAGCGTGTGCTGGTGCACGGTGCTACAGGCGGTGTGGGACTCGCGTCACTGCAGGTGGTGGGCGCACTGGGCGGCGAGGTGGTGGCCACCGCCGGCAGCCCGTCCAAGCGCGCGCTGCTGCGGGGCCTGGGAGTGCGCCACGTGTCCACCAGCCGCGATCTGGGCTTCGTGGAGGAGCTGACGGCGCGGCGCATCAGCGGCCGCGGCGGTGTTGTGGACGTGGCGCTCAACACGCTGACCAGCCCCGGCCTGGTGTCCGCGACACTGAGCCTGCTGCGCCGCGGCGGCCGCTTCGTGGAGATCAGCAAGCGCGACATCGTGTCCGTGCCCCGCCTGCAGAGCGAGCGGCCTGACGTGGCGGCTTCCTTCGTGGCCGTGGACTTCCTGCCTGACACCGCAGTCCAGTCCGCCATGATGCGCGTGGCTGCGGGTGTCAGCCGCGGCCAGCTGCGCCCGCTGCCCCAGGCCGCCCACTCTCTGAGCAACGTCGCTGCGGCGCTTCGTCAGATATCGCAGGCGCGGCACGTGGGCAAGGTGGTGGTGTTCAATCCGCAGCAGCAGCCTCTGGCCAGTCCGTCAGGCCGCGTGATCATCAGCGGCGGCCTGGGCTCGCTGGGTCTGCTCCTGGCATCCTGGCTGTCGCGGCAGCATGCCGGTGGCCACATCCAGCTGCTAGGCCGCTCGGGCCGGGCCGAAGGAGGCGCCACCGAGGCGGCTCTGACACGGATTCTGAATCACTCACAAGGTATCATTGAGGTCATCAAAGCCGATGTATCCAGCGCCGAAGATTGCAGCCTGGTGTTCGCACCGACCTCAGCCACTGTCAAGCCCGTGCTTGCAGTGCTGCATGCCGGCGGTGTCCTGGCCGACGCAATCCTCCGAAACCAGACTGCCGCTAGCGCCCGCCGCGTGTTTGCTCCCAAGCTGGCTCAGCTGTCCCGCTGGGCTGGCCTCGTCTCGCAGCAGCCGGGTGCCTCGCACGTGCTGTTCTCCTCCGTGGCTTCACTGCTGGGCTCACCCGGCCAGGCCAACTACAGCGCCGCCAACGCCGGACTGGACGCTGCCGCCGCCGCGCTGTCGGACCGCGGGCTAAGCTTCGTCAGCATGCAGTGGGGCGCGTGGGCGGGTGGCGGCATGGCGGCTCATGACGCGCAGACGGCGGCTCGTGTGGAGCGCATGGGCATGTCGCTCATCCAGCCACAACAGGGACTGGCGGCGCTGGCGTCCGTGCTGGAGGCTTTCGCTAGGGGCCCCGCCACCGCCCCTCCTCCTGTCGTGGCGGCGGTTCCCTTCAACTGGCCCACGTTCTTGCAGCAACAGAAGAGAAGGCAACCAACGAGCCTCTTCTCGGCAATGGAAGAACGTTTACCTGTCACACCATCATCTGTCCCAGGAGAGATGGCCGTATCGGCCGCGCCTCCGGCTGCGCGGCTTGCTTTCGCGCAGCCCAAGGAGGCGACAATCGCGGCGGAGCCGGCCACAGCAACGGCAACGGCGGCTGCATCGCTCGCGCATGTGCTCGCCGAGGTTCAGGAGGCCGTGCGTGGAGTGGTGGGTTCCTCTGTTGCTCCCGATGCGCCGCTGATGAGCTCGGGCCTGGACAGCTTAGGGGCAGTGGAGCTGAGAAACGCGCTGGAGGGTCGACTGGGTGTTCAGTTGCCCAGTACGCTGGTGTTTGACTACCCCACCCCGGCTGCAATTTCCGGATATGTAGCGAGTCGCGCGCAGCTTGCAGCCCCAGCTGCTGTATCTGCTTCGACGTTCGCCCCGAGAACCACACCAGCAGCAGCAGCGGATCATAGGGGGCCGGGTGCAGCTGGTGCGGCTGCATCGCTCGCGCATGTGCTCGCCGAGGTTCAGGAGGCCGTGCGTGGAGTGGTGGGTTCCTCTGTCGCCCCCGATGCGCCGTTGATGAGCTCGGGCCTTGACAGCTTAGGGGCAGTGGAGCTGAGAAACGCGCTGGAGGGTCGACTGGGGCTGCAGCTGCCGGGTACGCTGATCTTCGATTACCCCACCCCAGCTGCCATCGCAAGCTTCATCGCGAGCCGCGTGCAGGTCACAGTTCCTCTGATGATCCCTGCTCTTGCTGTGGCACCTGGACATCCCCCTCGAAACTCCGACTTGGACGAAGACTTATTTGCGGAGCTGTTTGATGAGCCGCAGGCAGCGGAAGCTGCATCGCAGCAAGCGACGACAAGGGCGCGGTTCATTGCCGGCGTGTTGGCGCAACCTGCACTGCCTGCACCGCTGCGGCAGCTGCCTCAGCCGGGCGGTATTAGCTTGGGCCCTGTCGCTGTGGTGAGCATGGCGCATAGGCTGCCTGGTGAGGCTGCTGGCTTCCGCGGTGTTGTCAGCGGCCGAGATCTTTGCCGCCTGGTGGACGGCGTCTGCAGGATACCAGTGAACAGGTGGGCCGGTTGATGGGTCGGTGGGTGGGTGGGTGCACCCTGGGTGCACCCTGCGGGCCTATATATGCACGGATGTGCTGCCAAGGCAAGTAACGACGGATGCTGCATGCTGCATGACCATCACCCAAAGATCCGAAGAAGAGGTGGGGAACTCACCCAGTGAACCCACATTTGGAACTTGGAACTTGGAAGGAGACCTTCACGAAAACCCGGAAGGCTTGGGTTGTCTTCGGTAAGAGGGGACTTCATATCTTGCAAGTGCACTTGTGGTGATGCCAGATGCACCTTGTTTCACATGTTTACTTTAATAGCTGCTGATGGCCTGAGGCTGTGCAAGGAACTTGAACCTCAGCCAGCGTAGGAGATCATCAAGGATTTACCATTCCACGATTTGCACGGTTTTCCATGTTGGGTTTTCCACGTGAAACGGTGCTTGTACAGGTGGGACGTGGATTCGCTGGCACCTCTACTCGGAGGTGAGGTCCCTGTCCCCTTCACGGCCCTGCTGACGGGCGCGGAGGCCTTCGATGCCGCTGCCTTTGGCATCAGCCCCGCCGAGGCCGCGCTGATGGACCCGCAGCAGCGGCTGCTGCTAGAGTGCGTTGCGGATGCCCTGACACGTGTCCCTCCAGGGCTGCTGTTGGCTCCGACGCCGGCCGTTGCTGCCGAAGCTGCCGTTGCTGGCCCCAGGTGCGCAGGTTTGGGGTTGAAGAGCTGGAGGGACCGCAACAATACTGACAGTAATGATATGGTTCCTCATGTGGGTAGTTCGTGGAAATATGTTTCTGCAATGATGACATGCTATTTAGGTGGACCTATAGCCCGAACCCGATGGAGTAGATGGCGTGGAGATTTACCACGGGAATACCCAAATGACCGGGGTGCTGCTGCTGCTGCTGCTGTGTCAGCAGTTCGTGCAGATTTTTGTTGCGGATGCGGGGCTTATGCAGGAATGGAAGTCGTCGTGTTGTGGGACGTATGGGCGTCTGTCAATCCGCTTAAGAGGCCGGGAACCCGTGCAGGCCTGCATGGGACAAGTATCACATCCTGCGGCATGGCATGCACGGGCACAGGGCTGGCTGCAATCTCCCTAAGGGCCTGTGTCCATGTCTCTGCTACGGCCCTGTCACCTGCCCCGGTGCCTCATAGACTTGAGGCACAAATGACATGGTGGTCGTTTCATGTTTTTTCTTCAGAAATGTTTAGGCGCACATATGCTTAAAATTCGTGTTTTTTCTCTCCTATGCTGATCAATCAAAGGGTCCTTTCCTCGTTCTGTCCTCGGTGCCTCTTCGAACTCTAGCAGACGCACACTGCTGTCCGCCTGTCCCTCTTTCCGGCTTTCAGGTCCACGTGGGGCGCGTACGTGGGTGTTTCCTCCAACGACTACCGCGCCCTAACGATGCGGTAGGCACCAGCGTCATGTAGTAAAGCTATGCATCTGCATGAGGGAAAGGAACACAACCCTTAGGGACGACTCTTAGAACCCGACTGTTGAATAGCATCTCGCATCCAGTATCGCATCCCCCCTATCGCATCCCCCCTATCGCGTCCCCTATAGCGTGAGATGCGATAGGAAAGGGGAGTCCATGGTGCAGCTTCCCTTGATAGGTGGGGGCCGCAGCCAGTGCAAAGCCTCCATATGTCCTTGTTGATGCCATATGCACGACGACAGCGCCGCACTGGCTAGCCCATCAAGATGTCTGCTTCGAGTTTTATGTGTGGTTAGGGTTTTTCCTTCCGGTATAGGCGGAGATAGGCCACCAGGCTAGGGCCACCAGCGATGACCTCTGCAAACGCTTTTAAGATGTGGCATCCCACTGAACACCTTTTGGCTGCTATTGCCGCAACTGCTTGCTGCCGCACATGCAGGGTGGCCCCGGCGGCGACGGCCTTCAACGCTACCGCCTCGGCACTGTCCGTCGCCTCCGGCCGGCTGTCGTACACCTTTGGCCTGCGTGGCCCCGCCGTCACCGTGGACACGGCCTGCTCGTCCAGTCTGGTGGCCGTGCACGGGGCGCTGGCGGCCATGGCTTTGGGCGGCTGCGGTGCAGCGGTTGCGGCAGGTGTCAACCTAGCATTAGGCCCGGTAAGACCTTGGTGGTTGAGTCTTCCTTTGAGCAGCAAAGGGCCTGAGGCAGTTTTTGATGCTTTGACGGCGGCCCACACGAAAAGCCGCGGCACACGTGGACTTGATTCCCTACTAAGACCTTCTCCTTTACAGAAGGCTGCTTTTTTCGTGGCACCGATAGGCACGAGACCGTACACCATATAGCCATGCGTCGTGTCGCCTGTCCAACCCCAAATCACCCCATCCCAACACCCCTCTTCCGGATCTACCCACAGGATACACCGCTGCACTTCCAGCGTGCTGGCATGTTGTCGCCTGAAGGCAGGTGCAAGACGCTGGATGCTTCCGCCGACGGCTACGTCCGAGCTGAGGCGGTGGGAGCTCTGTGCTTAATGTCACTCGCGGCGGCGGCCGGTGGTGGCGGAGCTGCACCGCCATCTGGCGCAGCTGCTCCGGGGCAGCCGCCGCCGCCGCTGGCGGTGTTGCTGGGCGCCGCCGTCAACCAGGACGGCCGCAGCAGCAGCCTCACCGCGCCCAACGGCCCCGCGCAACAGGTGCGCCCAACAGGTTCAGCTAAACCCTAAGTAGGAAGTGACCTAGTGCGCGGCCCTTGCTACTATGTGGTGCAGTATGCCCCATCGGGGCGCATGGCTTTGGCTTCTTCACCCTTCCTGTACCATCTGCGTGTCGCCGGCGGATTCCTTGAGGTGGAGATGCAGCCCCCTTGCCACCTTGTGTATGTGAAAACCGCCATTCACCGCCATTCACGGATCGTAATGGGCCTGCAGAAACCCGCCTGCCGAACCACATTCAGCCATTGTTATTTTACACAAGATCTGTTCAGTTGCGTGCGTGTTTGACGTGCTGTCCTGCCCCTAGTATAACGCCCCTAGTTTAGCGAGCGCAGTCACTAGAACGTCTGCTCCTAGGAGTGCTTTTATTGCCTACTGCTGCAAGTACAGTGAATCCCAGGGATTGTCCACACTCTCGCACCAGCCGTGAACCTCCTCCTACCCCCTCTGCTCATTTTTGGTTTCCTGACCCTCAGGAGGTCATCCGGGCGGCTCTGGCCTCCGCCGACCTCCACCCCGTTGCCGTGAAGTCGCTGTCCATGCACGGCACCGGCACACCTCTGGGGGACCCAATTGAAGTCGGAGCGGCGGCGGCGGTCATGTCGCCTGCGAACCACGCCCAAGTCCAAGAACTTAACAGCAAGCACACCAGCGTCGGAACTGCTGCTGCTGTTGCTGCTGCTGCACCAAGGTTTCTCACCCTCCTCTCCTCGAAGGCGTGGTACGGCCACTCAGAGCCCGGCGCGGGCGTTGTGGGAATCGTACACGCACACGCAGCCCTGGCCCAAGCAACGGCTGTTCCGCTGGGCCACCTCCGTAACCTCAACCCCTATGTAGCCAACGCTATGGAGCTTTCCGCTGCCGCTGCGGCCGCGAGCGATACCAACACAGCCACCTGGCAGATTCCTCTTGGGGCGCAAGTGCTTGGCGGTGCCCTCTGTGGCAGCCGGGGCTCTTCGTCCGCCCCCCTGGAGTCTCTCATCGCGGGCGTCAGCGCCTTTGCGTTCCAAGGCACCAACGCGCACGTGCTGCTGTCATCCGTGGGCAGTTCCAGCAGCCTGGAGCAGAGCACCGGGTACAGCACCTTGGGCATGCCGAAGCCGAATACGGCAGGACCGGGCAACGGCGGATTTGGCATCGGCTACGAGTGGGAGCGGCGGCGACTGTGGGTTTTGCCGCCTCTGAGCGCCACGCTTGGCGCCGCTGCCGTTTCCGTCAGTAGTGCCACCAGTGGCAAGTGCACGTTCGAAGTTGCGGTAGGCTCCTCCCGCCGCCTCGCCTTCCTCCTTGATCATTATGTCGGCGGGCGGCCTGTCGTACCGGCGGCGGCGCTGCTGGAGATGTCCGCGGCGGCAGCCGTAGCCGTACTTGGGGCAGGCACGGGCAGTGATGTCCTGAGCAGCAGCTCCGTACAGAAAGCGCGTGGGCTTGGTGCAGGCGGCACCTCGGCTACCCCCCCGCTGTCTCTAGCTCTCACCAACGTCCGCATCCTCACGCCAGTGGTCATGCAACAGCCTGCTGCTACTGCCCTCACGGGGCGATCTGTGGCGGCGGCGAGGAACAGTCTTGTACTGCAATGCGAGGTTGACAGCAGTAGCGGCACAGTCCGCATCACCTCCAGCAACGGCGGCATCGGTGCAGCCAAGCAGCGGCGGCTCCACGTCACCGGCAGCATCGGTGTAGTGCCGTCACCTATCGTCGCCGGCACCTCCGGCGCCTCCGACGCCATCTCGTCCACCACGGCGCCCGTGCAGCCTGGAATGACTCCTGGTCGCCTTGCCGCGCTGGCTCGTCTGCTGGGAATGTGCTACCAACGCTCCGCAAGCATGGGCACCAGTGTTGACACCGCCCGCCCGGCGGCGGCTGCTCTGCTGTCCCTACCCGCCTCCACTCCGGACTACCTCATCCATCCAGCAGTCTTGGATGCAACCTTCCACCTAGGCGCCGTACGGCGGAACCTGTCTGCTCACGTGATGGTGCCTGCAGGGGTGGACTGCTTGCTATTGCCGCTGGCGGGCCTGCTATCGCACGGCTCTCAGCCATCTCTCGCTGACGGTGGCAACACGGCTTACTCAACAGCAGAAGGCAGCTGCCGTCTGGCCACATGCATCGCACATGCGGCAGATGAGACGGTAGCAGAAACTACAGCCGCTACTTCCATTACGAGGACTGATGTACGGCTGGATGCGGCGGCAGCTGGGTTTGGCAGTGTGTTGTTGCGGGGCTTGGTTGCGAAGCCGCTGGGAACGCCGCCCCAGATCACAGCGGCTCCGCAGCCACACGCCACCGCACTGGGTCACATGACGACAAAGAAGCCTGAAGATGAACCGACAGCCATCATTTCCTCAATAATTACCTACGCGACGAACCTCGTAGCGGAAGAGCCCGTGGCTGAAGACGGTGGCGAGTACCGCGAGACCACCACCACACCGCCACGCTTCCACCTGCGCTCTTCTAGGAGGTCGAGAGCCATGGCAATATCCGCAACCGGGACCACGACCACGGCCATGATTGCAACCGGCGACAGCGTCCTGGAGTTCAGCCGCCTGGTCCCGTTGCTTCAGGCTGGGACCGCAAACCAGCAGAGCCGCAGTCCTAAACCCCATGTGGTGTTGCCGTTCCGGGCAGCTGCTGTGGGAATCTCGGCATGTAGCCCAGCAGGCTCAGGCGCTCTCGGCAGTGTGGAGGGCCTGGTGCGCACGGTCGCGTCGGAGCTACCTGGCATGGGACTAACTGCGCGTGTAGATGCATCGGTTTCGGACCAAGTTACCGTTGTGGAACAGCAAATGGAGGATGGTAGCGGGAGCCGTGGCTACAGTTCACTCGGGGTGCAACCTGAGAAGTACCAGAGCGGGTTAGTGGGATTCCGCCCGCGTCTGCTGGAGACGCTTAGCACAGTGGCAGGTGTTGGTGCGGACTTCCAGCTTGTTCCCCGGCCTCGTGGCGCCCTGGGCAACTTGGTGCCGCAGCCGCTGGCCTGCCCCACCACCGGGGAGGAGGGTGCGGTGCCGTCGGGCAAGGTGGCGCTGCGGGTGCGGGCCGTGGGGGTCAACTTCAGAGATGTGCTCAACGTGCTGGGGATGTACCCGGGAGATCCGGGGGCACCTGGAGGAGACTGCGCGGGCGTGGTGGTGGCGGCGGGTGCGGGTGTGGATGATGCGGCGCTGCTGCCGCCCGGCACGGCCGTGTTCGGCCTGGCAGCCGGCAGCTTGGGGACGCTGGTGCACAGCAGCCCGCACACGCTGGTGGCGATGCCGGGATGCCTGAGCTTCGAGGAGGCGGCCACCATGCCCACAGTCTTCATCACGGCGCACCAGGTCTTTGGCGACGCCGCCGGGCTGCGGCCTGGAGAGCGTGTGCTGGTGCACGGTGCCACAGGCGGTGTGGGACTCGCGTCACTGCAGGTGGTGGGCGCACTGGGCGGCGAGGTGGTGGCCACCGCCGGCAGCCCGTCCAAGCGCGCGCTGCTGCGGGGCCTGGGAGTGCGCCACGTGTCCACCAGCCGCGATCTGGGCTTCGTGGAGGAGCTGACGGCGCGGCGCATCAGCGGCCGCGGCGGTGTTGTGGACGTGGCGCTCAACACGCTGACCAGCCCCGGCCTGGTGTCCGCGACACTGAGCCTGCTGCGCCGCGGCGGCCGCTTCGTGGAGATCAGCAAGCGCGACATCGTGTCCGTGCCCCGCCTGCAGAGCGAGCGGCCTGACGTGGCGGCTTCCTTCGTGGCCGTGGACTTCCTGCCTGACACCGCAGTCCAGTCCGCCATGATGCGCGTGGCTGCGGGTGTCAGCCGCGGCCAGCTGCGCCCGCTGCCCCAGGCCGCCCACTCTCTGAGCAACGTCGCTGCGGCGCTTCGTCAGATATCGCAGGCGCGGCACGTGGGCAAGGTGGTGGTGTTCAATCCGCAGCAGCAGCCTCTGGCCAGTCCGTCAGGCCGCGTGATCATCAGCGGCGGCCTGGGCTCGCTGGGTCTGCTCCTGGCATCCTGGCTGTCGCGGCAGCATGCCGGTGGCCACATCCAGCTGCTAGGCCGCTCGGGCCGGGCCGAAGGAGGCGCCACCGAGGCGGCTCTGACACGGATTCTGAATCACTCACAAGGTATCATTGAGGTCATCAAAGCCGATGTATCCAGCGCCGAAGATTGCAGCCTGGTGTTCGCACCGACCTCAGCCACTGTCAAGCCCGTGCTTGCAGTGCTGCATGCCGGCGGTGTCCTGGCCGACGCAATCCTCCGAAACCAGACTGCCGCTAGCGCCCGCCGCGTGTTTGCTCCCAAGCTGGCTCAGCTGTCCCGCTGGGCTGGCCTCGTCTCGCAGCAGCCGGGTGCCTCGCACGTGCTGTTCTCCTCCGTGGCTTCTCTGCTCGGCTCACCCGGACAGGCCAACTACAGCGCCGCCAACGCCGGGCTGGACGCTGCCGCCGCCGCGCTGTCGGACCGCGGGCTGAGCTTCGTCAGCATGCAGTGGGGCGCGTGGGCGGGTGGCGGCATGGCGGCTCATGACGCGCAGACGGCGGCTCGTGTGGAGCGCATGGGCATGTCGCTCATCCAGCCACAACAGGGACTGGCGGCGCTGGCGTCCGTGCTGGAGGCTTTCGCTAGGGGCCCCGCCACCGCCCCTCCTCCTGTCGTGGCGGCGGTTCCCTTCAACTGGCCCACGTTCTTGCAGCGCCGTCTCCTCCAGGAGCCAGGCCGTGCTGCTGCCGCCATCCCATCCTTCTTTGAATCCTTTGCAGCTACCGGTCAATCTGCACCGAAATCCCCGGAATCGGGCCGCCTCGAGCCGTCCGTTACCGCGGCGTCGCAGAGGAGGCCAGCTCGTCGCCGTGCTGTGTCCACGGGTAGGCGGCCGAGCCCTGCGACCCGCGGTGCAGCCCCGGCCGCGATTCAGCAAGGCGTCTTGGACGCAGTGGCTGGTATTCTGGGCCCTGATGGCGCAGCGGCGTTGTCACCGGAGGCACCATTGATGGAGGCTGGCTTGGACAGCCTGGGCGCCAGCGAGCTACGAACATCCCTGGAGTCGTCGTTCGGGGTCCCGCTGCCTAGCACCTTAGTTTTCGATCACCCCACGGTCGCCGCCATCGCTGCATTATTGGAGCAGCGCACAGTCCTGGCAAGGGATGCAATGGATGCAGAGGACCGAGGAGAGGCGGGAGTAGTGGAGGCTGGCGAGCGCCGGCAGCTCCACCTCCGCCCGCCTGTCGGTGCCGCACGTCGACCTCGGCGCCGCAGCAGTGCGGCGGCTTTAGGGGACGACGACGATGATGAGCTTCCTTCCACGGCATTGCTTGCCCCACGGCAACGCGGGGAGCAATTCCTGGACATCCAACGAAAGGTCTCTGACGCAGTCGCCGGTATACTGGGCACCACCAGCACGGACCTCTCCGCGGAATCCCCCCTAATGGAGGCTGGTCTGGACAGCCTGGGTGCCAGCGAGCTACGGACGTCCCTGGAGTCATCGTTCGGAGTCTCGCTGCCTAGCACCTTAGTCTTCGACCACCCGACCGTGGCGGCCATCTCCGCTTACGTCAGCAGCAAGCTCCCGCTGCATCACCAGCGTTCCACCGACACCGCTTCTCATTACTATGATAGCAGCGCTGAAGAATCGGTCTATCTGGAGGCAAACGATGATGATGATGAGTGGGATGGGAGAGCGCAACACGTTCTCGTGAGGGACGCTGCGGTTGGCCGGGTACCGGGTGCTGGGTTGCCGCCGGTTGCAGCAGCAGCGGCTGTGAATCCGGTGGTGGTGGGTGTTGTGTCGCAGGCCTTCCGCCTGCCGTTAGACACCGCCACGGGAGTGGACCTCACTGTCGCCACACACGCCTGCGACGCCGTCAATCCGGTGCCCCTGGAACGGTGGGACGTCGACAGCGGCGCTGTCGTCGCACTGTCCGGGGGCCCTGGCGGTCCCAGCAGCGGGGCTGCGCTGCCGGCACGCTTTGGCAGCTTCCTGCTGGGTTGTGCGGATCTCTTCGACGCCGCAGCCTTTGGAATCAGTCCAACCGAGGCAGCGCTGATGGACCCGCAGCAGCGCCTGTTGCTAGAGGTCATGTACGAGGCGCTGCTCGTTGCACCGGCGGTATCGCCACTGCCAGCTGCCGCCTCAGCTGGCAACGGTGGCGCGGCAGTGGCCGCGCCAGGATTGCGGGACCGCAGCCGCTTTGGCGTGTTTGTGGGCGTCTCCTCTCCTGACTACATGAAGCTGACGATGATCGCCAAGCAGAGCGTCACGGCATACAGCGCCACAGGTGGAATGACTCTGCTGCTCACAGCACTTGCTTACTGTTTATGCCATACGACTTGCCATAGCCTTTTGAGAAAAGGTTTCAGACAGCCAGCCTTTATAGGGAGGCTGCTCAGCTATGCTATCTCTCATGATTTTCTGGCTTATGACAGATAGGGGGACATTCATACGTTCATCAGTTCATGAAGCCCGTCTAAACATTTTTCCCGGTCTTCACTCGGCCGCAGGCGCGACGCTCTCGGTCGCCTCCGGCCGGCTGTCGTACACCTTTGGCCTGCGTGGCCCCGCCGTCACCGTGGACACGGCCTGCTCGTCCAGTCTGGTGGCGGAACAGGCAGCCCACACGGCGCTGTTGTACGGCCAGGCGGAGGCTGCGGCGGTGTGCGGCGTCAACCTCACTTTGTCACCTGACACGACCGCCATGTTCCACCGTGCAGGTCTGCGGGGCTTTCATACGGGGGGTTTTGCAGGCTTGCCGGGGACCTGACCGATGGCTTGAAAAACATGACCTTCGGTGGCTTTGCTCTTACCGTCGTTGGCAGAAGAAGCCATGAACCTCTTCACATTCCTCACGCTGTGGTCTCTGTATTGTTTTATGTATACCGTTCCACGAGTAACTAAGGAAAGCGGATATGGGTGCATGACGTGCGTTCGTTCGCCCATCCGCAGGCATGCTGTCGCCTGAGGGCCGGTGCAAGACACTGGACGCCGCCGCCGACGGCTACGTCCGTGGGGAGGCAGTGGGTGTGCTGGTGCTCAGCACCGTAAGGAACGACACCAGCAGCGGGCCGCCGCCTCCGCTGGTGGCGGTGTTGCTGGGCGCCGCCGTCAACCAGGACGGCCGCAGCAGCAGCCTCACCGCACCCAACGGCCCCGCGCAACAGGTGCGGCTCCACCACCAATGCAATTTAAACTGCATGATCGTGGCGTTGCTCTTTGCTCAGTTGTGGTGCATGGAACATGTACGGAGCTCAGGCTGGGTGGCTCAGGCTCTAAGGAAACCTAAGGGAAAGGTTGCAATATGACAAGCGTGTTGATGAACTGGATTGCACGGCCTCCAATGCCCTCGTTATACAAAGTATCTTTTTGACATATAACTTTGCTGTCAATAGCCAGATCGCATCTAGACCCTATCCCAAGCACCCAAAACCCGCACCGGCCGTGAGTCCGGAGATCCTACTGCCACCCCACCCAACCCCAACCCAACCCACAACGCCGCCTTCGTTTTTGGATGCCTCCCATTTTTGGTTTCCTAACCCTCAGGAGGTCATCCGAGCGGCTCTGGCCTCCGCCGACCTGCACCCCGCTGCCGTGACGTCGCTGTCCATGCACGGCACCGGCACACCTCTGGGGGACCCAATTGAAGTCGGAGCGGCGGCGGCGGTGCTGCGTAGTAACACCCTTGGCGGCGGCAGAGCCCGAGCCGGAGGGCATCGCCGTGCTCCCTTGCTGCTGACCGCAAGCAAGTCATGGATGGGTCACTCCGAACCGGCCTCAGGTAATCCCCAAATAACAGTCCGCGGGTGCGAATGCGAATGCGAATGTCTCCGGGGCTGTGGGGACTGGGGATGTGACTCAGGACCCCTTAAGGAGTCCAGATGTGACTTGCTAGGGATTGTCGTGCTCTTGGGAGGATGCGGTGCCAAGCACTTTGTCGATCGTCAAACCCATGATTGCGCGCTTTGCCTTTGTGTGTGCACGTGTGTGCGTGTGCGTGTGTGTGTGCGTGCGTGTGTGTGTGTGTGTGTGTGTGTGTGTGTGTGTGTGTGTGCGTGTCCTCTCTCTCCCCCGTTTCTTTTATCGTCCACACGCGCATGCAAATAGGTCTTGTCCGCTCGAGCGGCTGCCGCCGTTTCCATAACTAGAACCTCTCAAACCTGCGCCTTCTAAGCTTGCGTTTCACTACTTTGGACTGCAGCTGCCGCTCTTGTTGTTGTCGTTGTTGTTGTTGTTGTTGTTGTTGTTGTTGTTGTTGTTGTTGTTGTTGTTGCACCGCTCCATTGCTGATTATTCCACGCCTCGCCCCGCAGGTGTGGTGGGTATGCTGCACTCCGCCAAGCTGGCTGCTTTGCGGATGGTGCTCCCCATTACACACCTCATCAACGTCAGTCCCAACATCCGAGAGATTTTTGACACCACCGCCGACGCTACAGGCGGCTGGGCGGCGCCACGACAGGCCAGCCCCCTGCCGTGGCCGGTCGGTTCCGGTGACCAAGCAGACGAAATGGCCGCTATCTGCGGCGTCAGCGCCTTCGCGTTCCAGGGCACAAACGCGCACGTGCTGCTGAAGGCCACCGCTGCTGTTGCTGCTGAGGTAAAAATGCTTTTCCCGTCGAGGAGGTCGATGCGCTTTGATTGCTTTCTGTACTGATCATTGATGCCGTACTTGCCGTACTACATATCGCGACGCCAGCATGTGCCGAGACGGCTGTCCATTCCCCGTCGATGCATTCTTCTCTCCGGTCCCCTAACGCCCCCAACCGCAGACGGTCGTGAACGACGGCTTCCGCCGCGCATATGACGGCCAGCAGTGTCACCGGGCAAGCCACTGGGTCACGCCGCGTCCGGCTCTGGAGCTGGCACAGGGCGTGCAGCTCAGCGGCCGCCGCCCGATTGGCAGTGTTACTTCCACCGTCGCCACGTTCCATGTGCAGCTGTCCTCGCCACGGCTGGCAGCCATGTGGGATCACCGTGTCAATGGCCGGGCGGTCTTCCCAGCAGCAGGGTACCTAGAAATGGCGGCAGCCGCCGCTACGCTGATCTCCGGCGGCAGCGGCAGCGGCAGCGGTGGTGGTGACGGGCGCAACCTATCAGTGGTGCTGAGCGATATCGCCATCCCGGCGCCGCTGCTGCTGCCCCCGCCAACTGCGTCGGCAGCTGCGGACGTGACGCTGGAATGCAGCGTGGAGCTCAGGACGGGCAGGCTTACCATTGCCTCCGTGTCGGCTCCGTCGTCCTCGGCGGCAGCTCCGTCGTATCGTCTCCGCCGTTCCGTTCATATAACGGCAACGTTGGCGGCGGCCGCGGCCGGGGCTAATGTCGCCGGCGACGACGTGCTAGCGGCGGTTGGAAAACATGAAGCCGAACCTGTCGTGCCCCCATTCCTGCGACAACTGCTCGCATCCTACCTGACGGTGGCGTCGGGCGGTCAAGCCAGTTGCGGGCCGGGTCCGGCCGGAGCATCCGCGGTCGCTGAAGTGCTGCTTGGGGCCGGTGGCGCCGACGGCTTCATGCTGCATCCCTGTACCTTGGACAGCGTGTTGCAACTCGCTGCAGCTGGACAGATCAGCGATGATTCAGAGCGACAGGCCGCCAAGGTCCCTATCCGCATTGGCGCCTTCCTGATCAATGGCGGCGGCAGCGGCGGCGGCGGCGGCGGTTACCGCAGCTCTGGAAGTGGCAGCTCCAACATGGCGCATGGTCCGCAGAGTGAAACAGCTCCTAGGGGCTGCGTCTTCGCCATCGCAGCCCCGGCGTCTGCTGCCACAGAAGCCAAGAGCTTCACCGATTATCGCGTCCAGTCTGCAATGGCCACCGGCTTCGCCGCCAGCGTGTTGGGCCTGGAGGCAAGCAGTGTCGGCCGCAGGCCCAGCCAGCCGCATGCTGCGAACGCCGCCGCCTCAGCCGCAGCCGCCGCAGCCGCAGCAGCAGCACCTGTCGCTGCTCTGTCGGCACCTTCACCACCGGCCCCTGCCGGCGGCGACATCACCTACTCCACGGAGTGGGTCGTCAGCACCCCCATGGAGCTGCTGGACACGGGGATGACGAATCGGGATCTCATCGGGAAGCTCCTTTTGGATCAAAAGCAGCATGTCACAGAAGTGCCTGCGGCTGAGGCCGTGGGCACGGTGTTGGGTGCATTGCAGCAGGGATTGGGGGGAGGTGCACCACTAGGCGTCACGGTGCCGGCAGATGCTGGCCTCGCTATGTATGCCGCGTCTCGACCGGCGACTGAGCGTTCATCATCCCTGCCTGTGTTGCACAGCATGCTGACAGGTCTGCTGCGTGCTGTTGCCGCTGAGGCGCAGCCTGTACCTCGGGCTGTGATGAATGCTGCAGTGGAGGCAGACCAGGTGGCCCTTCACACCGGCACTAAACTGCTGGTAGATGTATATGATACCGTGGGCGCAGCAGGAGTAAATCTGGAAGCGAGGCTAGCGCCTGTGCTTCCAGGTGCAGGACAGGACAAGGTTTTCCAGCTTGTTCCCCGGCCTCGTGGCGCTCTGGGCAACTTGGTGCCGCAGCCGCTGGCCTGCCCCACCACCGGGGAGGAGGGTGCGGTGCCGGCTGGCAAGGTGGCGCTGCGGGTGCGGGCCGTGGGGGTCAACTTCAGAGATGTGCTCAACGTGCTGGGGATGTACCCGGGAGATCCGGGGGCACCAGGAGGAGACTGCGCGGGCGTGGTGGTGGCAGCGGGTGCGGGTGTGGATGATGCGGCGCTGCTGCCGCCCGGCACGGCCGTGTTCGGCCTGGCAGCCGGCAGCTTGGGGACGCTGGTGCACAGCAGCCCGCACACACTGGTGGCGATGCCGGGATGCCTGAGCTTCGAGGAGGCGGCCACCATGCCCACAGTCTTCATCACGGCGCACCAGGTCTTTGGCGACGCCGCCGGGCTGCGGCCTGGCGAGCGTGTGCTGGTGCACGGTGCCACAGGCGGCGTGGGACTCGCGTCACTGCAGGTGGTGGGCGCACTGGGCGGCGAGGTGGTGGCCACCGCCGGCAGCCCGTCCAAGCGCGCGCTGCTGCGGGGCCTGGGAGTGCGCCACGTGTCCACCAGCCGCGATCTGGGCTTCGTGGAGGAGCTGACGGCGCGGTGCATCTGCGGCCGCGGCGGTGTTGTGGACGTGGCGCTCAACACGCTGACCAGCCCCGGCCTGGTGTCCGCGACACTGAGCCTGCTGCGCCGCGGCGGCCGCTTCGTGGAGATCAGCAAGCGCGACATCGTGTCCGTGTCCCGCCTGCAGAGCGAGCGGCCTGACGTGGCGGCTTCCTTCGTGGCCGTGGACTTCCTGCCTGACACCGCAGTCCAGTCCGCCATGATGCGCGTGGCTGCGGGTGTCAGCCGCGGCCAGCTGCGCCCGCTGCCCCAGGCCGCCCACTCTCTGAGCAATGTCGCTGCGGCGCTTCGTCAGATGTCGCAGGCGCGGCACGTGGGCAAGGTGGTGGTGTTCAATCCGCAGCAGCAGCCTCTGGCCAGTCCGTCAGGCCGCGTGATCATCAGCGGCGGCCTGGGCTCGCTGGGTCTGCTTCTGGCGTCCTGGCTGTCGCGGCAGCATGCCGGTGGCCACATCCAGCTGCTAGGCCGCTCGGGCCGGGCCGAGGGAGGCGCCTCCGAGGCGGCTCTGACACGGATTCTGGATCACTCACAAGGTATCATTGAGGTCATCAAAGCCGATGTATCCAGCGCCGAAGATTGCAGCCTGGTGTTCGCACCGATCTCAGCCACTGTCAAGCCCGTGCTTGCAGTGCTGCATGCCGGCGGTGTCCTGGCCGACGCAATCCTCCGAAACCAGACTGCCGCTAGCGCCCGCCGCGTGTTTGCTCCCAAGCTGGCTCAGCTGTCCCGCTGGGCTGGCCTCGTCTCGCAGCAGCCGGGTGCCTCGCACGTGCTGTTCTCCTCCGTGGCTTCTCTGCTCGGCTCACCCGGACAGGCCAACTACAGCGCCGCCAACGCCGGACTGGACGCTGCCGCCGCCGCGCTGTCGGACCGCGGGCTGAGCTTCGTCAGCATGCAGTGGGGCGCGTGGGCGGGTGGCGGCATGGCGGCTCATGACGCGCAGACGGCGGCTCGTGTGGAGCGCATGGGCATGTCGCTCATCCAGCCACAACAGGGACTGGCGGCGCTGGAAGGTAATAAATTTGCCCACCTTCAGCATTGCTTTATTTAAAATTTGCTCCTAGCAAGCAGATGGCGTTAACGGCCTTGCTTGAGGGTTTGCTTGTTTGAGGGTTTCCCTACATTGTTGTCACCAAGCTCGGACCTCAAGTCCTTCTAAGTTGTTTAAACACATTTCAAATCCCAAACGATTTGCCATTCCGTTCGCAGCGGCTCTCACCCAGGTACCCACTGCATTCAAACCCACGGTGGCTGCGATACCTTTCTCTTGGCCCGTGTTTCTGCGGAATCGCCGGACACCTCAGGTCGGTCTGTGAGTTTCTAATGAGGGCAAGTGGTGCAGCCTCCCTGTGGTGAAATGCCTCAACATTCCGAATTCGCCTCAAAATTGGTGCACTTGGCAGGATTTGGGTTACTCTTAGCCTCTTAGCCTCTCTATGTGCCATGCCAGATAGGGTTCGTGTGGCTCGTTGTGCGCTTGGAAAAACGTCCTTATGATTTACCCCGTACTGAAAATTCCTTGTGTACAAGAAATCTGTTCCCCCATTCCAAAACGAGCGAGCCTTCAGCATCCTCATCCCCCTTTTTGTACTCGCATTATGCTGCATCCCTGATCCAGGCGTTCTTCTCTAACTTTGAGGGACTTGTGGCGGCGCCTGCTCGCAAAACGAGCACGGCGAGTGTCGCTGATCCCGAGGGTAGGCGAGTCCGTCGTCTCACCTCAGGCACGGGCCGCCGCGCCACGCCTAGCCCCGGCCCCGGTCGTCGCCTGCAGGGGGCCCCAACCAGCCGGACCCTCAGCAGCGACGGTGTTCGCGACGCTATGGCTGAGGCAGCTCGCATGCAGGCAACCTTGGCGGCGGTTCAGGAGGCCGTGCGTGGTGTGGTGGGTTCCTCTGTTGCCCCCGATGCGCCGCTGATGAGCTCGGGCCTTGACAGTCTGGGAGCAGTGGAGCTGAGAAACGCACTGGAAGGTCGGCTGGGTGTTCAGTTGCCCAGCACGCTGGTGTTTGACTACCCCACCCCGGCTGCGATTGCTGGGTACATCTCCTCCCTGTCCACTGCATCTAGCGATGCGGCTGCAGCAGAAGTCCTGCAGCAGGAGGGGTCTGCACTGCCCAGCCGAGCCGCAACTGGCGGCCTTTCAACCATTATGGAGGCTTCAGCTGCGCCTAGTCGCAGGATAAGCGGCTTAGGTGCAGTTATTGACGCTGGGGTCGTGGCCAGGCGCAGGTCGAGTCAAAGTCGGTCCTTACGGCCCTTTGAACGGCGCAGTGGGAGCCGCACTGCCAGCCGCACTACGAGCCGGGTTGACAGCACGGCTGCTGGCCAAGAACAAGCACAGGCTAATACCCTGGCGGCAGTTCAGGAGGCCGTGCGTGGAGTGGTGGGTTCCTCTGTTGCTCCCGACGCGCCGCTGATGAGCTCGGGCCTGGACAGCTTAGGCGCGGTGGAGCTGAGGAACGCACTGGAAGGTCGACTGGGTGTTCAGTTGCCCAGCACGCTGGTGTTTGACTATCCCACCCCGGCTGCGATTGCTGGGTACATCTCCTCCCTGGCTGCTTTGCCTGGCGGTGATGCGGCCGTGGGGGAGCCACGGAGTCCGACCCGAGCAGCGGCGCGGCAAGAGGAGGAGCAACAGCCGGCGGAGGAAGAGGAATTCCAGTCGTTCTCCGGAGAGGAGGAAGAGGAGGGAAGGTTAGAGAGGGAGGAGTCCTGGTTCAGCGCCGTCGCCGTTCGTCCGTCTCGGTCGCGGGTCTCTCGGATCCCGCTCTCTGCCCTGGTGTCTGAGGAGGTTGGGAGTCACAGTATCGCCAGCAGCAGCTTCAGCGGAGTCTCTATGGTGGACGGTCCTCGACTGCCCATTGTGGGAGTGCTGGCAGTGGCGTCACGCAGCGCGGCGGACGCGCTCAGCCGCGTGCATGGAACGGACGCATCGCTGAGAGTTCCGCTTAGCCGGTGGGTGGTTCAGTTCAAAAATCGAAAGGAAAGCAAAACATAGTGAAAGCTGCAGGGGGATCATGTGCGCCAGATAGGGTTCGCCATGCCTGCCTTTGGTTGCGTGACCAACCTGTCGTATTGCTTACCTTTGTTTTTCGGCATTGTAAATGTGTAATTTGCCATCGATGCATGCCCAGGTTGTGCCCTTGTCCGGCAGGTGCCGGCGTCTATACCCACAACAGTGTGTTCGGCAGATTCCTGCTCTTCAACAGTTTCTTCGGCCCCTTCCTAAACAACGCCTGTGCCAACATCCCCGGGTTGCCAACACGCACATATGCAGGTGGGAGGTTGAGGACCAGGTGACACGACTGGGTGGGCAGTTGCCGGTCCAGTTCGGCGCCTTCCTGCCCGCCGTCGACCTCTTCGACGCCGCTGCTTTCGGCGTTAGCGCCCCTGAAGCGGCGCTCATGGACCCACAGCAGCGCCTGCTGCTCGAGTGTGCTGCGGAAGCGCTCTCCCTCTCGACTCCCTCCGACACCACCGCCACCACAACCACCGCCACTAGCTCCTCTGCCGCAGACTGGCGCCAGCGTGCAGGGGCCTACGTGGGCATTTCTTCCATGGACTACAACAAGCTAGCCCTGCGCCATGTCCCGACCGCATCTGCCTTCGCCGCCACTGGCGCCAGCCTGTCCGTAGCGCCTGGCCGGCTCTCCTACACCTTTGGCCTGTGTGGTCCCGCCCTCGCCATTGACACGGCCTGCTCGTCTAGCTTAGTAGCAGCTCACACCGCGCTCAATGCGCTGTTGCTGGGGCAGGTGGAGGCGGCGGTAGTGGCGGGTGTTAACCTGACGCTATCGCCGGACACACCGGCCGCCTTCCAGAAGGCGGGTATGCTGTCGGCCGACGGCCGCTGCAAGACCCTGGACGCTTCCGCTGATGGCTACGTGCGTGGAGAGGCGGTGGGCGTGTTCCTCCTGAGAGCCTTCCCGGAACTGGAGCAGGACAGCGCTGGCAGTGCAATAGAAGCGCGGTGGCAGCAGCCCGTCGCGTGGATCGTCGGTGGCGCCGTCAACCAGGACGGCCGTAGCAGCAGCCTCACCGCGCCCAACGGCCCCGCGCAACAGGCGGTGGTGCGGGCAGCGCTGGCGGAGGCGGGGCTGTGGGCATTCTCTGTCCGCACGTTGCAGATGCACGGTACCGGCACACCGCTGGGTGACCCCATCGAGGTGGGGGCCATCGCAGCGGTCTTCGCAGAGCCTCAGTCGCCGCCTGGACAGCCGCCAACTCCAACTCCAACTCCAACGCTAATGCCGCTAACTTTGGCAGCTTCCAAGTCTTGGCTTGGGCATGCTGAGCCTGGCGCCGGCACGCAGGGCCTGATCCATTCCGCCACCGGCCTCATCCAGCGTGCCGAGCTGGAGCTGCTCCACTTGCGCGCTCTCAACCCGTACGTCACCAGCGCCTTGGACAACACCGGCCCCAGTGCCGCGCTCTTCCGTGCGCCGCGCCAGCTGGGACCAAAGCCACTAAGCCCCATTCAGCCGCTGCCTCGCAGCCTAAGCGGGGCCGAGGAGGGCTCCGTAAACTTATCCTCAAACGGCGGCTCGGGTGACCTGGGAGCGGACGAGCTGGCTATCTGTGGCGTCAGCGCCTTCGCCTTCCAGGGCACCAACGCGCACGTGCTGATCGCGACCATGGCTACCGTTACCACCTCTACCAGCCGCGGCGCTGCGGCTGGTGCAGCGCAGGCGCGTGGCTGCGTGTGGCATCGCCGCCGGCACTGGCTGCACCCGCCGACCACGCGACTACTGCGATGGGCTGCCGCCGCTCCCCCCGCAGGCCGAGCTGTCGCGCGGCCGCTGTTCTTATTTGAAACACCGCTGTGTTGGCCATCCCTGGCACCCATGGCGGCGGTTTGCTTGCGAAGTCCGGCAACTGGCAGTAGCAGCAGCAACAGCACCCACGTCCTTGCGTCGTCGCTGGCCGTAGCGGTCGCGGCTGCTGCTGCACAGGTCGCGCTGTTAGCGACGGGCGCTGTGGACGGCAGCCCGGGTGTTGCATTGATGAATGGCGTTTTTCGGCTACGCAACGCGGTGCTGCATCGCGCTGGTGGCGAGCAAAGACCCAATGCTGAAGTCGCAAGTTCGATTCCTGATGCTGACGCTATTAGAGGGGCTGCACTGCTGTGCACGTTGGATGGTGCGACGGGTAACTTGGAGGTGGCACTTTCCTCACCAGCTACCAACCTGGTGCCGGTGCCAGTGTTCACTGCCTCAGTCGCGCAGGTAAAGTCCGCACAGTCCGCGATCCCAGCAAGCAACAGGACCACCAGAACCGACTCTGCTGCTGACGCTTCCATCGACGCCCCACTGGCTGCACTTGCGGCTGCAATATCGGGCTTCTGCGGACGGCACCATCCACAGCTGCCAGCGCCGGAATCGCCCTCCCTCTTCAGCATTGCAACGGCTGGCGGTGCTGTGGACTGTGGTCGTGCTTTGGGCGACGCCAGCGCTCATGCAGCAGCTGCAGCCGCGGCGGCCAAGGTCGAAGCGGATGAGGAGCAGGGCGTCCACCTGGCTAGCTGGGTCGCTACCGCCCTGCAGCTCCAGTCCCCAGCGTCCGCTGCTGCTGCTGCCGCCGCGCTGGAGGGTTTTGAGATATGCACACTTCCCTCCGTGACCATTACAAGCGGCAACGCCGCTGCCGATGCTTCATGCACTACCGGCTGCGCCCTCCGGGGTCAGGTCCTGTACGGCCCTGATGTGGTGTTACGTATTCAGGGCCTGCGGACCGTGGACGTCGTAACCGCCGTGCGAGATGCCGCTGCCGCTGCTGCCGCCGCCGCCGGCGTTACTGCTAAGATGGTGATGGAGGCTGAGAGAATGGCAGCAGCAGCTGCGGATTTTGAGGATGTGGACTGTTTGGACGATGCGGAGGAGGAGACGCTGTACGTGGTGGAGTGGCAGGTGGACGAGCCTGCAGAGGAGCTGGATCCAGAGCAACAGCAGCCGCAGGCGGGAGCAGTACCCGCGGGCGGGAGCAGTGCGGCGCTGGGATGCCCGCCAGGCCGTGGGTTGGACACGCTACCCGGTGTCGCCAAATCCCTGGCTGCGCTTCAAGGCCTCACATCCGATGCGCCAAACATGCCCCAACTCCAACTCATGACCTGCGCCGCCCACCATGACGCATTGAACTTCCCCAGCCGTAACGTCGCTGCAGCAGCGGCGGCGGTGGCTGCAGCGGCAACCGGGCGGGCCGGCAGCGCCGCTGGCGTGAGCACCGCTGCTTGGGCTCTGTCCCGCACGCTGCTGCAGGAGCGACCTGGGACGTCGCTGATCGCCTCAGACTCGGCGCCTCTGGGGCCGTGGTTCCGGAGCCAGATCACCGTCGGTGCCGGCGGCGGGAGCGGTGGTGTACATAGCATGCTGGCGGCCGTAGACTGGACGAGCCGTTCCGCCGAGGGCCCCGCCGCCGTGAGCAGCAGCCAAGCCTCCTCAAACAAGTACGGTCAGACTGATGCAGCTGGCGTTTCATACACGGCGCGTTTAGTTACAGCACCACGCGTTGGTCCTGGTGCCACCAAAGCTCTGCTGCCAGGAACCCCGGCTTCGGAGCTCAGCTCTTCACTGCCCCGGGATGGTGTCTACATCGTCACCGGCGGCTCCGGCATGGCGGCGGCACATGTCGCACGCTGGCTGGCGGCGTGCGGTGTACGGCATGTCCACCTCGTCAGCCGCAGCGGCGCCCTGCCTGCGGGCCTTCTGCCGCTACCACCGCCGCCACTGCTTTCGGCAGCGTCACTAGGCGCGTCTCGAGAACCCAGTCAAGCCTTCAACACAGCCATTACGGCCTCCAAAGCTGACATGAGCAGCGCTGAGGCCGCTGCTTGGTTGTTCTCCTCCTCGGCTGGATCTCCTGGTATTGACGCCTTGGCGGAAGCCGAGGCCGATGCACTGGCGCAGCCGTGGCAACCGTTGCCGGTTCTGGGCGTCTTCCACGCCTCCGGAGTACTGGAGGACTCACTGCTACAGAGCGTGACCCTCGCTTCCACCCGTCGCGTCGTCGCCGCTAAGGCCGGCGGCCTAGCCGCATGGCTGGACGCCGCCGTCCGCCACCCCGCCGCATCGCACGTGCTGTTCTCCTCCGTCGCGTCACTGCTGGGCTCACCCGGCCAGGCCAACTACAGCGCCGCCAATGCGCTGCTCGACGCCGCCGCTTTGGCGGCGGCGGCGGCAGGCCAGCCGGTGGTATCCGTTCAGTTCGGCGCCTGGGCCGGTGCAGGCATGGCGGTACGGCATAGCGGTACAGCGGCCCGACTAGAACGCATGGGGCTAGGCATGCTGCGGCCAGAGCAGGCGCTCAGCGCGCTGGAGGCTGCCGTAAATTCCCAGAGCTCTGTAGCAGGGGCGTCAGCCGGTGTATTTCCCGTCACCGTCGCTAACCCGTTCCGGTGGCGTGCCTTTATCCGGAACCTCGAGCAGCAGCAGCAGCAGCAGCAGCAACGGGCTTTCACTGCGTCCGCCGGCACCTCGATGGCTGACTGTTCCAAACCTACACCCGCTTTTTTCTCCGCCTTCGCTCGGCACGCCATGCCCGCCGCACCCGCCATCACAGGCTCAGCGGCGGCATCAGGCGCCGCCCCGGCGACGGCATCGCCGCGGCCTGCGTCCCGCCGTGCGCAGGTGGATGTGGATGTGGCGGCGGTTGTTGCCGCTGCCGTAGGGGAAATCCTTGGCGGCAGCGGCGCCGCTGCAGCCGACAGTGTCTCACCGCACCAGCCCCTCATGGCCGCTGGCCTGGACAGTCTGGGCGCCGTAGAGCTCACACGCTCTTTGGAATCTAGTCTTGGCCTGCAGCTGCCACAGACGCTAGTATTTGACCACCCCACCATTGCAGCGTTGACGGAGCACCTTGAGGCTCTACTGAAGGGACCAGAATTCGCCTTACCGAACGTCACGGCAGGTGTACGCGCACGTGGGGAAGAAGTGGAGACGAGGGGGGAGGTGTATGCTGGAAGGGCAAACCGCCCTCGGCACTACTACCCACGGGCAGTGGATGGCGCTGCCTCCGGCACGGTTGCGATGCGGGGTTCTTCACCGCAAGCGGCGCCTTCATCAACGGTGCCAGTGGTGGTCATCAGGTCGCTGGTGCAGCGAATGCCACAGCCCGTCGGTGTTGCCGCCGACCCTGTCGACTTGGTGCCGTACAGCCGCTGGGACATCGACGCCAGTCCGGCGCGGGCCCTGGATGCGCGTTTCGGCGCCTTCCTGCCGGCTGTCGACGTATTCGATGCGCAGTTGTTCGGCATTGCCGACGCCGAGGCGGCGCTGCTTGACCCGCAGCAGCGACTGCTGCTGGAGGGGTTGTACGAGGCCATGAAGGCGACAACGGCGCCGCCGTCGCCCCTGCTGCCGCAGCGCGGCGCAACCCGATCCTCATTGCAGCGCCCGATGGGCACCTACGTCGGCGTGGCGTCGTCGGACTACGGCGCGCTAGTCAAAGCGCACGGCGGCTCCCCAGGAGCTTTCCACGCTACCTCCAACGCGCTCAGCGTCACTGCGGGCCGCCTGTCGTACACATTCGGACTGTCAGGTTCGTGCTCGTGTGTTTAGGAGTCCCCGTGTGTGTGTGTGTGTGTGTGTGTGTGTCCCCCAGTGACTTACTGATTGACCAGTCTGATGGAACCTGCACCACCATGGGGGGTTGAGGGGGCCCAGCCCGGTTGTTTTCCCAACCTACCACCTCCCCTTCACACCCTCCCCACCAGTACCAGCATCCGACAACCAATCGCCTAGTATTCGCATTCCATAGCAGTTATGTCCTGTATGTGTTACACCCGCACCCACTCCCCCGCACCCGCACCACCTAACCCACCACCCGCACCCACTCCCGCACCCGCACCCGTACATACACACGGCACCAGGTCCCTCTCTGGCGATCGACACGGCCTGCTCCGCCTCCCTGGTGGCTACCGCCCTGGCGCACCGGGCTGTGCTGGCGGGCGAGGTGCACGAGGCGGCGGTGGCGGGTGTGCACGTGCAGGCCACGCCCACGTCGTCCTCCTACGTTTGGGCAGCAGGCATGCTGTCACCACAGGGCAGGTGCGTGCGGGGCGTGCGGGCGAAAGCGGGGCGACAAGACCCAAGACTCGGTTTTTGTACGGGGCCCAGGCAGGGCCAGAGTGGTGGCCGAAGATTAGCTCACGATACCCGACCATACCACCGTCCCCTGCTATACCATTAACATATCATATACTCACATATATATATGTATACATGTATTTACACATAGTGGTGCCGTACACACATGCAGGTGCCAGGTGCTGGACTCAGCCGCGGACGGCTACGTGCGTGGAGAGGCGCTGCAGGCAGGGAGTGGGAGTAGCCACATGGGGTTGGGGAGTGGGACAGAGGAACCTGACTGTCTGCCTGTCTCCTGCCTGCATGCCTGCCATGTCTGTCTGTTTATGCGAGCCGTTTAATTGCTTCGAAATTGTTCTGATTTGGCTCCAGATCTGCTGAGCTTCTGTCTGATAAGATCCGCGGATCTGCCCAAGGTGGTGTTAGTACCGGTGCCGGTGGTGGCGGTGGCGGTGACGGTGGCGGTGGTGGTGGTGAACCGCTCGCTGTGCCACCCCCTCCGCTCCGCTGCCCTCCGTGTGGTGATAGGTCATGATCATAGCCGCCGAGGCGCCGGGCTCCGTGGCGTCGTCAGCAGCCGATGCAGCACGCCCGCCGCCGCTGGCGGTGTTGCTGGGCGCCGCCGTCAACCAGGACGGCCGCAGCAGCAGCCTCACCGCACCCAACGGCCCCGCTCAGCAGGCGGTGGTGCGGGCAGCACTGGCGGAGGCGGGACGCGTCGCGGGCGAGCTGAGCCTGCTGTCCATGCATGGAACCGGTATGGAGCAACACGGACATGTCTGCATGTATGCCTGTCTGCCTTCGTTAGGACCACGTAGGCGCCTGTGAAACACACTTAGCAACACTGCGATCTGCGCATATGCACGTTGCTGCTTCTTGCCATACCAGCCATAAAACCCATATCCACCCGAGACGACAATAACCCCACATCTCTCCCCTCTCCCTCCCTTTCCTTCCCCTCCCTTTTCGTTCCCCTCACCTCGCCTCCCCTTTCCCTCCCTAACCTTCCTTCCTCCTTTCCGTTCTCCTATTTCTCACCCGGTATGTCGTACTGCTGCAGGCACCCCGTTGGGCGACCCAATCGAGGTCAGCGCCTTCGCCGCCGTCCTGTCCTCCTCCTCCGCGCCATCTCCATTCGCCTCCCCCACCGTTGGATCCCATCCGACCTTTGGACCCGTATCGCTGGCAGCCTCCAAGTCGCACCACGGCCATGCGGAGCCCGGTGCGGGCCTGGTGGCGCTGTCGCACGCGGCCCTGGCCCTGCAGGCCGCGTCCCGACCGCAGCTGCTGCACCTGCGCAGCCTCAACCCCAGCGCGGCAGCTGCGTTGGAGACGGCGCAGGCGGCGGCGGCGGCGGGAGGAGTTGTCGGCAGCATCGGTGACAACAGCAGCGAAGCGGTTTACGGGGCGATGCTCCTGGCGGCTGGGCGCAGGTGGGCGGCTGGGCGGTGCTGCTGCGTGCTGCGGGAGGGGGGTTAGGGAGAGGGCGGGAGGGACTCAAGCGGGGCTCGAAGGAAAGCGCAGGGAAGCCTTGGGGTTGTTGGTCTTTATTATAATAGTGCTGGTGATGTAAGATGGCGAGGAGGGTGAGTGCCTGAATACGGGTATGATGTGCTGCAGCTGTCAGCACAAGCTAGCGGTCTGTTGCATAGCCTAAGGCTCCTTGACAGAAGTCGAGATAGGTAGAGATAGGTAGAGAGAGGGGGAAAGTAAACGGCTGGTGGCATCGGCCATAGGTACAAATGATCTCGCCAAACATGTGTTCCCTCCCCTCTCCTTTCCTTTCCTTTCCTTTTCCTGTCGCGCACTTCCCACCGACTTGCCGTCTTTCACTCCCTCGCCAGTTTGGGCCCGCTGGTGGCGCCGACAAGCACCACTGTCGTTGCGGATCTCAATTCCCACAAACTCTCTTCGGTAGCGGCGGAGACAGCGCTTCTCGCCGGCGTCAGCTCCTTCGCCTTCATGGGTACGAACGCCCACGTCGTCATCGCCGCGGCTGCGACAGAGCCCCAGTCCGCCTGCAGTGGCGCTGCCGCGTCGGCAGAGGCAGCAGAGGCTGGCAGCCGCCTGCAGTGGCGCCGCCGTAACCACTGGTGCGTGGCGGCAGAGCCGCACCTCCTCGCGGCGAAGGTGCTGCGGTACAGTACGGCTGCGGCAGCCTCTGTCACCCTGCAGGGTGACCTCTCCCATCCCCGCCTGTCGTACCTATGGCAACACGTCGTCTCTGGCAAGCATGTTCTTCCCGGGGCGGCGTATATGGAGATGGCTACTGCCGCCGCCCGAGCGCTTTTGCTGCCGCACGGCTTCACGGCCGAGTACGGAAGCGGCGACGTTAGTTCGCACTCGGTCGTCATCCAGGACGCTGCCATCCCGTCGCCGCTGATCCTGCCTGCTCTAGGTGGCAGTAGCGGCGGCGGCAGCGGTGCTCCGCTGCTGTACTGCAAGCTGGATCTGGCCGCCGGTCGGTTGGCGGTCTTCACGAGGAGCCGCCGTGGCGGCGCGCAGACCGTACATCTACGTGCTTCTGTGGCACTTGTACGACGACATGATGCAGCGGCGGCCACAAGGCCCGACGCCGCTACCTCTACCAACAACACCGCAATGGCTTCTCTTGGAAGAGTCCTATGTAATCTCCAAACGGCATCGCCACCCGCGGCGGCAGAGCAGCCTCTGTCCGTTGCAGGCATCAGCTGCGGCAACCAGAAGCTACCACAACCGCTTTCGCCGCTTTGGCGACCCGCCGCTACCGCCACAATGCTACAGCCGCATCTGGCTGACGACGCCACGGCAGTTGCATCCTACGCCGCCTGCAGCGACGGGCTGCTGTTGGGCGTCGGGCTGCTCGACAGCTTCTTGCAGCTCGGTCAGGTCTTCATCCAGCGTGACGACCGTACGGCAGCGTCGGGAATCTATGTGCCGTCGGGCTTCGGTGCGTTGCTGGTCCCCACGACCGCGACCGCGGCGGCGGCAGCGGCGGCCTACGCTGCGGCTGGAAGTGGTGGTGGAGTAAGCAACCTGCCGGGCAGTAGCGCCTGCGTTTCACCAATAATCATGGCGGCGAATGCCGCCGCGGCCGTGGCCGCTTCCGAAGGGTCGGCGCCAGCTGCCGTCAGTGACTACCGGCTGGTCGGCGTTGATGGCAGCGTTGTGTGTACGATTGGCGCAATGCAGGCGAAGCCGCTAGCAAATCATCAGTCGAGCAGCGCACCGGCGCGTGGTGGTACTGTGGCGGCGCCTCCGCCGTCCACATCGGAGGTCGACCTGCTGTACGAAGTCAGCTGGGTGGTGGATAGGCCGCCTGATCAGGCGGCGCCGCCGTCGGAGGTTGCCACGCTGAGCCTGGAGTCCGTGCCTATGGCAAACGCGCCATCCGCGGCCGTGGCCACGAGCCTTGCCGTACTGCAGCAGACCGCCGCAGCTGCCGCCCCAGCAATGATGGGGTCTGCACTGCATGTGCAAGCACCCACAGGGTCTGCGTTCTTCAGCATGCAGCCATGCGGCAGCGTCCTCCAACAAAGTAGCGAACATGGGGACACGCTGCTTCCTAACGTCCTCGCAGGTGCCGCCCGTACGGCAGCGCTGGAGGCGCCTGTGCTTGACCTCCGCGTGGAGAGTCACAACTGGACCACAACTGACATGTGCCACCGCCCTGCAGCCGCCGCAGCCGCCGCCGTGCAGATCATAAAGCCGGCGGCGTCAATCGAGAATAGTGACGTGTACGGTAACTCCAGCGCTGCTGGCTTGGTTGCCGTACCTCGCCTGACGCCAAGTACCCGTCAGCAAGCTCTCGGGCCTCATCAGCTGTTGCCGCAGCCGAAGGGCTCCCTGGAGAATCTTCGGCCGGCGCCACTGGACGTGTCGGCCGAGAACCGACCCGCGGGTCACTGCGTTGTGGCGGTCAAGGCCGTGGGCCTCAACTTCCGCGATGTGCTCAACGTTCTGGGCATGTATCCAGGCGACCCGGGAGCCCCGGGCAGCGACTACGCGGGCGTGGTGGCCTCAGGAGCGGGTGCCGGCAGGGCAGTGTTCGGTTTGGCGACAGGCTGCTTGGCATCGCATGTAATGGCCAGCACAGAAACCCTAGCCGCCCTGCCACCAAACGTAGGCTTTGAGGACGGCGCCGCCAGCCCCACTATTTTCTTAACAGTCGAGGCGGCGCTTGTGAATGAGGCGTGCGTGACGCCATCGGATAGGGTGCTTGTGCATGCCGGTGCCGGCGGTGTGGGCCTGGCGGCGACACAGGTAGCGGCGGCGCTAGGCGCCACTGTCGTCAGCACCGCCGGCAGCCCGTCCAAGCGCGCGCTGCTGCGGGGCCTGGGAGTGCGCCACGTGTCCACCAGCCGCGATCTGGGCTTCGTGGAGGAGCTGGCGACCGTGACGGCCGCCCGTGGCGGTGTGGACGTCGTGCTGAACAGCCTGACCAGCCCAGGCATGGTGTCCTCTAGCCTGGCGCTGCTGTCCCGCGGCGGGCGGTGGGTGGAGATCGGCAAGCGCGACATCTGGTCGGCCGCGCGAGTGCAGAGCGAGCGGCCCGATGCGCGCTACGGCCTACTGGCCGTGGACTTCATGCCGCCGGAGGTGCTGCACCGACTACTGGCCAGCCTCAGCCGCAAGATGGCCGCGGGCATCCTGGCCCCCATCCGCCGCGTCACCTACAGCCTTGCCTCCGTCGCCGCTGCCATGCGTCAGATGTCACAGGCCCGCCACGTAGGAAAAATCGTACTGAGCGCTGCCTTTGGCGGGCCCATCGGCGGCGCCACCACCGCCCAGGGCCACATCTACGGGCCTCGGCAAGGTGCTATGGCTACAGGAGAGCCCCTGCCATCAGCATCCAGTGGTGACGCGATCCTGGTCACGGGCGGCACCGGCGCGCTAGGCGCCCTGGTGGCATCCTGGCTGGCCACAACCGCGCCTGGCCTCCGTATCGTACTCGCATGCCGTACAGGCAAGCTATCGGCGGCGGCGGAATCCGCGGTCGGGCCGCTGGCCGGCCTACACGACCCGGCGTCGCCGCTGTATGCCACTGCCTTGAGCGTCGTACGCTGTGACGCTGCATGTGCAGCCGCGGTGGCAGGTCTTGTGCGTGGTGAGCTGGCGGCGGCGGGGCTGCGCCTGGCGGGCGTCATGCACGCCGGCGGCGTGTTGGCAGATGCCACACTCGCCAACCAGGGGCTGTCAGGAGCTCGCGCCGTCTCGGCGCCGAAACTGTCCGCCCTAGCCGCGTTGGAGCCCTTCCTCACACTGAGCCCCAGCGCCACATCGCACGTGCTGTTCTCCTCCGTTGCTTCACTGCTGGGCTCGCCCGGACAGGCCAACTACAGCGCCGCCAACGCCGGACTGGACGCTGCCGCCGCCGCGCTGTCGGACCGCGGGCTGAGTTTTGTCAGCGTGCAGTGGGGCGCGTGGAAGCACGCCGGCATGGCACTGCAAACGGCAGCCAAGAATGAGGCGGCAGGTGTGGGAGCACTGGCCCCGGAGCAAGGCCTAAGGGCGCTGGAGGCGGTGTTGGCGGCTGCGGCGCCTGCAGGTATTTACTTGGACCCTTCAAGTTGCGGTAGTGGGGATTGGGGGTTTTAGACTGCCCCCTGGAGGAGGCATAAAGGATCTGAGGATCTTTTAGCCGTGCTTGCCTGTTCTCAGTCCTTGCCGCAGGGCGGGAAGATTTGCACCGTCCAGTTTGCGCCATGGCTGTGAGTATGGCGGCCCAGCCTTTATCGTCCTTTACAATGTCCTTAAAAGATTGTGAAAGTTTTTACTTGAATACTTTAAATTTTATCCACTACAAAGCACTCCTAAAAAATTCGTTTGAGTGAAGACAACCTGAACACGACGGCCAACGGCCTAGGGACTTACTCGCCCCTTCCTTTCCTTTCCTTTCCTTTCCTTTCCGGCACAGGCTCTGGCAGCTTGCACAGCCCAGTTGTGGCTGTGTCACCCTTCGACTGGCGCCGCTTCGCAGAGCGCACCGCTCCCAAGCCGTTGCCACCCATGCTTCAGCACCTCATCCCTACGCCAGCAGCGAAGGCAGGGGCAGAGCACCAGGCTGACCTCAATGCCATGGGCATTGATGCCGACCGAAGCCGCCGCCGCGGTGGGGCATCCAGTGGGCGACGCCGTCGTGGATTGCCTCAGGCTGCGGAGGCCCGCAGCAGCGGCATGGATTTGGAGGCCGTGCGGGGAGAGGTACGGAGCGTACTTTGGGGTTTTACATCATACTACGAAGGCAAACGACTGAAACGAGTGCTTACCTAGGTTCCTTGCCGTGTGTGTTGTTAACTTTCTTTTCTCCGTCCCGAGGTCAGCCAACGTAGACGCTCACTCATATCATCTCACTCAGCAGAAACGCGTCCCAAGGACTTCCTGTTCCCTTTATAAGATTGTATTGACGAAAGACTCGTGATTTGACCTTGTCGTTACACCCCTTGGTTGATGACACATCTACACCCAGATGGGCGTTTTGTATAGAGGGTGGCGAGGAGCGGGGGGTTATGGAGAAAGAAAGTGAAAGTGAAAGAGTTTGAAAGGGTGAAGAAGCTTTACTTATATAACATCTCCGTGTATGTAATGCAGATCGCCGCTGCCGTGCGTGGCGTGGTGGGTTCATCTGTTGCCCCCGATGCGCCGCTGATGAGCTCGGGCCTGGACAGCTTGGGGGCGGTGGAGCTGAGGAACGCGCTGGAGGGTCGGCTGCAGGTAATAACAGACGAAGGCGTCTAAGTGGCGCAGCAGTGCGAGGTTTGATGTTGGTCAAAAATAGTATGATGTACAAGCTCTCGATGTTGCCTGCAAATGCCCATTGCGCAAAGCCAGGGCAAAGCCAGCGCAAAGCCAGGCCAGGCCAGGCCAGGCGAGAAAAACACACCACGGATTGCACTGGTGCATTTGTGTGCGCTTGTATACTTGCATACATCTGTGCGCATCCATTCACCCCTTCCTTCCATACTTGTATCTATGTATATATTGATCATGGCGTTCTATGTTTTGAGGTACGCCAGAGTGTTTCGAGCGCCGGTGAACCCGCCAAATAGCATATGCCTGAGCTAGCTACTGAGAATGAGTTGTGAGAATGGGAACCAAACGATTTAGTTCCCCTGGGCCCCCAGGTTTCCCTGCCCAGTACTCTGGTCTTCGACTACCCCACCATCGACGCGATCAGCACCCTGGTCGCTTCATCTCTGCAACAGCCGGGCGCATCCGGTGCAATGAACGATGTTGTCCCGCCTACTACTAGTGCGGAGGACCTCAATGACGACAGCAGTGACGATAACGAGGCTTACCATGATAATGGACTTAGTGTGGATGACTTGGCGTCGGAGATGGACGACAACGGCGACTTTGACAATCTAGATGGATCGGCGTTCATGCGGCAAGGCACACGGAGGGCCCGGAGGATCCACGTGGCCCCCGCCCGTGCTGCTGCTACTGCTGCTACTGCCGCGGCCGGCCTGCTTACCGCCAGGCATGGCCGCGGTGATGTAGTGGTGGCAGTATTAGCGGCTGCGCAGGCGGTGCCCGGTGGTGGTGCGGCTCCTTGGCGACAGGACCCAGCCACTGTGCTACACGACGTCGTGTCCGTGGTCCCGGAGCACAGGTGCGGCCGCTGCGGTCGTCCGACTTGGGGCATGCCGACTTATGGAACGAGCTCCGCGCCGTATCTTAGCAGCAGCAGACTTGCGTGTGAATCACTTGCCTGTGCATCACAACATGGGTTTGGCTAGTTTCCTTGGTTTCCTGGGTTTGCATGCATCTCCTCATCCCAAGCTTGCCGCTACCGCTCCCGCTACCGGTTCCGCCGCTGCAGATGGGATGTGGAGCGGGCCCTCACAGACGGCCTACCACCGCGCTTCGGCGCCTTCCTGCCGCACCACCGCGTGGCAACCTTCGACGGGGCCGCCTTCGGGCTGAGCGCCCCAGAGGCCGCCATGATGGATCCACAACAGCGACTGCTGATGGAGCTAGGCTGGGAGGCGCTGGCGGCATCAGGGGGCACCGAGGCCACCAGTGAAGGCGCAGCAAAGGTCACTGCTGGCGGATTGGTGTCCTTGACAGCAATGGCCTCTCAGGCCGTGGGCGTATTCGTGGGCGTGTCGACTCCTGACTACGCGGACCTTAAGAAGGCGCACACACCCATCGGCGTGTACAGTGCGACAGGTGCGACCCTGCTCCGCCTTTCACTGCTGGGAACGGAAGCGTAGGAATGGGGAATGGGGAATGGGGAATGGGGAATGGGGAATGGGGAATGGGGAATGGGGAATGGGGAATGGGGAATGGGGAATGGGGAATGGGGAATGGGGAATGGGGAATGGGGAATGGGGAATGGGGAATGGGGAATGGGGAATGGGGAATGGGGAATGGGGAATGGGGAATGGGGAATGGGGAATGGGGAATGGGGAATGGGGAATGGGGAATGGGGAATGGGGAATGGGGAATGGGGAATGGGGAATGGGGAATGGGGAATGGGGAATGTAGGCAAAAGGCCACGGACTTATGGGTCCCGGACTCCGCTTATTAATTCGTGTGTGTTGATGCATGTGCGTGCTGCTGCAGGCTCGGCGCTGTCCGTCGCGGCCGGCCGGCTGTCCTTCACATTTGGCCTGCGGGGCCCAGCGGTGTCCATCGACACGGCCTGCTCGTCCAGTCTGGTGGCAGCGCACCTGGCGGTTCGCGGCATGGCGGCGGGCGACTGCGGGCGAGCGCTGGTGGCTGGCGTGCGCACCATCCTGACACCCAGCCTTTCAGCAATGTTCCATACGGCAGGTAAGTTCTTTTATGTCCGTAATGGGAAAGCGGTGGCAGCTGTTGGCAGGAGTCATGTAAGCGCGATCCCGATGATGTGCGGGGGGGGCCATATAGCCCGATAGAGTGTCCGCTATCCCGTCGCCGAGGCGCTTAAAAGGCGGGGGGATATGTATGCCGCTGCAGGCATGCTGGCGCAAGACGGCCGCTGCAAGACGCTGGACGCCGCCGCCGATGGCTACGTTCGCGGCGAAGCTGCAGCCGCCCTCCTCCTCCAAGCTTACAGGCCCAGCGACGATGTGGCCAACAGGGGGCCAGACGCACGGGCGGTGCAACCATCGCTGGATGCAGTTGCCATCCTTGTCAGCACCGCCGTCAACCAGGACGGCCGCAGCAGCAGCCTCACCGCACCCAACGGCCCCGCGCAACAGGCGGTAGTGCGGGCAGCACTGGCGGAGGCGGGGCTGTCGGCATTCTCTGTCCGCACGTTGCAGATGCACGGTACCGGCACACCGCTGGGTGACCCCATCGAGGTCGGGGCCGCTGCGGCGGTGCTGACTGCCATCCCCGTCGGTGTCACCAACCTGCGTGAACTCCCGAACGATCAGCCCCAGGTGCTTCCTCTGACGTTGGCTACTGACAAGAGCGGCATCGGGCACACCGAGCCCGCCGCGGGCGTTATGGGCATCCTCCATGCCGCCTGGTCGGCCCGTGCATCATGCAGCCTGCCAGTGCTGCACCTGCGAACTCCGAACCCACACCTGACGGAGGCGCTCGCTGGTGCAGCCGCCGCCAGTGGCGGCACCGGCATGGCGCTCCCACGCCAGCCGGCCGGACGCCCAGCAGCAGCAGCAGCAGCAGCAGCTGTGAGTGAAGCGGTGGTATGCGGAGTGAGCTCCTTCGCCTTCCAGGGCACCAATGCACACGTGCTGCTCTCACCGACTGAGCAGCTGCTGAAGGCGGCACCAATGGCGGAGGCGGAGGCGGTGAAGCCTTCGCCAGCGGATGCCGCAGCGCTGGTACCAGCCTGGCGCCGGCAGTACGCGTACGTGCTTCCACCGTCATCCTCACTCTGCCGTGCTGCCACAGCTACTACTACCACCGGCCGCAAGGCTACCTTCCATGTCGACCTGACTCATCCCGACGTCTCGTACATGTACGACCATATAGTGAACAATCGGCCGATTTTCCCCGGCGCCGGCTACCTGGAGATGGCGGCCGCTGCCGTCCACATCGCCGGCCATGGCGCCAATCCGAGTGTTGCCCTGGCGGACGTGGCGATCCTCGCGCCATTGGTCGTGCCGCAGGACACTACCGCCGCAGCGGCGACGGCGCTGCGTGTGGAGATCTATACGGAGACTGGCGAGGTCGTAGTGTACTCCGGCGCTACGACGGCTGCGGACTACAGCAATCCCAAGGGCCGGGGCCGGGGCCGCCGCAATGGCCAGTCTGCAGCAGCCAGTCAGCCTAGTACTTCCGCCACCGTGCACCTGACTGCCAAGGCAGCACGGCTAGCACTCACAACAGACAGCACATCGCTGCTACCAGCCACGAGCGCGGCTGCACCCCGCCGCAGAAGCCGTGACGCTGCGCGTGCAGCGGCGCCGACGCCGCTGTCCACCGCCGCGGTGTACGGCGACCTGGCTGCCGCGGGCCTGCAGTACGGACCGGCTTTCCGTCGCATGCGCAACTTGCACGCTACTGGCGACACAGCAGTTGCATCATTGCAGCTGCCGGGCCGTGAGGACCATGGCGCATTCCTCAATCATCCCGCGGTCCTGGACTGTGCGTTCCAGCTGGGCGCTGTGATCGGCGCCGCAGGAACAGCAACTGGCGCTGCCGCTGCATCCAGTACCACGCCGGGCCCACAGCTTAAGCCCCAGAGGCGCACCTTCGTGCCCGTGGCTGTGCAGCTGTTCTGCATCCGTGTGCCGCAAATGGGCACGCAAGGTCTGGGTACGGTACATGCACAAGAACACTTGCCACTGAGGGGGCCGCTGATGGCGGCTGGAGTGGAATCGCTCGGGGAGCTCTACGCCGTGGCGTTTGGCAAGACGGATCCGCGGGAAGACTCGCTATTCCGTGACGTCCATCTGTACGATGTGTACGGCTCGCCGCTCGTCCAAGTCGTAGGACTGGAGTCACGCGCCGTCGGCCGACCCGCTGGCGCTGCCTCCATGGCGGTGGACACATCCTCTAATGCAACCTCTACGCCGACGGCTCCTGGCCCTGCTGTTGGTGCGGCAAGCTCCCCCGATCCTGGCATGCTTTACGCAATTCAGTGGCTGGCGGAAGACGCTGTCGGCGACTTGGACAAGAATGAAAGCCAGGTTGTGGAGATTTCGACCAAGAAGAGTACAAGTGCTTCATGGCTTTACATGCGGGCGCCCGCTGCCACAGTGAAGCCGTCTTCGCGGCTGCTACTGCCGCACGCGCTCCAGGCCGCCAAAAGCGGCGCCGCCGCCCGTGTGGCCATTGCGCTACTGCGCAGTCCTGCAGGCTGTGCAGCCGGTGCCAGCTATCCAACTGGACCCCCCTCCGGCGCGGACGGCTCTGGCTGCGGCTACAGCCTGCAGGGCCTCATGCGCACTGTTGCACAGGAAGTTGGCAGTAGCACCCGTGTGGACAGCACACAGGTTGACCCGTTAGCGGCTGATGTAGCCGCCGGGTCTGCATTGGCTCCTGGCTTGCTGCTAGGAGAGCAAGGCGGAGCGACGGCGCCAGCATCCCAGATGTACGACGGCTACGGCACTGGCGCCGCCGGCGCGACACGTTATGTGCCACGGCTGTTGCCCTCAAGCGTGTCGGCGGCGCCTGCTGCGCCGTACCAATTGGTACCACAGCCGCGCGGCTCACTCAACAGCCTGGTCCCCGTGCCGCTGGACGCGGAGCTCACATCTTCCCTGCCGTCGGGCACGGTGCTGCTGCGGGTGCGGGCCGTGGGGGTCAACTTCAGAGATGTGCTCAACGTGCTGGGGATGTACCCGGGAGATCCGGGGGCACCAGGAGGAGACTGCGCGGGCGTGGTGGTGGGTGTCCCAGCAGCTGTGGAAGGAGATTCGAGCACGCCGCATTCTTTGGGACGGGCGGTGTTTGGCCTAGCTGTGGGAAGTCTGGGTTCGCATGTGGTTGCAAGCGCGCAGACGCTGGTGCCCATGCCGCCACAGCTGACTTTCGAGCAGGCGGCCACGGCGCCCACGGTGTTCGTAACGGTGGATGCCGCGCTGAGGCAGGCCGCGGCGCTGGGCCGGGGCGAGAAGGTGCTGCTGCCCGCCGCAGCCGGCGGTGTGGGCCTGGCGGCGACACAGGTAGCGGCGGCGCTAGGCGCCACTGTTGTCAGCACCGCCGGCAGCCCGTCCAAGCGCGCGCTGCTGCGGGGCCTGGGAGTGCGCCACGTGTCCACCAGCCGCGATCTGGGCTTCGTGGAGGAGCTGGCGACCGTGACGGCCGCCCGTGGCGGTGTGAACGTCGTGCTGAACAGCCTGACCAGCCCAGGCATGGTGTCCTCTAGCCTGGCGCTGCTGTCCCGCGGCGGGCGGTGGGTGGAGATCGGCAAGCGCGACATCTGGTCGGCCGCGCGAGTGCAGAGCGAGCGGCCCGATGCACGCTACGGCCTACTGGCGGTGGACTTCATGCCGCCGGAGGTGCTGCACGCCGGCCTATCGCGCGTCTCAGCCGGCCTGGCGGCCGGCCAGCTGCGACCTCTGCCCGGTGCCGTACACGGCCTTGCCTCCGTCGCCGCTGCCATGCGTCAGATGTCACAGGCCCGCCATGTGGGCAAAGTGGTAGTATCGGCTTCGGCGGGCTCAGTGCACCAAGAGCCCCATGTCACTCAACTCACGGCTGGGTGCCCCTCTGAGCCTCTCCATACCGATGCGGGCAAAGGGCCGCTGCTTTCCGGCCGCATCCTCATCACAGGCGGCACAGGCACGCTGGGCATACTCCTCGCCGAGTGGTTCACACAGCACGGCGCGAAACACGTCCATCTCCTCAGTCGCACCGGTGCGGTACCAGCCGCTGCCAGCGCGCGGCTGGTCTCCACCGCTGCCACCCACGGCGCCGACATCACTATCAGCGCTTGCGACACGTCCATCGCAGCCGACTGCGCGATGTTGTCGTGCGACACCCATGCAAAGCCCGTGACCTTACTCGTGCACGCCGGCGGCGTGCTATCCGACGCGACCCTGGCCAATCAGAGCCTTGAGGCGCTACGCAGAGTCCTGGCGCCCAAACAAGCCTCCCTGGACCATCTCTCCGCGTTGGCGCAGCAGTACCCAGCGGCGTGCCAGGTGATGTTTTCTTCAATCGCCTCCTTGCTGGGCGCTCCCGGCCAGGCCAACTACAGCGCCGCGAACGCCGGACTGGACGGCTACGCTGCGGTGTGCACGGCACGAGGCCTGCCGGCAGTCAGCGTGCAGTGGGGCGCGTGGGCGGGTGGCGGCATGGCGGCTCATGACGCGCAGACGGCGGCTCGTGTGGAGCGCATGGGCATGTCGCTCATCCAGCCACAACAGGGACTGGCGGCGCTGGAAGGTGAGCTGAACGGCTGGTGAAGCTTTCACTCCGGCCTGTAGGGTTTAGGGTAGGACTTCGCAGCTAGGCTTCCGATTGAGCTTTCCTGTGAGAAACGTATTCCACATGTCTGCACTTCACGCGTCTTGCTCTTGCCGCAGCGGCTCGTGCTCCTGCAGCGTGCCTGAGCCGTACCAGCAGTCTGCTGTTGCTGTTGTTGTTGCTGTTGCTGATGCTGATGATTATGATGATGATGACATGCAGGTGTTCTGGCGTCGTTCTCACTTCCATTGGCCGCTGGACGCCTCAGCATTCCCGGCCCGGAGCCCATTATCGCCGCCAACCCCTTCCACTGGCCTACCTTCCTTCGCCGCCTGCCGGGGCCACCCCCTCTGTTCCTCTCACACTTCTCAACCTCAACCTCGACCGCCGCAGCCAGCAGCACAGTTGCACCCACAACCACCGCAACCAGGCACGGCAGCAAGGCCGCGAGACGACGTCGGCAGCGAGCCTCCTCCTCAGCCGCTGCCGCTACCGGAGCCGCCGCGGTGTTGTCCACGTCCTCTGTGCTTGACACCGTTTCTGAGGTGGCGCGCGGCGTCATGGGGGTCCCCTCCCTGGACCCCTCCGCCAGCCTCATGGAGGCAGGGCTAGACAGCCTAGGCGCCGTGGAGCTCCGGAACCAGCTCTCTCGTTCCTTCGGCCTGGAGTTGCCCGCCACGCTGATGTTCGACTACCCCACGGCTGCGGCTGTAGCGGGCTACGTCCTCACGGAGCTGGAGGCGACCGGCGGCGGTGGCGGCGCCGCCATCAACCAGGACCGCCGCCGCGGGTATGACAAGGATAAGGAGGACGATGATGATGATGATAATGGTAATGATGATGATGGGGATGATTTTGACGACGAGGATAGCGATATGGAGGAATCCAGTTTTGGGTCGGGCTGGGAGGAGGAGGAGGAGGACGACGATGGAGTGAAGGCGGGTGTTACTACTGTAGCAGCTCGCGTCGGCCTCCGCCGAGGTGGTGCGGGCGGCCGACAGGCAGTATCCAGGCGGCTTGAAGGCGGTCGCGCGCGTGCCACGGCGGTGGTGCTACTGTCCGGCATCAGCACCCGCTACGCCGGCGGCATCACCGGGCTGCGGCAGCTGCACGCGGCCAGCCGGGACAGCACGGAGTTACATGGCCCGCCGCCGTACGGCCGCTGGGACCCAGACCTTGCGTTCCTTGCTCGCGTGGACGGCGTAGCGACACGGCTGGGTACGTTTGTGAGCGATGTACACGAGTTCGACGCGGCGGCGTTCGGGCTGAGCGACGGCGAGGCAGCGCTGATGGACCCGCAGCAGAGGCTGCTGCTAGAGGAAACGCTGGCTGCCTTCACTGACGCGGGCAGGTGCGTCGCAGAGGAAAGCCTAGCTGAGCTTAAAACCCTAAAACCCTAAAACCCTAAACCCTAAGTACCCGGGCATCTGGTAATCCACTTTATCATAGCGCCCTGATTCATTATCCTCCGCTCCGTCCCTGGCTCGCACCGTTCCTGGCACACCTCCTGCCCTGCTTGTGCTCCGCGCCGTCAGATCTGCTGGATCACTGGCCGGCACCTCCACGGGCTGCTACGTCGGCTGCATCTGGCTGGAGTACGGCGAGCTGCTAGCGGGCCCCGGCGGCGCCAAGGCCGGCAGCGCGCAGGCCGTCACCGGCAACGGACTGGCCTTCATGGCGGGACGAGTATCGTACACGTTCGGCCTGACTGGTGAGCTAGCGTCCGCCGATGCCTTGCCAGCATATGAGACAAGCACCCGGTCCCCCTTCTTCCTGTGCCTCTGCTATGTTTCCCCAAAAGGATAAGAAGCAGCTTTCAAAACCGACACCGTACCGACACTGCCCTATGCGATTCGAGTGTATTTGCAACGTCACGGACTGTTCTCATACGCTGTCCGCTTCTCTGCGCACGACCCTTAACTGCCACAGGCCCGTGCATTCCGACCAACACCGCCTGCTCCAGCTCCTTGGTGGCCGCACACCTGGCGGCGGCCAGTATCCGCACCGGCGAATCGGCTGTAGCCGTTGCTGCCGGTGTCAATGCGATGCTACTGCCACGCGGCGCCACAGCTGCCATGACCCGTGTCCAGGCGCTGTCACCTGACGGTCGCTGTAAGGCCTTTGGCGCAGAGGCGGACGGATACGGCCGTGGCGAGGGCTTCACCACCCTGGTAATGGAGGCTGCAAATGCTGCTGCTGCTACTACAGGCCTTGCCCCCGCTACTACAGCCACCACTGCCGGGACCGTCGCTGCTCGGCGCGCTCACGCCGTCTTTGCCGGCTCAGCAGTGAACCAGGACGGTCGCAGCAGCGGCTTGACGGCGCCGCACGGTCCTAGCCAGACCGCGCTGGTGGCGGCGGCGATGGCGCAAGCGGGCACGGCCGCACTGGCTTTCACGGCCACGCACGGCACGGGTACGCCGCTCGGCGATCCTATCGAGAGCAACGCACTGCGCAAGGCGCTGCTACCGTTGGCGGAGCCTCGGGCAGCGGAAGCAGTGGCGCCGGGCACGTCGCGGACGACGGTAACTTTGGGCGCGATCAAGGCCCTAACGGGTCACTTGGAGGGCACTGCGGGCCTTGCGGGGCTAATGCAGGCGGTAATCTTCCTGACGGAAATGTCCACGCCGCCGCTGCGTTACCGTAACATCAACCCGCACGTCGCCTCCACGCTCGGCGACGGCGGCGGCGCCGCCGCTACTGGGAACAGCCTGGCGGCACGACTGCCGATTCAGGCCAGCCCAGCCGTGGACCTTGGCGCCGGCGTCCACCCGGGGGCCGCCGCTTTCGCTGGCACCAGCTCCTTTGGGATGAGTGGTGTTAACGCCCACGCGATCGTACGGTTGTACGAGAATGATGCAGCGGCTGGCGTTGATGGTGATGGTGGCTCTCAGCACAGCGCAACGTCGCCACCGTGGTTGGCAACGCTGTCGTGGCGACGCCAGGACTTCCAGCGGCTGCTGCCCCTGCCGCTGGGTCACCCGTTGGCATACACCGCCAGGCTGGCGGCGGCGCCGCCTGGCGGCACCGTCGGAACAAAACTAGTGGAGATTGTGCTGCCATTACCGTCGCCGCAACTGTCATACCTGTACGACCACGTCGTGGGTGGCAAGCCACTCTTCCCCGGCGCCGGCTACCTGGAGATGGCGATGGCGGCCGCTGTCGCGGCGGCGCCCGCTGCAACGGCAGCGGCAGGCCTAGTTCTGCGTGACGTCCGATTCGCGGCGCCATGTGTGATGCCATCGCCGCTTCATACAGCAGCTGCCGCCGGGGCGGGTGTGACGGCGTCGCCGCAATCCCTGGAGCTTGCTGCCGTACTGGACACGGCGTCGGGGGTTGTACGTGTGGTCTCACGCGCCGCCGGCGGCAACGCTGCACGGCAGCAACCCGGCAACGCCGCCATGCACATGACGGCGCAAGTAGCCCAGCTGTACTCGCCGGCGCTGGCTTCTCCTGCACAGTCTGTGTCCACCGAGTCGCGTCTGACCTCCAGGACGGCCACCACCCGTCCTGCTGGGGCCATGTCCATGGATGCCATGCGTGCCCGGTGCCCGGTGCCGATGGCCCCCGCAGCGGTATACGACAATATGGCAGCCGCAGGACTGCAGTACGGCGCCGCGTTCCGCGGCCTGCAGGCCGTGCACACGGATTTGCGGGGTAGCCTCGCGGCGGGTCGGCTGACAACGATGATGGCGAATGAGCACCAGCGAGACGGGTACTTCGTACACGTGGCTTCTCTGGATAGCGTCTTGCAGCTGGGCGCGGTGGTAGGCAGCGGCAGCAACACCGCCGCCGTTGGAAGCCGCAGCGGCGGCGGCAGCGGCGCCTATGTGCCCGCCTCACTGCAGGCCTTCACGGTATCTATCTCGAGTCGTGGCGCCAGCATGGCGCGCGCCGGCGGCGCCGGCGAGGAGCCGTTATTCTGTGTGGCGGAGGACGCTTCCGCTGGCGGCACGGCAGCCACCGGCACGCACCGAAACCACGTGCTGGTTGACAGCTCTGGCGCTGTGCTGTGTGCGCTGGACGATTTGCAGGCTAAGCCGATCGGCAGCGGCGCCAGCGCCAGCGGCAGAACAGCCGCCAACAACAAATCCATGACCTCAGAACAGACAGGGAGCGGTGCTCCGACACAAGATGACTGCATGCTTTATGACGTGACTTGGGTGACGACAGAGCCCAGCACCGACATTGATGGCGGCGGCTACAACTGCGCCGCTTTGCAAGTGTCCCCAGCGCCGCCGCCGACTGGATACGAGGGTTCCTTGGTGCCGTACACCGCAGCGGCGATGGCAGCGTTGCAGCAGCTCAGTGCCGCCGGCGCGGCTGGCGCAAACCTGCAGTTGGCGGACGCGGCTCCGCCACGTACGGATGGGCTCCTGTGCAGCGGAAGTGCTGCTGCCACCGCGACCGTAAGCTTGGCGGCCGCGTCCTTGGGGGGTATGGCTCGCACGTACAACGCGGAGCATCCGTCGCGCGGCCTCACGCTGGGAAGCACAGCCCGCACAGCTGCCGGAAGCAGCGCTACCGCAGCCGTATTGCGGCTACAGGCCCCGTCACCAGGACCAGATACTGGCGCTACAAACGATGGTTACGGCTTATCCGTGCATGCCGGCATCGCACGGACGGCCTTGCTCCTGCCGTCGAGGAGTGCAGCGGCGGCGTCTGCTGCGCCGTACCAATTGGTACCACAGCCGCGCGGCTCACTCAACAGCCTGGTCCCCGTGCCGCTGGACGCGGCGCTCACATCTTCCCTGCCGTCGGGCACGGTGCTGCTGCGGGTGCGGGCCGTGGGGGTCAACTTCAGAGATGTGCTCAACGTGCTGGGGATGTACCCGGGAGATCCGGGCGCACCCGGCAGCGACTGCGCGGGCGTCATTGTCGCAGTTGCGAAAGGTGTGGCGAAGGTGGCGGAGAGTCAGGTCTCAGCAGGCGTATCCACGGATACCATGGCGTTGGCCGGGCGCGCCGTTTTCGGGTTGGCCACTGGTAGCCTGGGTTCGCATGTGGTTGCAAGCGCGCAGACGCTGGTGCCCATGCCGCCACAGCTGACTTTCGAGCAGGCGGCCACGGCGCCAACGGTCTTCGTAACGGTGGATGCCGCGCTGAGGCAGGCCGCGGCGCTGGGCCGGGGCGAGAAGGTGCTGCTGCCCGCTGCAGCGGGCGGTGTGGGCCTGGCGGCGACACAGGTAGCGGCGGCGCTAGGCGCCACTGTCGTCAGCACCGCCGGCAGCCCGTCCAAGCGCGCGCTGCTGCGGGGCCTGGGAGTGCGCCACGTGTCCACCAGCCGCGATCTGGGCTTCGTGGAGGAGCTGGCGACTGTGACGGCCGCCCGTGGCGGTGTGAACGTCGTGCTGAACAGCCTGACCAGCCCCGGCATGGTGTCCTCTAGCCTGGCGCTGCTGTCCCGCGGCGGGCGGTGGGTGGAGATCGGCAAGCGCGACATCTGGTCGGCCGCGCGAGTGCAGAGCGAGCGGCCCGATGCGCGCTACGGCCTACTGGCGGTGGACTTCATGCCGCCGGAGGTGCTGCACGCCGGCCTATCGCGCGTCTCAACCGGCCTGGCGGCCGGCCAGCTGCGGCCTCTGCCCGGTGCCGTACACGGCCTTGCCTCCGTCGCCGCTGCCATGCGTCAGATGTCACAGGCCCGCCATGTGGGCAAAGTGGTAGTATCATCTTCAGCCAGTGTTGTCTCGGGTGGTAACAGTGTCAATATGACCCATGGGTCCGTCCATTGCGGATCCGCGCTGGTGCTGGGCGGCACAGGGACCCTTGGTACACTAATAGCCGGGTGGCTGGCGGAAGCCGGCGTTCGCCGAGTAGTGCTTCTCAGCCGCACCGGCAAGCTCTCTGGAGAAACTGCCGTGACGCTGCTGAACGCCGCTCGTGCGAGCCACGGCTGCGAGTTGACCGTGCTCGGCTGCGATGGCTCCGTCGACTCTGACGTCCGAGCTGCCGTAGCAACCGCGGCAGCACACGAGCCCATCGGCGCTGTCTTCCACGCCGGTGGCGTGCTCCATGATGCCACGTTCGGTAGCCAGACTCTCTATGGTGTTCGCGCCGTACACGCCGCTAAGTCGGCTGCCACCGCTGCCGTGGCGGCTGCGGCTGCCCTGCAACCCTGTGCATCGCACGTGCTGTTTTCCTCCGTTGCTTCATTGCTGGGCTCACCCGGCCAGGCCAACTACAGCGCCGCCAATGCCGGGCTGGACGCTGCCGCCGCGCTGGCAGCCTCTCAGGGCCTGCCGGCAGTCAGCGTGCAGTGGGGCGCGTGGGCGGGTGGCGGCATGGCGGCTCAGGATGCGCAGACGGCGGCTCGTGTGGAGCGCACGGGCATGGGTTTTGTGATGCCTGCCGCTGGCCTTGCTGCGCTGGAGGCCATTCTGGCGGCGCTCGGCGGCGGTCCCGCCGCAACTGGCGGTGTCGTCGCTGCAGTTCCGTTCCTCTGGCCGGCGTTCTTGTCTAAATTCCGTGGCAGGCCACTTCCGCCACTGCTGTCGTACATGGCATCTCTGCATGGGACCACTGGCGACGATGGCGCCGGCGCGACAGCTGGCGCTGTCAGCAAGGCCAAGAGCAAAAGCGGGATTACAAAACAGGAAGTGGAGGCGGCTGTTCAGGAGGCCGTGCGTGGCGTGGTGGGTTCCTCTGTTGACCCCGATGCGCCGCTGATGAGCTCGGGCCTGGATAGCTTAGGGGCAGTGGAGCTGAGAAACGCGCTGGAGGGTCGATTGGGGCTGCAGCTGCCGGGGACCCTGGTGTTTGACTACCCCACTCCTGCAGCTGTCTCGGACTTCATCGCCGGGCAGCTGGGGGCAGGCTCTGCTAGCGACGACGCGGACAACGACGCAGGCGCAGACGGCGCTGGCGCCGGCGTGCTGCCGGCGCCGCTGGCCACTGGGCCTGGCAGTCTCGCACTCGCGGCCTCTGCTGCGGCGGCGCCGCAGCTCGTGGGTCTCATGGGCATCTCCTGTCGTTCACCTCAGGATGCCATGGCTTGCTTAGAACCCCTTGACGCCATCACGAAGGTGCCGCTGGGTCGCTGGGATGTGGACCGGTTGTGGCACGCCTCCGGCCACGCACACGCGCGCTTCGGCTCTTGGTTGCCAGATCTGGATCTCTTCGATGCCGCGGCCTTCGGCATCACCGGCCCCGAGGCAGCACTGATGGACCCGCAGCAGCGCTTGCTGCTGCATGTCGCCCACGAGGCTTTGTCCGAGGCTGCGGCGGCGATGTCAGCTGTGATGATGCCGGCGGCTGGCAAAAAGCAGGCTGCAGGCGGAACGGGTGCGGGTGCGGCTGGAGGTGGCGGTGCGGGCGGGCCCTTGGGTTCCTTGGGCGCCGCCACTGCGGTTGCTGTCGGCATTGCCAGCGCAGAGTACACCAATTGGGTATGCCGGTGAGTGCGTGCAACTTCCCGAGTCGCGTGCAATGCTGTCGTTTTGTAGATGATCCAGGTATTGCAGTGGGTAGTTTCGTGATGTGCTGATGCTTGGTGTCTGAAATGGGCGGTTTCAATTGGTAGCACAGTTAGCGGATCAATCGGTCATCACCTCCCACCCGTCTACGCTGACATCATTCACGCATCACGGCCGTGATGCCCAATGTGTTGGTCCCGCCGCATTTGCTACTGCTGCAGGCGCGCCGGCGTGGGTGCCTCCGCCTACGGTGCGACAGGCGGCGCCCTGTCTGTCGCCTCAGGCCGCTTGTCGTACATGTACGGCTTTACCGGCGCCGCTGTCAGCGTCGACACGGCCTGCTCATCTAGTCTGGTGGGTGCCCATTGGGCGCTCCGGGAGGTGTTGATGGCTGCGGGCGGCTGCCGGGCGGCTGTGGCGGCGGGCGCGGGTGTACTGCTCAGCCCGGAGCCCACTGCCATGTTCCAGAAGGCGGGTATGTTGTCGGCCGACGGCCGCTGCAAGACCCTGGACGCTTCCGCTGATGGCTACGTGCGTGGAGAGGCGGTGGGTGCACTGGTTCTGGCGGCGTTGTCTGCCGCAGCAGGAGAAGGAGCACGAGCAAGCGAAGTTTGTTTGGCGCTGGTGCGGGCATCGGCCGTCAACCAGGACGGCCGCAGCAGCAGCCTCACCGCACCCAACGGCCCCGCGCAACAGGCGGTGGTGCGGGCAGCACTGGCGGAGGCGGGACTGCTGGTGAGTGTTCGGTGCTGCTGGTGTCGGATATCTGCGGTGCCCATCCCGCAGCTTTCAGGTCCTTCAGTCTTCCAGAGTCTTCTGGCAATTCGTAATCCAGTAGGTAGCCCTGAATAAGGCCTGTTGCTCCAGGCCTGTTGCTCCTAGGGCTGTGCTTCGACGGGTAAAAACGCAGACGCGTCTGCACCGTCTGCATACCTGTAGCAGCTGACCGCTGAAAAGGTCTATCGAGTTGCTGGCGGTCGCGCTCTGCGCGTATTTATAGCACCGTACTGTGTACCAGCTGCTACAATACCCCTATATTGCACATTCACTCAACGGTCTGACGTAGTACGTGAGCACCAAACTTTCTTTTTTCTGTGTACGTCCCCCAATCTTTTCCCCGTGAACAGGCCTGCCAAATGACATGCGCTGAGATGCACGGCACCGGCACGCCGCTGGGTGACCCCATCGAGGTGGGCGCTCTGGCCGCGGTAATGCAGCCAGTACCGGGCGCCAGGTCCGGCACTTCCCGCGAGCTGCCGTTGGCGGTCGCTGCGGCCAAGTCCAAGATTGGCCACACGGAGGCCGCCAGCGGCGTCATGGGACTCACACACGCGCTGGCGGCGCTGCGGATGCAGCAACTGCACGCCACATTGCACCTGCGTGCCGTCAATCCCCATCTGACGACGGCACTGGCTGGCGGCGGCGGCGGCGGCGGTGGCGCAAGTGGAGAGGAAGGCGGCGGGGGCGGCAGCGGCTGGATGCTGCCTCGCGCCGTGGCTGGCCATTCGCTGCCGTTCTCATGCGAGGCGCTGGTAACGGGTGTAAGCGCCTTCGCTTTCCAGGTATGCCCAGACACGGTCTAAAATTTCTAATTTCCACGGGAAGTAGAAGGAAAGCTTACGATCCACATGACCTGCGATGTTATGTGTCCTGTCCTTAGAGCGCAATGTGCCACGCAGGCATCTCGGGCAGCCTACTGCCTACTCCATTTACCCAATCTTTGGCACGATTGCTGAACTGTCCGTCAGTACGTCGGTGAATCTCCTGCGTTATGCGCATTGTGCCACGTGCCGTGTTGAATGGCTGCCTTACCAACTCGCCGGTTACCAACCCTACCGCGGTTCCCAGGGCACCAACGCGCACCTGCTGCTGCAACGCTCCGCGTCTTCTGAACCGCCCTCCTCCACTGGCTCCAGCAGTCTCGCGGTTGGCTTCCCCGCCGGAGCCGGAGCCGCTGCTCCGGTCTCTTGGCGGCAACAGAGCCTATGGGTGACACCGCCACCCAGCTTACTGCTCCCGTGCCTTGCCCACGCCAGCGGTGGTCTCTCAGTCCGCAGTGGGCCATCGTCGTCGTCGTCGTCGTCGTCCGTGTTGGCGGCCTTTGAGTGCGATCTAAGCCAGGCAAAACTGGCCTTCTTACGCAATGGCTTCTCCTGGCAGGCTGCAAGCGGCGTCGGCGGCGGCGTCGGCGGCGCGGTGCTACCTACCGGTTTCCTGTTGGAGATGTGCGCCAGTGCAGTGGCCATGCTACAGCTTCCACAAGGGCTCGTCGCAGCGGCAGACCCTGCCGGCGCTGCAACTGGTGCTGCTGCTACAGCCGTGGAAACAGCGCTGTCGGATGTAAGGTTCCATGCCCCTGTGGACGTGGACAAGTTGCTGGTGCTGTCGCCGCCGACGGCGGCGGTGCACGCCACCAACGGATTGCTGACGTGCGTCGTCCGTGCCGGCGGAGCCCTGGAGGTGCTCACTCGCCGCGAAGACGGCACCGTATTGCTACGCCACCTCACGGCCACAGTGGTGGCCTTGGGGCGTGGCGCGGCGGCAGCCGCTACCCACACAAGCCCTGCTACGCTCGAGGGACTTGCACTTGGAACCGGAGCCGGAGCCGGAGCCGGAGAGGCGAGCGGTACACATTCAGACAGCGGCCTGGCAAAGCTGGGTAGATGGATATCCGGATTGTCCGGGCAAGCTCCTGCCGCAGCGGCGCCGCTGCCGGCGGCGACGGCGTCGATCGCGCCTGGAAGGTATCTGGAAGAGATGGATGCGTTCGAGTCAGCCGCCGGCGGCATTTTCGGGCTCCCCTGCGCCCTGGAAGCCGCCATGCAGCTGCAGGGCGTCTGCCGAGTCGGAGGTGCTAGCGGCGGAGGCGCCATGCAGGTGGTTTCATATATCGCCGCTTGCCGCTTGCCGCGGCGCCGCCCGGCTGCGACTAGTGGAAGCTGCCGCAATGGCGCTGGAGGCACGGGTGGTGCAATGGAGCTCTTCGCTGGTGCAGCACTATCCGGATCTACGGTCTGCAACCTGCAGCTTTCTGGCAGCGTGCCTAGCACTACTGCGGCCTCCACCTCTGCCAAGGAGGCCGCAGCCGCAGCTGCCATCTGGTCGCTATCCGGTGTTCACCTCAGTGCAGCGGTGCCATCTTCCGCTGGGCGGCGACACCACGACTTCGCTACCGCTGCCGTCACCGACAGTACGGCAACGGCAGCGGCAGCGGCAGCCGCTTCCGAGCTTGGAACCATCTGGGACGCTGAGGCGCTGCGGCGGCTGGTGCGGGAGGCCGTGGCGGCGGCAGTGGGTGAGGCCGTGGACGATGACGCGCCTCTGATGGAGGCGGGTCTTGACAGCCTGGCGGCGACTGAGCTGCGGAACGCATTGCAGTCCGCAGTACAGGTGCAGCTGCCTGCCACGCTTGTGTTTGATTATCCCACCACCACCGCCATTTCGGGCTTCCTGCTCGACCAGAGCCAACAGCAGCAGCGACGGGGCCGCACAAGGGCCACCCCGACAGCGGGCCCGGCCGATGCTGGCCGCCACCGCCGGCGCGGCGGCGCCGGCACTGTCGTACTCGTGGCCGGCATGTCCTCTCTACCATGGTCCCTGCTTGAGCCCGCCGCCGCGTCCGGCGGCGACGGCATCAACGCAGCACCGCTCAGCCGCTGGGATGCTGCCGACCCGCGGGTCTGTGTAATCGGTGGCGGCGCCGCTGCGAGCGCGCAGCTGCCCCCGCAGTTCGGTGCCTTCCTGTCGGGAGTGGAGCTCTTCGACGCTGCGCTGTACGGCATTAACCCCGGGGAGGCGGCGACGCTGGATCCGCAGCAGCGGCTGCTGTTGCGTGCGGCACTCGAGGCGATACCCGCGGGCGGCTCTTTGGCTGGGCTGCTGGGTGCGGATGTGGGCGTGTTCGTGGGCATCGCGTCAAGCGACTACGAGGCACTAGGACAGCGCCATGGCGTGCAGGTAATGTCATCTTGCGCCGTTCCATCGAACTGCGTGGACGACATGTGACGGACGTGCACTGCTGGTACCGAACAACTACTAACACACCCCATCACCTACAATCGGCGTCGAGTGGTTTGTTTTAATTCGAATTCATCCTGGACTTCCGTGTCTTGGGCGTCCATGTCGCAACCGTGTGATCCCTGTTCGTCATTCCGCGTGTTCTGGCCAGTGTGCGCCGGGGCGGCGTCCACAAACATCATCAACGGATTCCCCCTACCCCCGCTCATTATAGACACGCTTATCTCAAGCACCCATCTACCCCTTCTGCAGATCGGGCCCTACTCCTTCACCGCCGCCTCCTCTGCCGTCGCTTCCGGTCGCCTGTCCTACACGCTCGGCCTGCGAGGTCCGTCGTCGTCCGTTGACACCGCCTGCTCCAGCTCGCTAGTGGCGACGCACCTGGCGGCCGTCAGCCTGGCTGCGGGCGAATGCAACGAGGCGCTGGCAGCGGGCGTGCAGCTGAACCTGGTGCCGCAGTCCACTGCAATGGTGGCGGCGGCAGGGCTTCTGGCAGCAGACGGCCGCTCGAAGGTAAAAGCCCCAAGGATGCCCCGGGCCCCCAGTTTCCGACCGTTGACTGGGGGTTGACTCGGAATGGCAAGAGCAGCTTCTTGGCCATAACCCGTTTTTGGCTATAAGCCCGTTGCTTACAAGGCCACCAGGGACTGTGTGGCTGCCAGAGAGTTGGTTCGTTTCGTTCGTTTCTAAGCACCATTTGTGAAGGTTTTCCCCCAACCCTGTCTTTAGCACGGTGACCATTAATCACGTGATTTCTGTTGGATGTTCTTTATACCAACGGACTGCAAAGCCGCGGCGTTTATTTCCTGAGCCGTTGCCCTCCTCAACCTTCTCATATCTTACTTTTCTCCTGGGCTGGGTCCCCTGCCGCCGTAGGTCATGGACGCAGTCGCCGATGGTTATGGCCGCGGTGAGGCTTGCCGGGCGATATGGCTCCGTGCAGCTGACGACTGCGCCGGCCGCACCGTCACCAACGCCAACAGCGGCTGCCTGGCTGTCCTCCTGGCGTCGGCCGTCAACACCAACGGCAAGTCCAGCGCGCTGACCGCACCGCACGGCCCCACTCAGCAGCAGCTGCTGCTGACGGCACTCCGCTCAGGTGGTGTGGCGGCCGCGGAGGTGACGGGCCTGCAATTGCACGCCAATGGCACGCCGCTGGGCGACCCCATCGAGGTTGGTGCCGCCGCCGCCGCGTACCTAACCGCTGCGGGCGACGATGCGTACGGCAGTGGACGTCGGAGGCAGCCGTTTGCCTGGGTCAGCGTTAAGGGCTACGGTGGCCACCAAGAGGCCGCCGCCGGTGCCGTCGAGCTGACGGAGACTATTGCTTCCCTGCAGCGTCGCGCGCTGCCGCCGGCGTTTAACCTGCGGTCGCTCAACCCGCTGGTTGCGGCGCCGCTGGAGGCGTTCAGCGACGGCGGTGGCGGCGCGCTTGTGGCACGGGGCGGCACGCTGGGCCTGCCGCTTGCGTCAGCAGAGCTCCCGGCTATCTTCGGCGTCAGTTCCTTCGGCGCCCAGGGCACCAACGCCCATGCGCTGCTGTCGTTTGCACCACCGCCGCCATCGGCCGCCGGCTCACTAGATACCGACGCCACACAGCTTGGAGCCGCAGCTTCTGCGGCTGTGACGCAGTGGGCGGATGGTGGCCGACGATACTGGGTGTTACCGGAGCCGCAGCTGCTGGTTCAGTCATGCCGCGTCGTGCGCACACGGCGTCACGGATACCCCCGCGCGACGCTTCTCGGCCGTCTGGATCATCCGTCGCTGGCGTATCTTTGGGATGGTATCCCTGCGGATGCAGGACGCAATGGCGGCGGCACTGGCGGTGCCAGCCGCCGCCGGCCCCCGCCGCTCCTCGCCAACTCCGCCGTGTTGTCGGCTGCCGCTGCCGCCGTACGGCTTCTCCTGTCGACACCCGAAGGCGCGGGTGAAGGTTTCATCCTGCAGGACGTTGTCATGTCCTCGCCGCAGCCACTGCCCGGCCGCATCATCGCCACCGGCCAACCGCCCGTGCCTGAATTGCGCATTACGCTGTCCAGCGCCGGCGGAGGCGGCATGCTGCTCCGTGTCTTTGTCGATGACACCGAGCAACTCCTTGCCCGCGTGGTGGACGCGCCTTCGCTAGGCGGCGGCGGCGCCGCCGCCGCCGCCGAGGAGCAACCGAACCCAGCAGGCGGGCATAGCCACGCCATGCGCCACGATGCAGCGGTCACTTTGGATGACCCCACCAACCTCCTCCCCGCCGTCAGGCCAGCTAAGGCGCCGTCGGAGGACCGTACACGCCTCATGGCGCTGCTACATGCACTCCAGCTTGGCGGAGCTCCGCTCCATGCAACCACGCCTGCTGTGCTTTCTACCGGTGCAATGACGATGGTAGTGGTGGCTGCCGCGGACTGCGAGCCGGCATCCGATGGACAGCCCCTGGAGCCGCGCGCCCTGGAGTCTGCATTGCAGACTGCTGCGCTGTCCGCTGCCGTCAGCGGCACAGCCGCTGCGCCGTGCTACCTGGCACGCATTCGTGCCGTGCATGTCGCAGGTCGCAGTGCCGCCGCCACCGCCAGGGGTGACGGCTACAACGCCTGCCGCGGCACGTGGTTATCATTGGAAGCAGGTCTCGCGGCCGGCGTCCCCTCCGCCGCAAGCACTGGGGACGCTGCCGACGCTTCACCCGCGCCGCCACCGTCCATCCACATCCGCAGTGCCTCTGTTAAGTCAGTCGCCGGCGCCCCCAACGCCCCGACGTCGCCGGCGCTGCGGCTCAGCGGCGTGGTCATGGTGCCTGTCGATGCGGCGACCCCCGACGTCGCCCGCGCTGTCGCTGCCGCCGCCGCTGATGACGACGCCGTCGGCAACGCCGACGGTAACGAGGCCTCCGCGGGCGCCGGCCCCGCCGTCGATCCTGCTCTCCTTGCCATGTCGCCTGAGGAGCGACAGCTCCATTTGGCAGGCCGCATTATGGCCGAGGTGCGTGCGCTGGTCGGACGTCCCGTACATCCCTCCGAGCCGCTCATCTCGGCAGGTGTTGATAGCCGCGCGGGCATGGAGCTGCGTCGCGGCTTATCGGAGGCGCTGGGCGTGGCGCTACCGGTGACGCTGCTGTACGACCATCAATCAGTGGAGGAGATCGTGGGCTACATCGAGGGGCAGCTGGGTCGGCTATCTGGCGACCAGCAGCAGGTGGGGGTGCGGGTGGCCACGGGAGGTGCCACGGGGGGGTCATGATGTCTTGAGTTATAAAAGCTCGGCGTAGAATTTGTCGGATGGCTGAAAGCGGCTGGGTTATGACCCAAAACGTGATGTGACCCAAAAGGAACCGCTAACCATGGCCCCTTGAAGCAACAGAGGAAGAACCGCTGTGGGCAGCCGGGAAACCCCCTCTCGCTCTGCGTCGTTGCTGTGCTGACCCCTGCGCAAAGCTGCTCGCTCTTGCCACCCACAATACATGAGCCCCTGTGACGCGCTGTGCTGATTGCTATCTACATTCCGCATCCCTCGAGAAAACGTATATAGGAGCTTACTTTCGTGCGCCCGTACTCGCCGTACATTGTACACAGGACGCCGACGCTGATGGCGATACCATGTCTTACACATCCGACGAAGACGGAGACCGTAATATCGAAGATGAAGATGACGGTGATGATGATGAGCTTTCAGATGGAGAGGAGCGGGACGGAGAGCAGCGCCGCCGGCAGCCGCGTCGGCGGCAGCGTCGGCGGCAGGCCGCCATCACGGCCGGCGCCGCCAGCAGCGACGCTGCTACGCCTTCCAACCTGCTCAAGGTGCTGCGGCCTCCATCCACTCCACGACCGCTGTTCCTGGCAGCTCCAGGGGTGGCCAACGCGCAGTCGGCGTACTTCTCCTTCTCATCCTTCCTGCAGTGGGCGGAGCAGCCCATCTACGTCTTGGACAAGGACAATGACCTGGATATTCAGAGGTGCGATAAGGATATGTGTGCGTGTGTGTGTTACATGGTTATGACCAAATACATAAGGATATGACCCCATCCGCCCACCGTCTACCCCAATCCCAATCCCTCTCATGTACCCTCTTAATGCCTCACCCGCCTTCTACCCTCTTCAAACCCTAAGTAAAATGAACCCTTGTCCGCCGCAGCCTGGCCCGCCGCAACGCCCTGGACATTTTGGCGGTACAGCCGGAGGGGCCTTACCTTATTGGGGGCCACTCGTACGGCGGTGCAGTGGCCATGGCCATCGCTCTGCTGCTGGAGGAGTGGGGCCACGACGTGGGACTGGTGGTCATCATGGACACACCGCGGCCGGAGCAGGTAGGGGGGAAAACTGCCATGTGTTACAAGGAGGACGAGGAAAACTTACTCGCTTGTAAAAACGTGTTACGAAGTGAGGGATGAGAGCTGCTGGTGACGAAGTGGAAGCATCTGGTGAAATGCCGCAGAACTGCCGCTGCTGTGTGGGATAATGCGGGGAGGAAGTCGCCAGGCAGGACTGGCCTGTCTATGCAGAGCTGCCCGGCCACTCATCCGCCTGGTACCCACCCCACCTAAAGCTTCCAGCTGTGGCGCTAGCTCGTCTTCGCCAGGCCTCCGTTCTTGCTGTCAAATGAAAAGACCGTACTGTCTCTCCCTATTGCCTGCGGTACAGGTTCGGACGCTGCAGCCTGACGCCGCCGAGTGTACGGAAGAGGACGCCCTGGAGCTCATGGAAATGATTCTGGGGGCGCTGGGTCGGGACGCCATCGGACTGGGATCCAGGTTAGTCGGGGGGTGGGGGGGAAGGACGCCATGAGGGGGGGGAAAGAGGAGATCAGGTGTGGGGTGGGAGGCGGGGTGGGAGGGGGCGTGAGGTGCGGTGTGCAGGGCCGGTGTTTAACGCGGTATGCCTGTTGCGGGGCTCAGAATGCATGTATCATGCGTCGCGTGGTTCAGGAAATGGAGGGAGAAACGGGCACAGGGAGGACGGGACGTGGAATATGGTGCTGTATACGACAGGCCTAGCAACGACCCAGTTGGACAGAACCTCGGCAGCGAAACACCTCGACGTGCCCTCGGTGCCGTCCCCTAAGACCTCACTCCACCACCCGCCCTCCTCACCTTACCGCCCGTTCGTCATCGTGCGTCTGGCACAGCATTGTGCACCCGCGCGAGAGCGAGGAGTGGAAGGCCATGAGCCTGGATCAGAAGTATGAGTTTTTTGCGCCTATTTGGCGTGTGATGCGGGACGATGCTATGCCTGTCGAGGAGGTGAGGCGACAGGTCGAGCACGTCGCGCTGGCGGTCAAGCAGGGCAGTCAGGTGAGCAGCGGAACTTTGGGTGGGCTGGGGCTGGAAAACAGATCCTTCGTACCAAGGTAGGCCTTGTGCTCGGACTTTGCAATAAGATGTCACGTGATGAGCAGCTGAGCTTCGACAGTCGACCCAGACATATACTTGTCCAAATTCGATACACGCCATAGCAGGAAGATCGATCATGTATGAATTTTGGTTATTGAAATACTTTTGGTTGTTGCCATGTTGCACGCCCGAATAGAAACCTAGATCTTCAACATCTTGCCAAACCTCGAGGCGTGTGCTTTTGTAACGCAGCTAAAGATTATTTGTATGGATATAGCTGCGGTATTATTGGGTTTGATTTTAAGTTAACAGTTAAAGGCTTGGCGGTGCTTGTGACAAGCAGCTTGTCTCTGTCTCTGCCGGTCAAACTTCTGCGTCGTGCATGCAAAGCTAATCTCCACCGCACCTGCGCGGCACGATGGTCGGGAATGAATTATTATACATGAATAGTTATTAAGAATGATGATACGACTATATAATCCGTTGCGGCTTGTCGCCAACCATGATGTGCCGATGGAAGGACCGACATGCTATGCCAGGAATAAGCCTAAGGGCAGCTTTCTAAATTTCGCGACGAGAGCTCTATAGAACAGGCATAGGGCACATGTTGCCATGGAGAGAAAGGCAGGCTTCGGTGCTGAAGGCAGGGCAGGGCGAGGCTACTCCTCGAGAGTGGACCGTAGGCCTGGAATATATTCACATGCAAAGCGCCCCAGGCAAGTCACATACAAACCAGCCCCCATGCGCCGTTCCGTCAGAAGCGAGCACCCGCCAGCGCCAACTGTCATCTGGCACTGCATCGTAATTCCAACGCTCTCCCTGTCCTTCGTCAGCTCATCCTACCCCCCAACCTCCTCCCTAACCAATCTCCCCTTAGAAGCCTCATCCCACATCCACGTCCTCATCCACATCCACCATCTGCCCGCGTCAGATTTCCGATATGCGGCGCCACCGCTTCGTCGGACGGCTGCTAGGCGCACGTGTGTTGTACTTCAGGGCGGCTGTGCCAGGCGCGTGCGACTATGTCAACGATTCCAGGTACGCGCTGGGGGTGCCTGCCGCATCCGCCGTCGCTGCCAAATCCCCTCTGTGCCCAGGTAGCTAGGCCGAGCTAGACTGAACCTAGTCGGGCCAGCCTGCGCCGATGGGCTCGCCGACGAACCCACTCCTACCGCCGGCGATTTGGGTCACACTAAAAAACGTCCGAATCTAAGCCTCAAATAATCACTTGGACTTGAAACAGTCCGTGGTCTGGTCTAATGTAGCTAAGGCGAAGCCGCCTCTCTACCTCTCCTCCTCAATTCACCTCCCTTGCCTCGCTCTCGCTGCCCGGCCTCGGCCCTCAGGTTCTGGATGTATGCCCATGGCATTTGCTGGCACGACCTGTGTACGGATCTACAGGTAGGGGGAGGCCCGTGGCCGTTGGACGAGACCGTTGGGGCAAGGACGTTTTTGGTGGGGCTGGCATGGGCTCCTCGCCTACGCGGGCCGGGTTGTGGGCAGAGCCGAACAGGGAGCCGAACATGAGAGTGGGCTAACAATGTTTCATAACTCGTATGCGCGCCCCCGTCACGCGTCCTCCTCTCCTCCTCCTTCCCTTGCAGGTTATTGATGTGCCGGGTGACCACTTCAGCCTGCTCCGGCAGGGCGTACGAGACATGTCGTACATGGTTTCGGCGCTCAAACAGTACCTGGGTACGTTCGGCTGGGCGGAGACGCTGCGGCGCGACGGTGGTGGCGGTGGTGCGGGTGGCGGCTGGCAGCTGCCGGCTGAGGAGGTGCGTCGCTGGATGAGTGGCGGCGGCCGGTGGACAGGAGCCGGGATGAAGGATGGTGGCTGGATGCTTGGCCGGTGTCCGATCAATAGCCCATCCATAGCAGAAGCCGCCTAGTCCTATCACTGTCGCTCATCGTAGAGGGAGTTCTGGCGGTAGCTTGCGGATCGGGAAAGCACAGCACGATGATGGTGCTTGTGGTCTGGATTTGGGGAGCTTCTGGACTGGCCGGGCATTTCCACCGGAACAATCAACCCGAACACCTAACATATCGCGCCTTTTCTTATTATCGCACTGCAACGTGTGTTACGGCTCTTCAGGTGGGTGGACTGGCCGAGTACCTGGAGCGCATGGGCGTCGACGCCGGAAGGGCACACCAGCTCGCGGGTACGGCACCGCACGCGTCCGGCAGCGGCGCCGCCCCCGCCGCCGCCGGCGGCGGCGGTGGCGGAGCCCATGGAGGCTTGATGCCACCACCCGTCGGTGCGCCTGCCGCCGGCAGCTCAGCTGCAACAGCATTGCCGCTCAACAAGGCTGCCACTGCCGTCAGTACGGCTACGGCTAAGGCCGCTGTTAAAACCGCAGGAAGAGCTCGAGGTGCCGCAAGCCGGGAACCCGTGGGTCAGTCTCTGGATGGCGTGGACGTCATCTTCGTGATCGGTGACGCCGGACCGCGCCTGCCGCCGGCGCTCGAGGCGGCTGTAGCAGGGCTGCAGTCCCCCTGCTACAAACTGCAGCTACCGTCCAATAGCTCCCTGTCCCAGCTTCGCAGCGTGCAAGCCCTAGCGGCGGAGCTTTGCGCAGCCGCCAGGTCCGCCGTCGCGCCTCTATTGCGTCCCGCTGGTGGCGCCAGCACCGTCGGCACCGCCTCATCATCAGCTACAGCTACTGCCGGTGGCAGCGGCCGCCGGCGCGCAGCGCCGGCATTGCGGCAGACTGCCGCTGGGCCCGCCGCCGCCGCCGCCACCACCAGCACTTCCGGTATGAACGGCGGCAGGACCTTGACGGCCGCCGTGGTTGGCGTCGGCTTCGCGGCGGCAGTAGCTTACGAGGTGGCGGTGCATCTACAGGCGGCCCCGTCCGCCGACGCCGCCACAGGTGCCGGAACCGCCTCCAACCCCGCGGCCTCCGGCGGCGGCGGCGGCAGCAGCAGCGGCGGCGGCGGCGGCTTGACGGCGACGGTGCTGCTGCTTCTGGAAGACCCGCGACTGCGGCGGTGCTGTGAGGTGGTATCTCAGCCCTGGTTCCAGCTGCGTGACTGGGTGGCGGAATGGCGCCAGGACCTGGACATGGCGGAGTTTGCGCTGGTGGGCCGACTGCTCGAGGAGCAGGTACGGCAGTGGCAGTGGCAGTAGCAGTGGCAGGGTAAACTACGTCGATGTGCTGAGTACGCGGTCGAGAGCTGGGGCTCGAAAGGAGCTCAGGGCGCGAAGACGCGAATGAGTGTTATGGCTGTGCGGAGTTTGCGATTGTGGGCGTGAGAGTGGTCAGAGCAAGCGTGCAACCGGTGTCCAATCTTGCTTCGGATGTTGGCTGTTGGCCCCTTTGTTTGTTTCTCGCATTTCAAACTCGCCTCTTCCTCCTCCTCCTCCTGCTCCTCACCCTGCCAATAACCCTATTGTCCGATTCACCCCTCACCTGTATTCCTCATGTTCTCTTCCCGTACTTCCGTACGTTTCCGTACTCCCACGCTCTCCAGGGGCATTCTGCCCAAATGGACTACGTGGGGGGTTTGGCTCCCCCCGGCGTGTCGAAAGCCCAGTGGGATCTCCTCGCGGAGGAACAGGCCCGGGCCGCCAACGGCCGTACAGGGTACGGCTGGGAGGAGATGCAGTACAGCTGGGCTGTGCTGTACGGCATGGCTGAGGCGCTGCAGAACCAGTACGGTGGTAACCAGCCACGTGAGGCCGCCGCTGCTACTGCCGCTGCCGCTGGCACAGCCGTCGGGCCCCCTTCTGCTGCTACTGCCGCTGCAGCCGGTGCTGGTGCCGCTGCCGCTGGTCCCCCTTCCCTACCCGAATGGGAGAGCTTCCTTCTGGATGTGTTTGCTCTGGTCGACAGGTGGGTGGCGGGGGGGATGGGTGGGGGTGGATGAGGGGATTACGAGGGGGGCCGCACCTCCGGGTGCGGGGTGTGCGGGGTTTTGAACGGCGAGGGCACAGCTGCCGGACAGCTGCTACTGCCCATCCCCGATTGGGGAGTCAATCCCGCCCCGCCCCGCGCCGCCCCCGGCGCCCGCGTGGCTGCTCCCTGTCCGCCCCGGGTCTCCACCCGCCTCGTTCACGTCGCGCGTCTGGGGCCTGGGGCTCTCTCCCGCCCTCCTCCCTCTCTTTCGACTCCCCCTCCCTCCACTTCCCTCCTCACTACTGCTGCTTCATCCTGGTTGGCCTCCACCGCAGACCCGAGGCTCAGCTCGAGTACCTGGCCCGCTACCGCCCCACCACCACCACCACCTCCACCACCTCCACCTCCACTGCCCTCATGGACGAGGACACCTGGGATGTGACGGTACGGGACACCTTGTGGACCGGCTCCTACCTCAAGTCCATTGCACACACGTACGTTTGTTGCAACGCAACCTGGTTGTTGCAACGGGGGAGGAGGGGACGGTAATGGCCGGATGGGATGTAAAAAGTGAAAAAGGAGAGGGGAGAGGGAAGAGGGGAGAGGGGAGCGAGGCCTCGAGTTGGGTGCCAACAGGCTGGTGGGTTCTTTCTGGAGATGTTGTGAAGGCAAAAACCCTTCGGGGTTGTCAAGAAAAAGACAAACTTTGTTCCCTCTTAAAGGGGATGGGAACTAAAGGAAATGCTTCCCCTTCGGTTATCTGGAGTTGAAGGGTCTTGAGTCTGTCGTACAGTGGGTGTCGTACCAAGGAAGCGGTGCCAGCGGCCTCAGGCACTCAGCTAGACGACCTAGCCTACGGACGGCTTGCCGGCGGATCGGCTAGCTGGTTGCATACGTCACAGTCCGTCTACTGCTCTGCTGCTTTCCTCACCTAACATACAGTTTTTACCTCCCCCTCCCCCCGAACCGAACTCGTTCGTGGTTCGTCTTTCCCCCCGAACTGGCTACCCACCCACCCGCACCAACAGACACAAACCCGAGGTGCCCTTCCTGGGTGAGACCGTCTTCCTGCACTCGGCGCCGCCCTCAGCGAGTGTGATCAGCGGCAGCGTGAGGGACTTCACTGCAGGCTGGGCGGCGGGGGCTACAAGGTCGTTCGCGATGCTCGTACAGCCCGTACGCATGGTACGACTGGAAGACAAAACCGCCACGTCCGCTGCCGCGCCGGGGCCGCCGTCGGTGGATCCGGTCACGGACGGCGGAGCGGCGGTGACGACGGCGGCAGTGGCGCCGGCGGCATCGCCGCCGCCGCCATTGTCGGCCGGTGCACCTTTCTTGCAACTTACGACGGTGCAGCTGCAGCAGCTGCTAACACAAGCGGCGGGCTGTTACAGTCGTGTAGCGGGCATGAGGCAGCAGCTGGCGACGACGGCGATGACGTCGGGCGCCGCGGTACTGCCGCTGGTGCCGTACACCAGCGCCGGCGGTAGTCCAGCGGAAGAGCCTGTCGGCAACGGCGCCGTACAGGACTCTGCCGTGGCGCAAAGCAGCGCCGCCAGCGTGCTGTCGTACGTGTTGGTGGGGGTCGGAGGTGGTGGGGAAATGTCTTCGGCCGGCGGCAGCGTGGTCGGCAGTACAGACGGCGGTGGCGGATCAGGAGCCGAGGCGCCCGCTGCATCTGCGCCTTCGGTCACCTTAGCCGCACTTAACCGGCTTTGCCCCATGGGGCAGCGCATCCGTACTAGCACCGCTGCCACTGCTGGCCAGCCGCCGCCGCAACAGACACAGCCGCAGCAGGCGGAGGGCGGCCACTTCAGCACGGCCTCCCCGTCTTCCGCTGCAGTCGTTGCCAACGCCGTGATGCAAACCTCGCAACCCGTGTGGTTCGTACACGACGAGACCGGAAGCACGGCAGGCGCCGTTCGCGCCCTAGCGGAGTTGCTGCAGCTTCCTGTGTACGGCATCAACATGCCGGAATTCTCCTTGCCATCCACGACAGGAGGAGTGCGTTCATCGACTGCCCCGATGTCGGCTGCTTTGCCATCACCTCCGGTGGCGGCGACAGCGCCGCCGCCGCTGCTGACGCCACCCACGCTTACCCGCCTGGCGGAAGTTTACGGCGCAGCAGTTATCGCGGCGCAGCCCCACGGACCATACTGTCTGGCGGCGACGTCGTCGTACGGCTGCATGTTGGCATTCGCGGTGGCGGCAGCGCTAGAGCAGCAAGGCCATGACGTCATGCTCGTACTGCTCGACGGCCCGCCATGCCCTCCTGCCGGAGGCCTGGTAGATCCCGTGTACTGCAGTCTGTACGGAACTCTCGTACAGCACACGTTGTACGAGGGCGGCGGCGGCGCCGCCGCATCAGGAAAGGGGGCTGAGGCCGCCACGGCGACGCCGTCAACGGCTCCGCCGCCGTTGCCTGATTTGGCGACCTTCGTGGCCACGCTTCAGAGCCGTGGGGCGATTCCGGATGATCCCACCTCGCTGCTGGTGGCAAGCGCGTCCTTCCGCCCGCCGTCGCTAACGCAAGCGGCCTGGAGCGGCGTGGTGCTTGGAGCCGTGCGTCGCGCAGGTGGGAACGGGGCCACAGCACAGGTCGGGAACGGTGTTATCTTGCTGCGGCTTAGGCTGAAGGTCTGGCGATGAGCCTGAGGCGTTGTGAGCAAGCACGGTCAGGCCAGTCGCGTGGAAAAGCCCCTGCTAGGACATCCATCTACACTGCCGCATCAAACTTCACAAATTCTGTGGACACAATGCATTGGACGGCTTCTTTCTGCACTCGTTTTCGATTGCAAATCCAAGTGCCAAATACCGGGTGCCAAGTGTCATCAACGCGGTCCTCTCGTTTTTCATGTCTCCATGATCCTTCACCATCCCCATTTGCACGCCCTCTCCAACACCTCTCCCGCTGCTCCCCTTCTTTTGATGATCGCTCCGACCGCTGCGCTCCGCTGATCCGCTGATCCGCTGCCACTCCCCCTTCCCTTTCCGCCTTTGCGCCGCCTCCTGCCTCACCCACCATCACCACCAACGACCACCACCCACAGGTCTCCTCCGAGCTCTGGCCTCCACCCACCGCCCCGCCGCCTCCCTTCAAGGCCCCGCCGCTGTCGTCCTGCCCGAGGACCGCCACGGCGCTGCCTTCCTGGCCGCCAGCCGGCAGTGCTGCGACGGCACCGTCACGGCGCTCACGCTGGAGTGCCGCCACGGTACGGCACTCGCGAGTGAGGAGGGCCGCCGTGCAGCGGCGGCGGCGGTGATGGAGGCGGTGGTTGAGATGCTGCAGATGCTGTGACGTGACTGTGAGGTGACTGTGAGGGTTTGGGACCCGGAAAGGTTCTCTTCTTCTGAATATTTTTCACGGGAATGCTAGGATTGCAAAGTTCGGGAGGTAAAGGTGCGCGATAGGTCATGGGTTTCGGAGTGCGGTGGGTGGTTGGGGGATTACTTCAAGTTTTAAGAAATGCACTTGGTACGCTTCTCTCTGGTTTTGTATCGCTTCTTGTGTAGAAGATCGGTGACGTCACGGAGGATCATATCTTCATATGTGTTGCAGAGGTGTGTTAGTCGATCTGTCTTTCATACTTTAGTGGACTGATGAGCAAAACGTGAAGGAAGGTGCGGAGGATGGCGCATGAGGGCAACTTAGCGCGTGCATGTGTTTTGTATTGTACGTGTGCGTGCTTGTGCGGTGTGTGTGTGTGTGTGCTTGTATTTTCGGGAGAGAGAGATCAAAGGTTGGCAGTCGTGGCGCTGGTCTGTCGTACAATGATGGCCCCAGGCGGTCATGCAGTACATGTGCACCAAGCTGTGTTCGGTCCTGGTTTGGCTGGCGGTACTGGCTGCAACAACAGGGGCTGCGTAGCCCATGTGCCATTTCAGAGTTTCGGTGAAGCCGCTTGAGGCCAAGCGAAGGAGGGGAGCCTCGTTCGCCGAAATCAACGACGTGTACTGCGACCAGCAAAATAGAATGTAACCGCTCCGACCCGTTTTACGATGCCCTCGCATGAACCGTCCTTAGTCGAAGGCAAATTATAAAAGGAGTTTTTGGTTATGGCGTCGAAGAAAAACGATATGCCTCCGCCTCGAATGTAGGACGCAGTTTTCATGCGTTGACGTCAACCAGCTAAACCCAGCCAGGAGCGCATGACAGCCATTGCAAATGTACGGCGACTAGATGCCGAGGCCGTCCATTAAAAGACGCACGAATGCATGTCAGGCGGCTGCGGAAGGCAACTTGCCTAGGGAGCCTGCTGCCACGGAGGCACACGGGACTCGAGGCGCCTCAGCTGAACGTAGGTGGTGGTGGTGGTGGCCGCACACTCAGAGAGGCGCCGCACTCAAGGAAATCCGCGACCGCAGTCGGTTGTCAGTCAGTGAGACACGGATGCATGTCCGGCGGCAGCAAAAGCCTGTTCCTGCTCCAAGAGAGCCTGCCGCGGCAGCCCACCGAACCGAACATGTAGACAAGGGCGTGAGAAAGGCTGTGCACTAATAGCCGCGGCCGTGGTCCGATGAGGGAAGCAAGGAGTGCATGTCAGTAGGGCTGCAGAAGGCTGTGCTTGCTTTCGGAAAGCAAGCCGCCGCCGCAGCAGCGGCCGCATTGAACCGGAGGTGTGCATCTCAGTTGCACAGGGTTTTGGTAGGGGCCCCAGGGGCCACAGGGGAGGCAGTGCGATTGGGTGAACCGCTGCCAATGTCCGCCCGCTGCTAAGTGCGGCGCGAAGGAATGTCGGAGATAACCTTGGCGCGCAGGAAGAAACCATGAGCGGCCTATGCCAAACGGCAGAATTTATCTCATTTTGGGCCCAGCGAGAAGTCATCGGGTAAGGACATGCAATGTTTCCTTACGACATCAAGGTCCGGCACACAGAGTCAGGCCTAGCCTGTTGCCTTGAAAAGAAGGCTCATCTTCGGCTGGCCGGTTGGAAAGTAGGCGGCATCATCTGTCTGAGACGCTCAAGTAGGGCGGCATACAGCTCTCTACTGGCAGGTAGTTGGCAGGAGCCTCGCAGTGGAGCCCCCGGAGGTGCCCAGGCGGCATCGCAAGAAACGCCGGGGAGCCCCATGCGGCGCCTGCGTAACGTGCAAGAGAGCAGTTACATACATTTCATCGCCAAATGGGTGCACGCCAAATCGAGCTGGGCCAGCACACGCACACAGCATTTTCAAATGATCCATTAAGCACACCAGCAGCAGCAGCAGCAGCCGATATGGCCGTCACCGTCTGCAAACGCAGATCGAGGCAGAGGGCCAAGGCCTGCAGAGACACGAGCTGAGACTCGCAGCTGGGTGCTCCGGGGGTTAACAGTACGACAGCCCTGCCGTACATGTCAGCATCGTCAACACAAAATTGTAGCTCTATCTGGTTAAGTCCTCGGAACGCGGAGGTGTACGTCCATGATGATTTCTGTTGGACCACGACGACACGAGCAACCCCCAGCACCATTACCACCACCACTATCACCATCATTACCATTACCATCACCATCATCATCACCATCACCATCACGCAAAACTGCCGTGCCGTACAAAACAGTACACCACGTACAACAAAGTGCTTCGGGCCTTTTGGGTCCCGCTCCCACCTCCCCTGAGTACCCCGTGTGCGCGTGTATGTATGTATGTATGTATGTATATATGTGTATGTGTGTGTGGGGGCGGAGGTTGTATATTCGTGAGAGCCCTCCTCACCCCAAATTTCATTGTGCCATGAGGGGGGGAGGCGACCTAGAGGACAAAAACACACACAAACACGCCTCACCCCTTTTCGACATCTCCTCGGGGCCACCAGATCATCACAACACACAGACATACATACACACTCTCACGCTGTGTAAGCCCTTGCTAGGTATCCGGCGGTTCAAGCTGTGTGTCGAGCAGGAGGGGCCCCTTCCCGTCCCTGTCGAGGGGAGGGCGTGCTTCGGCCGTCTTGTTCGTTGGGGCTGGGGCTGGGCAGTACGCCCCAGTAGGCCAGCGTCAGCCCAGGCAACGTATGTAATATATACACACACATAAGCACAAATGCACAGATAAAAGAAGAAGAATATTTTTTATTGAATTGTTATTGAACAAGAATACGTCCAAAAACAGTACATGTATGCGCCACACAGTGCTCTCTTATGCTGGTACCAGAATGTACGGATACCGCCCGTGATGCAAATAAACGACAGTTTCGGCAGAATCTGAAACTAATAAACTAACCAACTTACCAAAGAACAGCAAACGACTCTTATAGGTAAGTCACCCCAGGGAGATTGTGATGTGGAGGCGTAGAGCCCGCCCCCCTTAAAACGGAGTTCAAGATCCTGAAGTCAGTCAGATCCTTCCGCCACCGCCGCCGCCACCGCCGCCGCCGCCGCCACCGCCCCTGAGGTCCCTCCCTCCCTCCCTCCCCACCCCATCCACCCCCAACCCCCTAAATCCGCTAAGAGGCTAAACCCGAACAGCCCCACCTCGCCCGCCACGGCCCCCGTGTGCTGGCCCCCCGCCTCCCCTCCTACCCCTGCCCCTACCCCTACCCCTACCCCTACCTCCGCCGCGGCCCCCGGGCCTAGGCCGCTTCCTTTGCCCCGGACCGAATAGCGGCTCCCCCTCCTCCTCGCTCTCCTCCTCTTCCTCACTCTCTTCCCCACTCTCCTCCCCCTCCTCCTCCCCCTCCTCCGCCTCCGTTTCCACCTTCGCGGCCGTCGCCTTCGCCTTCACGACCTTCACCTCCCCGTCGCCACCCCGCGTGGGACCTCCGCCGGGAGTGCACGCGGGGCCGGGGGTGTTGGCTGCAGGGGCCCTGCATGGCGCCTTCACAGCGGCCGCCGCCACCGCCGCCGCTGTCGTACAAGACGGTGCCCCTGTTGGGTGCTGTTCGGCGGGTTCGCAGCAGTAGCTACCCGGGCGCAGCAGCCGGTAGTTCTCCACAGCCGCACTCAGCACAATGAGTAAACCCTGGGGTACCCCCGGGTGGGGTGGCGGGGGGTGGCGGGGGAGTGGCGGGGGTGGCGGGGGAGTAGCGGGGGGAAGGAGGGGCGGGGAGAAAAGGGAGGGGGAATTAATTAGGGGAAACGCTGTAGAGGAGGGCGGTTATCAGTTGGGATCTAAGCATGATGGAGAGGGCGGGGAGGGGGCCGCTGCGCTGCTAATGTGGAGTTGACGGGTCATGCGCCGCACCGCTGCTCTAGTAGCTACGACACACCTCCCACCCATACAGACGCACATACCCTTACAAACACAGACCTGTACACTGGCAAACCCTCCTTTTCCTCCCCTTTCCCCGCCTCCCCCCCTTCCTCCCCCCCCCTCCCTCCCCCCCTTCTCCCCCTCCCCCCCCCTTCCCACCTGCAATCGGTCGCAGTTGCGGTCCCCCGCCGGGTGGTAGCCCTCGCGGAGCGGCTCGCGGTGCACTCTCCGCAACCGACCCACCATCGCCAGGCTCTCCTCCACCGCCTCCGGGGACATGAAGTCCACGGCGGTCTGCACGACAAGCGGAGAGATGAACGGGGTGGGGGTGGGGGTGGGAGGAAGGGGGTGAATCATAAGCATGAAGCGTACGGGACGGGGAGGAGAAAGAGGGAAAACGGGGGGATTGCAGCAAGAGGCAACCGAATAAACTGCCTACGAAGAACGGGGTTGGCGGGGAGAGGGGAAACCAGTCCATCTCCTCCTCCCCCCCGACCACCTAACCACCTGACCACAAAAGAGTGAAACCTCCCCCCACACACACAAACATCCCAGATAACAGCAGCAGCAGCAGCAGCTACCCCTCGCTCTCGTTGCCGTACTCTTGTCGTACTCACTTTGATGCAACTCGTGAGGTTCCTGACTTGGTGAGGGCACCCGGCGGGAATGAACACCGCCTCGTGCTCGTACTGCTCGAAGTGCCAGCCGGCGACCTGGAACGGGGGGAGAAGACGGGGGGGGGCGGGGGGGGGTAAGACGAACCACTGGCGAATGGAGCAAATACCGGGCAAGTGGGGGGCGGGAAGGGGGTTACCAGGGGGGGAGGGGGGAGGGGGGGCCCCCCGCAGAGAAGGGTTTTGTGTAGGTGGGAAAAAGAGGAACTGCGGGGAACAACACTTCATCACACGTTGCATATCAAGATCAAGCGGGAAAACAACAACAGCTGCCGCCTGAGACAGGTTTAAAGTTGCGAACTGCTGCCGCTGCTGCTACTGCTGTTGGAGGGTCCACAAAGCAAATACACCCTAATGACGTCACTACCGACATTTGTTTGCCGTGTTGTTATGTACCACAGCTCTGGGGCTGTGTGGCTAAAGTTTGCCGCTACTACCGCCGTACGCTACTACCGCCGTACGCTTACTACCGCCCTGTGGTGTGCGAGAAGCGCTCTCGCTCCGGAGGCAACGTCATGCGTGGTGTGTGTGTAGCTCTAGGTGGTAGTAGGGTGTGTGTGTGATGGGGGGTAGGGGTTTGGACGTGGGGGAAAAAGAACCGAAAAAAGGTTCTTAAGGATTGGGGCTTGAACGGGTTGGAGTGTGGAGTTGCCGGCCTCTATAGCGGGGGGGACAGCGGTAGGTTGGAAATTTTAAATTTTTGAAACAAAAAGCAAAACCGCTAAACCAGCCAGACCCAACTTAAAACCCGTTTTAAAACTCAATAAAAACCCCGTTTTAAAACCCAGTAACACCCCCCGTCTTACCCGGTACTCCTCACAGAGTTTGTCACGGTGGTTTCGGGGCACGAAGAAGGTCTGGTCGAATATCGCATCCTCTACCTGACGATGCGTGTGTTGTCGTGCATGTATGCATGTATGTATGTATATAATTTATGTATGTGTTTGTAAAAGATGGGAAGGAGCAGGGGGGAAAAACAGGTTAGGGGGTTATTGCAATGTGTGTGTTTGTAAATTGGGGTCCCAGAACTGCCGTACTTAAGGCAAGCCGTCACACACCTTAATACGATGTCCTACACGGACGTACAAGGATGCAAAGCTTTACAACACCGTACAAGCTCGGCACTCCCACTTACATCCACAATGGCCTCCCCCATGTGTACGAATTCCGTACAATGGTCGGTTAGGTATCTGTAAGAATCGGGGACGTTGGTAGGAGTTGGGTATTGGGGGGGGGAGGGGGAAAGGGGGGAAGGTTGGTCTTCGCAGAGTGTGTGTATGTGTATGTGTGTGTGTGTAGACGAACCACAGACGAATGAAGCGAATAGAAGGGATAGACGGGTACTCCAGGAATAGACGGGTACTGAGAAAATTGTAAGAAGTTACCAACCGGTAGCGAGTGGGCAGCAATGGGGGAGGACAGGTTCATAGGCGGGCAGCAGCAGCAGGAGGAGGAGGTCAAGGAACAAACTCTCTTAACAACGATTCGGACCCTAACTCTCTTAACATCCCCAACTCCCCCATCCCCAATAAAACACATACCCGTGTACACAGACACATACACAAAAAAACACAAAACACACAAAACACACGCACACGCTCACCTCCGCAGCGCCTCCGTCTCACGGCCAGGTGCCCAGATGTCCCACACCGCACCTGCACCGCCGTACCTGTGTGTACGACACCACCGACCCACCACCGACGGGCGGAGTACCCGTACCAGTAGGGAAAGGCGCGCGAGGCAAGAGGGGAAAAGGAGGAGGCATGGGGAGGGGGGGGGCAGTAAAAATACCCCCAAAGCAAGGGGGGTAATAAAACCCCCAAAGCAATTTTGGGGATTTTTTGATATATTAAATTTGTAAATTATATGTTATACAATACACCAACACAACACTAAATGCATTATTAACACAAATATCCCTAAACACCCCCCCCCCCCCGCCGCCACTTTCCCCCCCCTCCAGCGCACCCAGGCAGCTGCGGCAGGTCGCTACCGCACCGAGCTCCAAGCACCGGGGGCCGCACGGGACCCCCACACGGCGGGCCAGGACGTGCGCCGCCATCGCCTCCGCCACCGCCGCCACAACCACCCGCACCGCGGCAACCGGTTCGGTTGTAGTTATGGTTGTAGTTGTAGTTGTGGTTGTTGGCAGCTTCTGCCCCCGCCAACGCTGCCCCCGCCTCCACCGATGGGGGCTTCTGCTGCTGCTGCTGTTGCTGCTGTTGCCGTACGTGGTTGAGGACGTTGACGGCATCCGTCATGTCCATGTGCAGTTTGGTAACGGAGTCGCGTTCCCGGGCCGCCGTACACTCCTGATGGGGAGCAGGGGGCGGGGGTGAGGGGGAGGGAAGAAAGGGGGGAAAGAGTGTCCGATGGTGTATTTGTTACGTGTATCGATCCGGGCCTGACGCTGGCCAGGGACACCCAGCCGTACCCCAACGATAACGACTGACAAAGCACTCTCCTCCTTGTGGGGGGTGAGAGGGGCGTGAGGCCACTATCCCCTCCTGCTCGACCGACGGCGTGCACCCCCCCGCGTTTTCCTTCAAGAGGAAAGAGAGCCCGCTGTGCAGGCTGACAAACACATGTGCGGGGGGCCGGTTGGGGAAGTATGTATGTTGTTACAGGGTGGTTAAGCTTCACCAGCGGCCCCCTTTCCCAAGGCAGTCCCTGCTCTCCCCTGCGAGATGGGCACCCTAATCCATTCACCCCATCCGATTTCAGAATGTATTCGTTGGGTTCAGGAACTCACCACCAGCATCCAACCAAATCTAGCGGATCAACGGCGCCTCAACTTAGTTCCTGGTCAGCTCGCAAGTATGATGTGAGACAGGGGGGAGGAGAGGAAACACAGCGGACAGCTTCCCAACGGCAGTACTGCACCACTGCAGCTGGCGCCGCCGCCGCCGCCGCCGCCGCCGCCGGCGGTGGTGGTGGTGCGGGTGCCGCCCTCCTTAGTGGGCCTCACCGAAACCCACACGACCTCTGACTCACCCCCAACCCCCACCCCAACCCCCATCCGGCCATTAAAACGCTCTGTGATTTTCATCACGCATGCAATACACATACACATACACACGCACATACATACATATATTCACGCACACACGCCCAGCCGCACCTCCGCCGTCCCGAAGGCGATGTAGGCCTTCGGTCCCAAGTCTGTGGGCATTGCTCCGGGAGCCAGCCACGTGGCCAGGTTGAGGGGGGCCTCGTCCGGGCGGGTCATCCAGGGAAGGGGGAGGGAGGCCACGAAGTCCTGGAGGGGAAAAGGGGGGCACATGTACGGCACGTACTGCCACGCACTGTCACGTACTGCTTCTAGGTGTCACGTACCTCGTAATGCTTGGGCAGTACGCTGTGGAAGTTGGCGGCAGGCGGGTAGTCCTTCAGCTTCAGCATCTGGGGCTGATCCTCCTCATCGTACGGCTGTTATTGTTGTTGCCGTTGTTGTTACCGTTGTTGTTACCGTTGTTGTTACCGTTGTTGTTATTGTGGGGACCACCGGGGTTTTGGAGGGGAGAGCAGGGGTAAAATGAATACTTGAAAAGGCACGAAAAACACAAACACGCGACTTGCACCGCAATACGCGTGCGGGCACCGGGTGCACCGTAACTATGACAGTTAGATGTGTACGGCCGTTACGTTACAATACATTACTGTATTTTACCCGGCTTCATTTCACGGCAGAAGTACAGTCATTTTGACGCCCGCAGATAACAAGAATAATATCTTCACATCATCCTCATAAATTCCCCTCTCCCTCTCCCTCTCCCTCTCCCTCCCCGTCCTCCTCCTTGTGCGTGTCTTGATCCTCATTCCAATCTCATTGCCTCTTAACTTCCCCAACCCATTCCCTAACCCCCCCTTCTTGCCGTACTTTGTCGTACAACTTGAAAAAGGTGGCCTCGTCCATATCCTCCACTAACTGGAATCGGTCGGCGCAATCGATGACTTGAAGACCACCTCTTCTACCACCATCAAGACCGCTGCCGAGGTGGGTGTACGGGACGCAAGAGTGTACGGGAGGCGGGTGTAAGGAAAAAAATCCGCACATCCACCCGCACAGGGTTTCGAGAGCAATCCTAAAGCCGCGTCCAGGAGAGCGGCCCCGTTAGGGACGTGTGGGTTTTGCTCCATCGCGCCACTTTCCCCCCACCCCCCGGGGTGTCCGAGGGGGCCAACTGAGTGAGACTGCCGAATGGGCGACGACCATGCTTACCGACATATAAACAGACGTACAGACATACAAACAGAATACATCTGGACAGGTAAATGGATATGCAGACGTACAGACAAACAGACGCACAGACGAGAAGCATCTTAGGGTTATTCATTATCGCACTCACTCCACTCTACCGAAGCACACACTCACCCGCCGCCTCTGCCCCTACCGCCGCCCCTGCCACCTCTCCCTCCTCCATCCCCCCCGGGTGCTCTCCTTCCGGCCGCCTTCCGAGGGCTCTCCGACGAGGCCGATTTCAGGCCTTCACGTACGGCACGACGGAAGTTCTGCATGCGAGTGCGTGTGTATGCATGGGAGGGGGAGGGAGGGGAGGTAGACGTGTGTGTATTAAAGAACGGGGGAGAATTGGCAAGGGGAGGGGGGGAAAGAGAAATTAGAACCCGGCATGGGCACCCGCACCACTACTACGTGAATTGCATTGTCGTACTCCCGTACCTCGGGTTTCCATATTTCGGGGTCGGGCCCCGCACAGCCCCGCACCACCACGGGTTCGCGCTGCCGCCACCGCTGCTGGAACAGCAGGGCGTACGGCACGAAACGGTGGCTGCGGGGGTGTAGATCCGCAGCGGAGGGTGTGAAAATGTGCCTGCGGGGGGAAATGTGTATGTGTACGTGTGTGTTTTGTCGTACATGAGATGGAGGGTATTAGGAGGCGGGGAAACCCCGCGGTCGGAGGGGTTTCCTTTGGGGTGTAAACCGGGAGGAGGAGGGGCAGGAGTTGAGGAGCAAGCAGGCGTACAGACATACAGACATACGGAGGTATTGAAAAGCTTTTAAAAATCGAAGATCGGAAGGTTGGAAGCGAATTGGAAGCAAATTAAAAGAAGCTGTTGTGGGGGAAATGAGGGGGGAAGAGAGAGCCTCGCTCACCGCGGTGTTTGGTCAGGTCCGTCGTGCGGCCGTACGGAAGCCAGTCGTACATCCTCCTGCGGCAGTACGTACCGGCCCCACGCCGCCACGTGACCGGGGGGCAGAGGCTGACCGGGGCCCCGGTACGGCATGATGCCTGGGATGGGGAGTGAGAGGTGTTGGGGCGCAGGGGGTAAATGTGGGTTTTGGCAGTTGGTTGGGATTCGGTGGGGTCCAGGAAACAACAACCGAACCAACCGGAGACCAACCGAACGTGTACGAATTAGTTGGGATGCGAGCGACGGTGGGGTGTTGTGGAATGGGATTTAGGTTGGCGGAGGGGGGAAGGAGGTAAAAATCAAAAAGGATGACCAGGCTTGACCTTGAGAGCCCAAATCACAAATTCTTTCACGTCGCCTCAGTTGTACGGCACTCCCGCAGAAAAAAAAACACAACGATAAGACCTTGATGGCAGTTTACCTCTCTTCTCCTTCCCCTCCCCACCCACCCACCCAACACCCTCCCCGATGTTGCTCACCCTCACGTTCCAAGGGGAAACCCCAAGACCCCACCCGAAAAAACCCAAAACCTCCCCACCCACCCACCCACCCGCAGCAACGACCGGGTCATCCACGTCCGCATCAGTGCCACCACAAGCGCCCTTTGCCGACCCACGGGTCACTCCACTTTCCCCCTGGGCCAGCCCTCCATCCTGGCCTAGCAGCCCCACCGCCCCGTGGGTCACTGGATCCGCTGTTCCCAGCGGAATTCCACTCAGCCGCCTCTGCATGGTCTCTCTGCCAGCCTGCGCCGCCTCGATCGCCCGCCGGGCAGGTTCCGCCCCACCAAACTGGGAGGGGCGGAGAGCCGCCTCCGAAACCACCACCATATGGGGGTCCCAGAAGGAAGGCGCCAGGGAGGGACCGGCGGCGGCAGCCTTGGTGCCGTACTCCTGAGGGGAAGGGGCACCGGGAATGGTGCGTGCGGGCTTGTGTGTATGTGCGTGTGTGCGTATGTATGTGTTGAAGAATGTTGGAGGTTCGAGTTGACTGACGGGAATATGAAGTGAGGTATATGAAGCCCGGAGCCCGGGGCGAGGGAGCGTGAGGAGCCGACCGAGGAGCCGAACTCAAGTCTGTGGCCCTGTGGTATCTCGGGGCTCGTGGGGGGTTGGGGTGAGGGAAGATGGGGGGAAAGGAGAGTGTGTGTGGGGGGGGAGGAGGATAAACACACGCATACATAGTATGTATGTATGTATTACATACAGACACATCTCACCTGGTGTATCCTCTCCAGCACCCGGTGCATGGCGGGAGAGAGGTAGGTCCGCAGCAGGGTCACCTGGCCACATCCCGGCACCGGGCAACGAAGCGGTGGCGGGGGAGGTGACAGCACCGGGGGAGGGGGGGCCGCGGCAGGAGCGGGACAAGAAGGAACGGAGACACCACCACTACTACCGCCACCTCCAACACTCTGGCCCTGGTGCTGGTGCTGAAGCTGCTGCTGCTGTAAAAGCCGCCTCCGCTGTTGCTGTTGCTGCTTAAGTTGAATCGGGTGTTGTTGTAGTCGCAGTTCCCGACAGCAGCTAAGGCAGTACTCCTTCTGACAAGCGGAACAGAAACTGGAAGGGAGGGGGGAGGGAGGGGGAGAGAGGGAGGGGGGAGGGTGGGAGGGAAGGAGTGGGGGGTGCTTTTCAAAGGGGGCCAGGGCGGAAGTATGGACAAATTGAAGTGCGGTGGGCACGGGGGTACATCGTGGTGCAAGAGGTTGACACAGGTCTAGTGGCGGGGTAGATACATACATACACACATACATACATACATCGGACTTGAGAGGCCCCATCGTGTTTTCACTGTCACGGCGCCAACCCCCCGAACGGATGGAGATGCTGCTGAGCGGCTGCGTCGTGTTTTGGCAGAGCCTGAGCCTGAGTCGGGGGGGGGGGGGGGCGGGAGGGGACATAAGACCAGCCGCGACGACTTGGGCTGTGTCTGCTCTCCCGACCCTTGCGTCGACAACCCCCCTTCCTTTCGCCAGTGGTTCGTCGGCCCCCCCCTCCCCCTGCCTAGCACCCCTTTACCTGTGCATGGCCGGGAGAGACGTAGCGCAAAGGTCGCACAATATGCGCTCGTGTCGCGTCTGCACGACTTTCACCTCCTCCTCCTCCTCCTCCTCCACCTTCTGCCCCCCCTCAAGCCGCGACCGCAGCGAAGCAGCTCGCCGGTACAGCAGCTCCCCGCGCTCAGACGCCAGGTAGGCCCCCAACACACCGCCACCGCCTCCACCCGCAGCACCTGCGCCGCCACCGCCACCGCCACCGCCACCACCGGGCTCTGTTGCTGGTCCAGTAGTACCCTTTTCCGTACCCGCACCCGTACCCGTGATATACCGGAGGGCGTGTTCCGCCATGTCCTGGGGGTGGGTGGGTGGGGGGCTGGGTGTGGGAGAAGAGCAGTCTGATGTGAGTGAGCGAGTGAAAGCAGGGGGACATGAAGCAGACATCGTTTCGGAGTACAAGGCTCACAGCTAGCAAGGGGGGTGGGGGCCCCGGGGCCCGAATTGGGAAAACGGAATGAAATCGGGACCCTCGAGGAAAACACTCTCCCTCTCTTAGGGTTTTACTTGCCCACATACTTCACAAACACATTCGCACTTGCACCCACCATTCGCGCCTCCCAGCTAACATCATTTCGATAAAGGCGGTTCGGCTGCTGCTGTTGCTGCTGTTGCTGTTGCTGGGGTTTTGTTAGCCGCTGAAGTTGTTGTTGCTCCTGCGTGTGATTGTGGTGATGGTGGTGGTTGTGGTAGGGGTAGTAGTTCCAACTGGTGCACCTTCGGCAGACACAAATGCCCCGGCACTTGGGGCACTTGTGGATCAGCTCCCAATAACTGAAGCTCGGGTACTTGTCGCGGTGGCAACTACTCGTTGGGTGGCAGGGGGGTGGGGAGGCGGGGGTTGGGTGAGGGGGTGGGAGGGTTTTAGAGTTTTAGGGTTTAAACAGGTGGGGAGGTGGGGTTATGTGCGAGAAGCAAAGGACCGCGTGTGCCGATACGCACAAAGTCAGGACCTGAAGGGGGGGCCGAGGGAAGGGGGAAAACTTAAGTGCGGGAATGCTGTGCGTGTGCGTGTGTATGTGTGTATGTGTGTGTGGAATCTCATACGATGATGCACGAAGAGCAAAGAGAAAACGAACTGCACAAAAGTCCAAAGCCTCCAAAGCCTGAAAGGATGTTGAGGTGTCAATAGTTGAGCGGATGGAGGTCCTCAGATCAATTCCTCTGAATAATACACTGAACAAATCTACAGAACAACTACCCCATACACACACACACACAACACCAACCGACCAGCTGATTAACCACCAACGACGCTAACTGACACCCACCGTTCGCAAACAGTTCTCCGACCACACCACTCGCAATGGACCGTGAGGAAGCTGCTCTCGCAGCTGTGGCAGTACTTGGTGACGGATAGCGCAAGTAACTGGGGCGGCTCCAGGGGGGGAAGGGCCGGCAGCTGCAGTGGCGGTTGCGGCGGTTGCGACGGTTGTAGTTGGTCTTGCGGTCCCTGTTGCTGTTGCGCTGCTGTTGACGCTGCTGTTGCTGCTGCCATGGAGGTCAAGGTGGTGGCAAAGAAGAGGTAGACTTTACGCGCTTGCCCTTTGAACCGCTGTCCAAGGCGAAGAGGCGCGTCGGGAACGTACAGCTCGCCGTCCTGCGAGGGGTGAGGGCGGGGTTGAGGTGAGGGGGGAGGTGTAGAGTGAGAGATGAGATCCCTACACAACAACGGCAGCAACAAGAGGAGGAGGAGGGGGAGGAGGAGGGGGAGGGATAGGCGGTGTTTTCTTAGGGAAAGGAGGTGGGGAGGATCGAGATTGGGGTCGGAATCGGGGTCGCCTGTCCCGCTGGGAGTGTATATTGGGGGGGGGGGAGGTGTTGGTTTAGTTCTCACACGTTTTTCTTCTTGCAGTGCACACGAGATCCCCCTGCTTTCCCTGCTTCCGCCCCCCCTTCCCCCTAAATAAAACACATACATACATGCATACATGCACATACGTACATACGTACATGCAGCCACACACACCTGGTTGTACAGAGGTCCCCCCGTAAAGAGCGGGTAGGACCACCCGCCCTCCAGCACGATTCGGGCTCTGCGATGATGCGGACCTAGGACGACATCCTCATGGCATGGGGGCTGCTGTGGGGGCTGCTGTGGGGGCTGCTGTGGGGGCTGCAGACGATGGTGAACGTGGCCCTGGTCCGCCAAGGCGGCGTACGGGGCGTCAGCTCCGCCAGCATCGCTTTGCCGTCGCCGCTTGGATGGCCTCTCCGTCGCAACTGGCGACGGCGGCGGCAGCAACGGCGGCAGCTGCCGCCGCCGCGACGGCAACGGTTGCGGTGGCAGCAGCGGCTTCTTGCGGTCCGACGCCATGTCACCGCCGCCACTGCGGCAACTACCACCGTCCGTACTGCTATTGATGTCGCTACTGATATCGCTGGGCTCCGCAGCGGCTTTGGTAATTTTGGCAGACGCCCTCGTAGCGGCAGCCCGGCGGGAGGCTTGCCTCCCAACTGGTTGCTGCTGCTGCTGCTGCTGCTGCTGCTGCTGCTGCTGCTGCTGCGACTGTGCTGGGCGCGGTGGCAGTGGTAGCGGCGGCGGCAGATCAGGCTTCGCGTCTGCACCTCCGGCAGTGGCAGTGGCGGCCTTGCGGGTTGTGGCGGCGACGACGATGACGGCAGCGGAGGCCACCTCCGCCTCCGCCACCCCTCGCCCCGTTGCAGAAGGCCGCCGCTGCGGTTGCGACGCCCTCTGCTGCCGTGCGATAGTGCCGGCGCTGACGCCCGCGGCAACGGCAGCAGCACCAGCAGAAGCACCGGCGGCGACTGGTACGGCAGCAGTAGCACGCGTAGCGGCAGATGCCGACACGTGGCTGCTGTTCCGAGGGAATATTGCCTGAGGGAGCCCAGCAGAAGCCGTACGATCAGCCGGCGGCGGCAGCGGCGGCGGCAGCAGCAGCGGAGCGGGCCCCGTCGACGCGGGATACGGTACAGCAGACGTCGCCAGCGTCAGGGCGGCAGCGGCGTCCTCCGTTTCCAAGGACGGCTCAGCACCCCTAGGTCCACCCGCCACCTCGGCCGGTTCCGGAGCTAGTGCCTGCAGACTCGCAAAGTCCAAGTCCTGAAGAAAACTAGGACCTGGCTCCGGAGCCATAGCTAGCTCTGGTTCCGGAGCCGGTGCCTGCATACCCCGGCGCAAGCCAGGGCCTGGTTCTGGAGCCGCCGCGTCGAGGGACGTCGCCACTGCCACTGCCTCCGCCGCAGCAGGAGCCGCGGCCCCCGCAGCAGTGCCAGTAGCAGTACCAGCCGTAGCAATACCAGTAGCGCTACCAGTCCTGGCAGAGGCGGCCGCGGCGGTGGCAGTAGCAGCCGCTGCAGCGGGTCTTGGGGCCGGGGCAGTCCTGGCGGCCGTGGAGGTGGACGCGCCTGCATCCGGAAGACGCGTCACAAGTGTCCCAGCTTGGAGACTCACCTCTTGCTGCTGCTGCTGCTGCGGTTGTAGCTGCTGCTGAGCGTGCAAGGCCTCCGCAGGCTGTATCAGCAGTTGAGGTTGCGGCGGTAGCTGCGGTACACTGTAAACACCAGGGGCCCGGCTGCAGCCCCAAGCCACAGCCCCAGCCGCCGCCGCCGCCGCCGCTGCCGCCGGGTCGCTGGCCTGAGCCTGGGCCGCCCGCCTGACTAGCGGCGCGTACAGCGCCTGAATCGCCAGCCTTCCTGCCAAACCCAATTCCAGGTCGGTGGGGTCCATCGCGGCGCGCAACTCCCTAGCGGCGCTTTCCAGGAATTCCAGAACTGTAGACGGCGACATGTACGGCGGTATGTACGGCGGTGCGTACGGCGGCGCTAGCGCTCCTGATCCTGCTATTGCTTCTGACATCTCCGCTCCTGCCGCCGCCACTGCCGCCGCCGCCGGCCCCGCGGATGCGGGCAGCTCCGTCGGGACTGCAACAAGAGCAACACTGAGAGATCCCGCGTTGGCGGCGGCGTCGATGTCGTCAGGGGAATGCTCTCTCTGTACGGCAGCGGCTCCCGCAGCCGCCGCCACCGCCGTTGGGCTGAGATCATCACCAGCACAGCCGCCAACGTTCTCCTGCTGTGACCCTATTGTGAATGCGCTGGCGGAGATGAAGCCAAAACCAGCGGCGGCGGAGGGCGGAAACCGGCTAATGTGCTGCACGGCCACGATGTGGCCATTGCCGGAAGGATCAACCCATGGGTCAGTGAGCGGCTCCGTCGCGATCCCGCGTGTTGACGCGGCCTCGGAACCCCCCTCGGCCGCTGCTGCTGTCGCCGTCACTCCAACTGCATGTGCCAGGTTATCTCCGCCAGCAGCAGTAGCAGTAGCAGTAGCAACAGCAGCATGGGGAGCTGTAGCAATGGTACCAATGGTGGTCCCGGCTCTCTCGCCTCCCTGTCCTTCTCCTCCTGCTGCTACAGCTGCTACAGCTGCTGCTGCTGCCGCTCCGGCGGCAGCGCCTTCCTTTCCTCCCGTCGCGTCTTCCCTCCCACCGGCAGCAGCGGGCCCCCTCGTGGGCTCGAGGGCGGCTGTAGCGCCTGGATGTGTCTGCAGCCGGGAGTGCTGCGGCGGAGGCCGGATAGCAGGGGCTGAGTGCTGCGGGGCATGCGGCGGCAGGGGTGCGGGCAGAGGCCCGGTCTGGCACTGGGGATGATGCAAGTGATCCAGGTCCCGCTGCTGCTGCTGCTGTGGCTGCTGCTGCTGTGGCTGCTGTGGCTGCTGCTGCTGTGGCTGCTGTGGCTGCTGCTGCTGTGGCTGCTGTGGCTGCTGCTGTGGCTGCTGTGATTGCTGTGGCTGCTGTGGCTGCTGCTGTGGCTGCTGTGGCTGCTGTGGCTGCTGTGGCTGCTGCTGTGGCTGCTGTGATTGCTGTGATTGCTGTGGCTGCTGTGGCTGCTGCTGTGGCTGCTGCTGTGGCTGCTGCTGCTGGGTCGTCAATGGCGGCGCCCGGTCGGGAGCCTCCCCCTCGTCTAACTGCCGCTCAGGTGGCGGCGGCGGCGTGGTGGCGGCTACAGCATACGACAGCCCGCCGTACTCCCGCCGTCGTACGGTTTCCGTACGCGCTGCCACCTCCTGAAGAACATCCGCCTCTGAGGACGCGTTCTCCCGCGAGACTCCCAACGGCCGGCGGTTGGCGGAAACGGCTACCCCAACCGCCAACGTGTTTGCCTCTGCGACGGCGGCAGCAATGCCAGCGGCGGCAGGTGCGGCAACACCGGCATCCATATCTTTTTTAGACTCTTTCTGAGTGCGTTTCTGCGGCTGTGACTGCCCCTGGCGCTGCATCTTCAGTCGGGTGGAAGTACGGCGGCCTTGGAGCTCACCGTCGTCACCCCCGTCCACCGCACCCACCTGTACAACCCCCACAGTGAACCCGTCAAGCGCCGCCACAGGACATACATCCGCGGTGACGGCGGCGGCAGCAGCAGCGGCGGCGCCGCCGTCAGGCGCCTCCGCCTGCGCTTCCGCCGCTGCCGGCCACGAGCCGAGTTTCAGCTTTATGTCCGCAGGTTCCTGCGCCCGGTCGCCGTCGCGGTCGCGGCCCGGAGTCGTCGTCGGCCGAGACCAGCCCAGCATGAACCTGTTCGCCGCCAGGTCCTCCAGCGCGTCTCCGCTGATGTAGCCGGCCTTGCTGCAGGGCCGTCCGGAGAACTCCGCCTCCAAGGTACACACCTCCGTGCCGTCCAGCTCAACCTGCGTGTGGGGAAAAGCGGGGGAAAGTGTGTGTGTGTGTTTTGAGGGGGCGGGTCGGCGGGGGGGCCCGTGAAATCCTATCATGCAAGGAACAATAAAGAACCACGTCAGGGTTTTAGTGTAATGAAACCCTACACTGGAGGATGTAGGGGTGAAGTGAACGAAGGCGTAAAATACGCGAGTGGGACGCGAAAATGTGTGTGTCTAACCCCGACAGCGGATATAGCACGGCATGCATGCGTGTGGATTTCGGGGCGGTTCTGCTTCCGGTCGTACATTGCTGTACGGCTGCCGCGGGGGTATACAATGAAGAACACGACACTATTGTGGACGTCGTCGTCATCATCACCATCAGCAGCAGCACTCACGGCTTACCTGCACACGTACGACATGACCCGGCTTGGGCAGCTCGCCGTACAGCTCCCTGAGAAGCTGCGTCTCGATGCCCAGTCGCGGCCGGCTCCCCAACGGCCTTTGGGACTTGTCCCGAGGACACGACTCCCCCCCTCCTGCGTTGAGCTGCTGGTGCTGCTGAGGGTGTCGGGGATGATGGGGGTGGGAAGACTGCAGCTGTGACGGGGCCGCGGACGGGTCCGTTCCAGCAGCGACAACAGCAGCGTCGCTGGACGCAGGGCCGGCGGCGATGGCGCTGCCGCCGCCACTGCCGCCGCCGCTGCCGCGGCGGCGGCTCCTCGACCCCAGATCAGAAGTACGGAAACCTACAGGCGACGGTTCCACTGCCCGCGACTCCCTACCTCCGTGTGCATGACGGCGGCGGCCGGTGCCACGGCCGTCAGCGTCCTCGCCGTCGTATGCCTCCGCCGCTCCATGCTGCTGCCCTTTTGGCTGCCGACCGCGGGTAGCGGGTAGCCGTGGCGACTTAGGTAGACCTGGCGCCGCTGCCGCCGCTTCGGCGGCGGCGGCGGCGGCAGTGCCGTCCATCCGCCTCCGCTGCGGCGTTGACCCAGCACCACCCGCCACTGCACCGCCGTCACCGGTTACTTCCGTACCCACGAAGCTGCCGCTGGCGTTGTGACGCCGCTTCTGTCCGCGACCTCCGGAATGAGTTGGCACCTGCGGCGGAAGAGATGGCTGTACGGCATCCGCAACCGGCGCTGCCGCCGCGGTCACCGTTCGCCCTGATGCCGAAGTAGCGGCTGGTGCCGTCGGCAATGCATGGACTCCCGACGAAACACTCCTGCCTGCGGCCTCCAAAGATGCCGCCTCCTGCTGCTGCCGTGACGGCGGTGGCAGTGGCGGCGGTGTTGCTACCGCCGCCGCCTGGGGCCCATGGTCGCACCGCGGCGCCGCCGCCACTGGCGCCGTCTCCGACGGAACTCGCTGGATAGTCGCACTCATATCGCCATCGAATCGCTTCTCTTGTCCCATGCCTGTCGGACGGGGAGTGAGGGCTTGCACATACACCGGTATTGTACAGTGCTGTACACACGAGGCCGCCACGCCGTCATTTCCCTGTACGGCATCAGCATGTGCGGTTGCGCCGGCGGCCTGCAAAGGCGCAGCGGGCCCCTCCTGCCCGCTGCCGCCTGCGTTTTCGCTGCCTTCCAGGCTGTCGTACGCGTCCAGAAGGAGGAAGGTTTTCGGCCACGACGCCGCTGCCGTCGCCCTCGGTGGAGCCGAAGCCAAATTCCGACGGGAGCGATCTCTACGAGTGATGCTACAGCCCAGCCCCTGAATTCCACCGCCGCCGCCACTGCCGTCACCTCTGTCGCTCCGAGAAGTAGCGGCGGTAGACCGCTGCCGCGTCACCGCCGCCGCCGCCGCCAGCCCCGGTGCAGCGGTGGCGGCGGCGGCGGCTGTGGCGGACGGCGCTGATGGAGCTAGGTATTTACCCCGAGGCTGCCATACGCCGCCGCCGCCAGTGGCTGTAGCAGCCATGTCGCTGCCATGGGTTGCGGCTGCAGTCGTGCCACAAGGCTCCATAGCCGCCGCATCAAAGGTACTTTCCGCCGCCGCAGCAGCCACACTCGCTGCCTTTCCATCCGCGGCGGCGGTCGTATACAACAGACTAGCGACCGCCGCGTCGGACTTTGCAGTGCCCTTGGCCGGCAGCGGTGGCGGCGGCAGCGGCACCGCCGGAACCACGAAGCCGCTGGCCTCCGCCGCCAAGCCGTCGACAGGTCCGCCGTCGCTGCGGCCTACTTCCGTACTACCTTCACGGCCAACAGCCTCCGCTGGCTTCCGCAGCGCTTCTCCTGTCGTACCCGCTATGTTCAACGCTGGTTCTGCCGCTTCTGTCGCAATAGACGGTCCTGGTACAACAGCCGCCGCCGCCGCTGCTGCTGCTAAAGCCTCCGGATTACGTGTTTGCTCCTCAGCCGGTACGGTCGCAACCGCCGCCGCCGCCGCCGCCGCATCCATCGCCGTATCTCGTCCTGCGGCTGTAACGCACGGCGACGGCGACGGCGGGGGTACGGCTGCCGCCAGCTCCTGATCCGCCGATGCAAGAACCGCCGCCGCCCCTTTTTGCTGCAAGTCAGATGTGGCTGTAGCCGCTGTGCCGGTGGATCCCATGACCGGGTACCTCACACCTTCGCCCAGTATTTCCGCTTCTGCTGCTGCCACTGCGGCTTGTGCAGTGCCAGGTGCTGCTGATACAGATTCCGGTGCTACTGCTAGTGCTGCTGATGCTCCTGCGGGAGCTGCCGGAGCTGCTACTGCCGGAGCTGCTACTGCTCCTGCTGGGCAAGGGGTAAACGGGGCTGAAACACGAGACGAGCTCTCCACCTCATTGCGGGCCCTATTGCCGCCGCCTCCATCCGCTCCCATCTTGTCGACAGTACCGCCGGGCAACAAAGTGACGGGCGCCACTGTCGCAGCCTGCGCGTGTGGCGGCTGTGGTGGTAGCGGCAACGGCGGCGGCTGAGGCTCCCCGCGTGCAGGGGGAAACCCCGCCGTGACCACCACTGCCACCGACGCCAGCCGTCTAGATCGGGCAGTAGCAGCGGCAGCAGTGGTTGTAGAAGTCGGCGCCTCCGCCACAGTCGCTCCCTGCAACGGATACTGAGCGTCGAAATCTGCACCAGGAAAGGATACTGCCGGCGCCGTTGCTGCTGCTGCCGGCGCCGCTGCCGCTGCTGCTGCTGCAGGCGCCGCTGCCGCTGCTGCTGCAGGCGCCGCTGCCGCTGCTGCTGCTGCAGGCGCCGCTGCCGCTGCTGCTGCAGGCGCCGCTGCCGCTGCTGCTGCAGGCGCCGCTGCCGCTGCTGCTGCAGGCGCCGCTGCCGCTGCTGCTGCAGGCGCCGCTGCCGCTGCTGCTGCAGGCGCCGCTGCCGCTGCTGCTGCAGGCGCCGCTGCCGCTGCTGCTGCAGGCGCCGCTGCCGTTGCTGCTGCTGCAGGACTCGACCCTAGAGACGGCACTCCCGCCGGTCCGCCAGTCCCCACCGCGCTCGCATCGTCAAGAGGAAGAGCCGAGCCGATAAAAGCAGCAGCAGCAGCAGTAGCGGTATCGTTTGCAGGGCCAGGGCCTAAGCTGGCGTCGCCAGCACACGAATCAGGTAATGCCATGGATGAAGAGCCGCCGCCACCTGCCCCTGGGCCTGACCTAGGCTCCGGCTCCACCCCCTCACCGTACCGCCGCCGCCGGCCTCGCTCTGCCGCCGCCGACGGGGATGAGGCCCCTGGGTGAACATGCTGCTGCTGCACGACGAACTCAGGAGGTCTAGATCCAGATTCAGATCCAGCACGAGGTCGTTCATCCCGTACTGCTTTTCGCTCGCCTTCTAGCGGCCTGTCACCAGCCCTTATAGAAGCAGCGCGCGTGTCCGGAACCGGTGCGGTACACGGCGACCCCGCCACCGCCGTTGCAGCAGCGGCCGGATTCTTTTTCTTCTTCTTCTTTTCCGTTGCTACCAATGTGTATGGCACCCGAGGTGAGGCCAGCTGCTGCTGCGGCGGCGGCGGCGGCGGGCCCAGTTCCACACGGAAAGTTCGTGGGAGACGTTTGGGACGGACCGTTGGGGGATTGGCATCAGCATTGACGCAAGCTGCCGCATCGTCGTTAGCATCCGCGCCAGCTGTAGCAGCCCCAGGGGCAGTGACATCCGCGGCCACACACGAGGCCGGCTGCGGCTGCGGGGTTGGCTGCGGCTGCGGCTGTGGGGCGGGCTGCGGCTGCGGGGTTGGCTGCGGCTGCGGGGTTGGCTGCGGCTGCGGCTGTGGGGCGGGCTGCGGCTGCGGGGTTGGCTGCGGCTGCGGGGTTGGCTGCGGCTGCGGCTGTGGGGCGGGCTGCGGCTGCGGGGTTGGCTGCGGCTGCGGGGTTGGCTGCGGCTGCGGCTGTGGGGCGGGCTGCGGCTGCGGGGTTGGCTGCGGCTGTGGGGCGGGCTGCGGCTGCGGGGTTGGCTGCGGCTGTGGGGCGGGCTGCGGCTGCGGGGTTGGCTGCAGCCGCCGCCAGTGGGCTGCGGCAGGTGCGGCCGCTTCACGTTGGTAAGACGACGTATGAGGAACTGAGGGTCTTTGAACGTCCCGGCTGTACGAGTGAGTGCACATCGTCAGGGGCTCCGGTCGCGGCGCAGATGCGGATCCACCGGGACCGTCGTCGATACACCGATAGCCGCCAGTTTGCTGTTGCTGCCGCCGCTGCTCCTGCTCCTGCGGCTGGGTCGCCGGCGGCGGCGGCGGCGCCATATCAGCGTGCCCTGGGTGGCGCTGCGGGAATACGTTGGCCCCGCCACTGCTCAGTCGCCAAGGTTTGTGAGGGGTATCCGTGCGCGGTGGTGGATGCGACTGCCGCTGCTCCGCTGAGCTGCCGGCGGCCGGAATGTGGAAGGAAGGCCCTGGCGGCGGCGGCGGCGGCCGGTAGGCGACATCTGGCCGCTGCAAAATTGCTCGCTGAGCTGAGCGCCGCTGTGATGATGATATGTTGTACAGCGGCGAGCGCCGGCGTGTCGGCGATGTGTCCCCCGTTCGCCCGACATTGTGTGACGGTGGCGGTGCGATGTGCCGCGGATGTCCGCCATCATGCGCAGCGCGTGACGGCACTGTGCTGCCACGTTCCGTGCCTGTGCTGCACCCGTTGCCAGAAGCCCGACGGCCGGCACCTTGCCTTGGACTGTAACGTTGCCTTCGGTCCATGTCCTTGGCACAGGCACCTGTAGCCGAGCGCCGTCTGCGCCGGCTGCTGCTAGTGCTGCTGCTTGTGCTGCTGCTACTACTCCTGCTCCTGCGAAACTGCCTCCTGGATTTGGATCTGGATCTAGATGAATACCTGGACCGGCCACCCCTGGAGTCGGACTGCTGACGGGGGCGGTCCTGGCGGGGCCCGTCCGGGTCCCCTTGGCGTCGCTGCCGGCCTTCGGCTTTGGCCCGTCCCGTGTACCTGGATTGTGTTTTCAGTGCCGCGGTGGTGGAGGCGGAAAGCATGGGGACTCACAGGCTATGCAATCGGACGATGAAATTCCAGCGGGATGTTTGGGGGAAAGTAGCATTTCTATTAGCTTACCGATCGCGTGAAAGGTCCTACATTATGCCACGCAAAAGAGAGACGACTACGTTCGTGTGCAATGCCTCACCTTTCAGGAGCTTCCGACATCTTTATTCTAGCAGCGCCTAACTATAGCTTATCACCGTACTGCTGACCACTTTAAGTTGGCAAAGGAGCCGGAAGTAAGCAAAGATAGCTGCCATCTTCTCTGCTTGTTTTCGGCGACAGCTGAGATAAATTTTATGTTGTCAGGTTACAGAAAAATTGCAGCTTTGCATGATAGATGCTATGGCGAATTCCAAGGCTCAGGCCCGCAACCCGTTTAGAGTTTGTAAAGTACGGCTTTGACATGGTAGCAGCAGTCCAGGCACATTTCCTTTTGCCCACAGATTCCTGAAACTCGCGCACGATGCTTCAAGGCGATGAAATCATGATTTCGGTGATCACAGTAAGCTAGGGGTGGTGGTGCTCAACGTACTGCAACTGCCCCTCCAACTGTCATAACAAGTGCATCGTGTAATGACAAGCGAACACGCAACCTAAGCGCGATGAGGGCATGGGTATGATATAAGCAAACATTTGCAGTTGTAGTACTGTAACCTTCTGAATGACGTGCGCTCATTGCACAGTGAAGACCATCTAGCGCGAGGCGCGTGATTGCAGACGGACAAGCAGCCACACCGAGCTCGGGGTTTTGAGTTTCCGCATGATACCGCATGCTCTTAGGACTTTTGCCTTACAAAAAGGTATGACGTACACACCGGTAGGTGCAGCAACCGTTACAACCCCAGGTACCCCAGCAAAGCGCCGGAAGAAAGCGCGCCGTATACGTATTACAGTTTAGTAAAAATGTCCAGATTCTCAGACAGCAAAACACACCTGGCAAAACAATCTTCAACGATGACCTCCGCTCTTTTGGGCCAAGAAAGCGGAGCCCATCGTACAATCCATACTTGGCGTTCAAAACATTTTAGGTCGTCTCCACGACCAACAGCGACAGGGTTCCCCCATCCGTCGTGTCATTAACGACCCTTAATACTAAATCTTCGCGATAAGCAGCCTCCTGACAAACACAACGCCGCTAAAACAAGCCACAGGATAAAACGAGTTGAAGAAATATTCAGATACATAGATTGCTGAATAAATCCGAACGCTACTCATTATTGCATGTGCCAAACGGGCCTGCATGTATCAAACGGCACGCGCGTGTACGACAACACCAAATAACTCTCTCATGACATAGTTGTACGACCTCACGGCTAAACTGTCGTAACATCGATCAGTAATAGCTGACTAGCAGCAGAGCGCCAGCTTACTACTGCTCTCAGCACCACCATGCCCCTATCCGCCTTTGTGTCTCTCCACCTCTCTGTGTTTGTGTCCAACGAGAAGACTGACCAAACACCTACAGCAGCAGCAGCAGCAGCAGCAGCACACTCTCCATATAGCTCCATACAGCTTCGGCACCAAAAGGTTTACTATGATACACAGCTAAAAGCGCGATTTGGGCGAAGCACTCGCTGACCTTGCTTTCCTTTCGGAACAACCTATACGGACCTCCATAAGCCTATGCGGACCAACACAGACATCCCATAACGCTCTCGTTCTCAATTCAATCCATTCTAAATAACCTGACCTGGACGTCCATGGCCACAACCACCAGAGGACGTCAAGACGCCCATATTAACGTGCTGTAACCGTACAAACCAGGCGTACAACATAGCGTGTAGGCGACTTATCGCGTTATCGAGTACATGCAAGACAAGGCCTGCACGCATGTTGTGCCATGGTAGTGCAACAAAACCCTCCATGTACGGAAAAGGTAACCAGTCTCCAGCTTTCATTCCTGCAGACGACGTCACCGTTAAGAAGGAAAGCGAACAACGGCAGATCCGAGATGTGCGACACACCGGCGCCTCCAACCGTCACTTTGCCCTCAACACCATCACCATCATCATTCAACACCACCACCACCATCCTCATGCAATGCGACTACATATGACGTGATTTTCTAAAAAGCGCGTGATGGCAAAAGACGGACCTTCCTAAGGGGGAACCAGCCAGCCAGCCAGCCAGCCAGCCAGCCAGCCAGCACACAGGTTCCTCCCCTTGCTCATGGCACCTCCAGGATGCATGCCTTCACATCTATCAGACCCCCCCATGAGGGACTCGTGGCCCCGGAAGCGGCCCCTGGTCCGCACACCAGCTTTTCCCCTGGTTGGGGTCGGTAGCGATAGCGGGTGGGGACGGCACCGCCGCTGCCCCCGTCGGTGGCAGCTGCGGCCATGTCCAGCAGGGCAGCACCGGCAGCGGCCTTGCAGCAGGGTAACGATATAGATAACCGCGAGACCGGGAGGGCGGGAGAGGAAGAGGGGAATAAAACTGGTTAGGCAGGCTTGCATAGGGGGTAACGGTCGCTGGCGGGAGGGCTGGACAGGCGGCATGTGTGTGTGTTTTACATGGTCGTGGGTTGCGTTCCCAGTACCTGCAAACCGCCAAATACGAGCCGAGGGCTCAAGGCGCCGTGTGACATTAGCAGGCCAGTTCATGAATGGCCCCGCCGCTACCATCATCGTCTCGCTCAATTACCCACCCACCCACCCTCGCTCCCTCTCTCCCTCCCGCACCCATCCGAACCTCTTACCTTGGCTCTCTTCGACACGGGCTGATCTCCCAGGTACAAGTCGAAGAGCGCCTCGGCCAGCGCAGGCGACTCCACTCTGCCCAACACACGACCACCCGCCTCCGTAACTAGAGCGCCCGAGGAGCTGCGGTGCGTTATGTTGCCATGATGCGGGGCGGGGTGAGATGAGTGGGGAAATGTGCCGACGTCCACACCCAGAGGCATGAAGAAGAGGGGCGGTAAGACGAACCACGGACGAGTGAAGCAGATACCAGATATAATAGACGGATATAGAAAAAGGAAAATAGAAAACGTGGGCAGGGGGAAACGCATGCAAGGGAGCAAAGAGTCAAACGTTGATGTCCAAAGCGCCCGAGGATAAAACCCTAAACCCTAAAACTGGATAAGGATAAAGCTGTGACAATAGCGCGCGGACACTGGAGGGCTCAACCCTAAGGGGGCCCTGCACGGGGAAGGAAAACCGCCGATTAGGACGAAATTCCTTTTCGAATGAGGGGAGGCTGTCTGGTGCAGCAAGAAGTGTGAGGCTGATGAGTCTGTAGGCAGGCGAACAAACATGATAAGGACACGCCAACCTACTGGTCCTCTTCAGCGTGTCACATAACGCCACATACACAACCCAACCTTTACATACCAACTTAAATATATACATGCATACATACATACCCATATATATCCAATCTATAATACATATAATCTATATATTTGCGGCCGCAGGGTGAAGATATGACCCCCCCTGTCCCACACATACAGTCCACGTTATCTAACCTAGGCAACGCAGGTGCACAGAGCCAGGCATCCAGGTCCGCAAGTCACACCGCCTACCTGCGACTGAAGGTGATGGACGATCCCTTCCGTACGGCATCTCCAACACCACCCGAGGGTGAGGAAGAGACGGAGGACGACGTCACCAACACGTGCTCCGGCAGCTTCTCCTTGGAGAAGTACGACAGTAGCTCCCGGAGCGCGGGGTCGTCCGCCCGACCGCCGGCCTGTGCACGTGGGTTTTCGCGGGACGTGGGGAGGGTTGAGGAATGGGGGAGACAGGGGAGGACATCGCGCTTGAATAGACATTCGAGCACAAGGGAGCGGGCATCATGCAGCCCAACAACAACAGCTGACTGTCAAATCGCCAGGGCGTGAGGAGGTGGCAGACGTGGTGGGTTTAGGCCGTGTGGGGACATCAAGCACCGCCGCCTGGTGACACCTGGAGACATAGCCCAACCGATAGGGACTGGAGGGCCCGAGGGCAAGGTGGGAAGCCCGAGGGCGAGGAATAAAACTTGACCATGCTGATAAGGCCGTCCAAACCCAAATCCCTCCCCACTGCCCCACGCCCTGCACGCACTTCTTTCCCGTCCTTCTTACTACTCCTCCAAGTTCCAAGCATGTTCGTTCGCTGCTCTCCTCCTAGCGTATCCGCCCACCTTGCATGTAGCCCCTCTCTTCCCTCTCCCCGCGCAATATGGCCCAACGACATCCCCAAGTAAAACCCAAATACCCAACCCGACCCAACACCCCAGCTCCGCTATTCTTCTTCAACTCCACCAAAATGCCAATTCAACGAACTCACCCACTCATCCACAACCACTTAATCACCACTACCACGCAAACACGTTGGCAATTCCCCTCTTCCGCTATCGCCCTCCCGTCCCATCCTGTCCCCCATCCTGTCCTGTCCCGCATTCCCAAAATGTTCTGACCTTTTCATGTCGTCGCTGTAGAATGCGCTCAAACTCCTCACTCAGCATTTGCAGCGGCAGATTCCGACATGCGCGAATCGTCAGCGACATATCCACCCGACTAGCTGGGGACACCAGAAGCTCCGTCGGGCTGTTGTAGGAGGCTGCTGCGCGGCTGCCGCCGCCGCTGTCGCAGCTCAATGTACGGCTCTTCAGGTACCCCTTCTCAGGCGATGCGATGGCGGTGGAATTTCGAAGTGCATGCGCGGCCTGTATGCGCGGGAACGGGGGGAGGTCGAAAATCTGAATGAAAAAGTCCAAGGGACAAGAGCCGACGACCAAACAGCTGTTGGAGGCCTTTGCGGTGGGGGAAGCGGAAGCGGGTCACCGTTTGGGGGAAGGCCAATGAGATATGGGTTGTATGGGGTTGAAGAATGGAATGGCATGAGGGTGACAGGACGCCATCCCACCACCCGCGCACTTGCACCTATACCCAGCATCCCTACCCAGCCCACCTTGAGGGGGTCCGCGTAGACCGCAAAATCGTAAATCTTGACTCGCAGCAGCCCGCGTCCGTCCCACCACCCGCCGCTGCCCCATTGGCGGGAACCGACCGCCAACAAATGCTGAAGTGAATGCTCCTGCTGGTCATGGACTTGGGCTTCTTTGTAGCTCGAATGCAAACGACCAGTGCAGCTATTGCTGCTGCTGTTGGTAGCGCTGGTGTTGCTGTTAGAAACGGTTGAGTTGATTGGAATGAAGCTGTCGCTGCCGGAACTGCCAATCCTGTGCAAGTGGTTCGAATTGGTGCTACTGGATGGCCACCGCTCGTTGCAACCCATATCAGTTGCTGTGCCACCGCAGCTGCGGATGTGCTGCTGGTGTTGGCTGTGGTGCGTCCAAGGCCTATCGCCAGCTAGAAGTTGCTGTTGATTATGTTGTGGCTGGCTATTGTTGTCATAATCGGCCACATGGGCAAGGTACTGAGGAGAGCGAAAGTGATGCGCATGTGGGCTCGGCAAATCTGAGGTGTCGTAGTTAGGGCGACTCAACACGAGGGGAAACCAGCTGCCGCTGCTTCCAACGTCAGTTGCGCCGATGAGCTGGAGCGGACTGAAGGGGGGCAAGAGCGGCGCGTGGGCTTGCCGCTGACCGGTGATCGATGCGATTGACCTGTAATACCACAAAGAAGGTGATGCTAAAGATAACTTTTAACAATTCCGCGATGCACACGCCAGAACGCGTACCTCGCAACACCTCAGGACAGGCAGGTTCAAGTATGGCCAAAAATCTGCACCGAGAATTACTTACGACTCGTCGCCAATGTCCAGAACTTCTCCAGGCTCAAGCATGGCAGCGGAGAGCGATGCTAGAGGGGGAGCCCGACCCCGTCCTGCACGACATCCGCGCAGCCCCGCTGCTGTGTCTGAGCGACCACGTCCGAGTCTGACTGTCCAACGGCATGCTGCCTTCAGCCCACGCCGAACTCTCCGCAGAGGGTTGAAACGCCTTGAGCGTTGGAGGTCCTCTGCGGCAAGGCCGGCCATCTAGAACGAGCAGCCAATAAAGAGAACGTGAAAATACCCAATTTAGCAGCTCTATACGCTTTGGGGATTGTCGTTAGTGTACTCTGCCTTTAGGTCCGTACAGCGCTACACGGGAACTGTGTAAAAGCTGATGCGAAACTTTTACACTCTTGTATAATGATGAAACGTTTGTCCTCTGCCCAGGTCATCCAAACGGCAGGCGAGGCTGGAAGCATAAAAGGCGCTTGGATTTAAAAAGCGACTCTGCGTCAGAATGCCGTGTCACCAGTTATACAGGGAAGAATAGGCTGAGCCCTGGCGATAAAAGTGCACAATGCGTTCATGTGAGCAATCCTAAGCAGTCTGAAGAGCACATTGCGTTTACTTGGACTAGTAGTTGGACGTGCGTTCGACCTCGCCCAGCCAGGACAGCCCTTATATACGGTGTAGTGCTTAAGTTCGCAACCCCAACCCTATAAAAAGCGCCATATAAGGCGAGCTGGGATCAACCCGATAGTGACATGTGGTTGCCTTGAAAGTGCTTGACATGATTGCCCAAGGTGGATGCGTTGCGATAGCGGCCTTCGCGCTTGCGTGAAGTAATATTCATAACTGGGTCTGGTGCAGCCATGTATGACACTTAGTATGAATGGGCCAAGAGACCAGGGATGACAACAGCCGCTCCAAAGAAGAAAACGAGCAAGACGGGTGACAACAGCCGCTAAGATGGCTACTTCTAAAGAAAGAATCTGGGAAGTGGGCATCTGGACAACTTCAAAGCCGTTGGTCTCGCTAACTGCAGCTGCAGCTCTCATGCAGGACAGACTGAAATGGACGTCGTGGACGCACTAACTACCAGAAAATCGTATTTAGATGCACTTGGGCATGCTGGACAAGGCCATTACCCGTGTTGCGTTGGGCAGTATGCACGACGGATCCGACTTGCCCCACTGCAGCTGCGTTCTGCTCATGATTAATCCAATCGATGACCTCACATTGCTCGCCTACCGCCACAGCAGCGCCTGGCCTAAAGCGTCGGCTCAAGATGCAAATGGGTTCCGTCCTACCCCTACCTAGGATTTAGAAATACTCCCTGCACCAGAGAACACCACTCAGCACCACCACTCACTACCACCACATCTACCAGTGGGTCCCAGCGCTGTGCGCCGCCGCCGCCTGCCGTCACTGATCATGGGCGGCTGGAATTGACTGGCCATATCATGCCATATCTCACGACGAGGCGTTGTGTTTCCTCACGTGCCAGTTGCCAGGCGGGACGATTTCTGATCAGCTGTTGATTCATACCCCCTCCCCCAGCGTCTCGCACTCCCCCCTCATGTGGTTGATGCCGGGTCTGCTCTGGCTACCGCAGCAGCATGTTGCACTGCAGTTTGCCCTCCTGCTCATTTCTCCTGGTAGCGTTGCGTTGCTGTCTGTGCTCCCACACGATCATTGAGAGTAAAATCGCGCACGGAAACTTAGGTGGTTGCCTTCAAGTGATGAACACCCTTCCAGCCTGACTTCCTGAAGAAAGCCAATCTCTCATCACGCATAATATGTGCCTGTTGCAAGAACTGAATAAAGGTGTCCAACATCCTGGAGCCGCATGAGATTGGCCGCGGGCCCGCTTGCAGAAGTGACAGCCGCTGCCGGTGCTCACTGCAGTGGATCTCGCCACCGCTACTGCCGCCGAGGAGAAGGAAGGGGAAGGGGAGGGGGAGGCGGAGGGAAAGAGTAAGGGAAGGGGGAGGAGCAGCGTTTTTTAAGTAATTTATTCCGAAAAAGGAATAAACCGGCATTATGGCCTTTGGAAAAAAGGAATAAATTGAGGCCGACCCGTACATTGCCATTCCTCCAGTCAAAAACGTCGACAGCAGCAGCAGGGGCCGGTGTATGATGAACCGGTAGAGTCCAAGTGCACTGCTGCTTGCAGCGGCGGGTGACGGCCAGTGATTTGCTATGCGGTTGCTTGCTTTGGGCCTTTGCTTGGTCGATTTTACTTACTGCTCACAAACAGTGCCATAACTATCTACACATGTGCACGAAGAGTGCACGCACGGACGAAAAACGCGCCAACTCAGTGCATGACTCTTGGTCTACGAGGGGAGTTGTAACTTATGGGGGGGGTCTGGGGGGGTTCCGCCCCCCCCAACGCCTCACAATTAAGGAATAAATTACCACAACCCTAGCAACTTTGTTACCTAGTTTCTTGGGTTGGAATAAATTCTTGGGTTGGAATAAATTGAGACCCGTCCTGAACGTAAAACAAATCACTTGGGCGGTGGCGGAGGAGGAGGACAACGCCGTCATTAACGGCTTCGAGGGCATCGGGGGAATTGGGGTTCCTAGGGTACGTGGGTATGCGGCTGGAGGGACCACATACGGGTCGAATCTGCCAAAGTGGGGTTAAGGTCGAGGTAACCGGCGTCGCTATGTCAGTTGCCCTCATGCGCCATCCTCAGCACCTTCCTTCACGTTTTGCTCATCAGTCCACTAAAGTTCAATTGGATGCCTGAACTTCAGTTAACCAATCTACAGTGGACAGGGATTAGTGAGGCAATTGCAATAACGAGTAACCCTGCGATAGCGCGTACAACCCCAATGCGCTATGTGTGGCTTCCCCGCTGCAGGCCAGGGCCGAGTGCACTTTCCAATGCACCGCCAACACCGTGGCGGACCGCCACGGTGTTGGCGGACCGTGTTTTCGACATCTACTACAACGTGCTCGACGGCTCAAAGCCCCCGTGTGTGCGGCGCCGCTCCAACACCAGCGGCGGCAGCTCCGTCAGTGGCGGCAGCACCGCCAGCAATGGCGGCAGCGGTGCGGGCGGCAGCCGCGGAAGCATGGGGAGCGGCAGCCGCAAGCGGGCGCCCGAGACGGACAAGGAGGACACGGTGACAGGCACGCAGCACCGGCCGGTTCGGTCGGGGGCAGGGTGGCGTGCGGTGGGTCTGCCCCCGTTGCCGCCGCGTGCACGCACTCAGCCTGCGGTGGCGGGGATTGGCTCGGCGACGTCGGGCATGGCGGCGTTGGGCCTGACCGAGGCCGGGATGTCGCTGGATGATGATGATTACTGTGTGATTGTGGAGTAGTCCTATAGCGATGTGGATAGTTTGGAGCTGCGTTAGGACTTTAGCTCCGTTGCGCGTACGCAGGAACCCGTTAGGTCTGCCTTTGTTTGCCGACTGGGCTTTGGTGATGGTTCCTTTGCGAGGTGCGGTTGACGACCTCGGGCCACTGTAGGCTCGCGCAGCCCACCAGGGCGCGAGGTACTTTGCGTGATGCAAGTAGACTTGACTCAGTTCGAACGATGCGCCATGAGTTTCTTCATTTACATTCATGAGCACATTCTATTTAAATCACGGAGTTCCCTTCTAGGCTTTGCCTTGGTCCCTTTTAGCATAAATGTTTCATCGTAGTTGGCAGACATTTCACTGACATAGAAGTCGCTGCCCGCCTTTGCAACAGGCCCATCCTCAGCGTAATACATGGTATGGGTCTGTGGTGAGAGGTATGGCCATAAGATGAAGGACCAGGGCTCCTTGGTAAAGGTTGTGTTTGCGTGTGGAAGGGCGCACATTGGTCTGCAGTAATTTGGTGGCCATTTCGGCATAAATGTTTCCTATACATACTAAAGGGAAAAAGTGTTACCCAGAATAATTGCAAGAAGGACTGAGGCTTGGGCGCCACCAACGCCACCAACCTCAGCCGCGAGCAGAATCTCTGGCACCTTCGCGCTCAGCTAGATATTAGAATAATTGCCTTGCCCAGCAGGCGAAGTTTCAGCGTTTGTGGATCTGGCCAAAGCCGACGCTGGAGCTTGAACTTGTGTGTACGACGTGTGAGGTTTTGGCGCGCTAGCATGACTATTTAAGCGGACCAAATAATAAAAATTGTAAGTCTTGAGATTGAAATCCCAATTATAACTACTTTCGTAATCAGCTGTGTCAAGGACTAAGCCTTGTTACAGTTTAGTATCTTTGACCAACCGGTCAAAAGGACCTCGGAGCCCTCTGCGCGCTCAGACAGCCGTCTATACGTGTTCTCCATACCTACAACAAATTAAGTAGCAGCCAGTCCAATTACAAGTTTTATATCTTATATCATATATCTCATCAACTAAACCTGTTCAGATGGCTGCGTTTCTTACCATGGAGCAGATCGAGGAAATGATTGAAAAGTCCATGAGCAAGGCCGTGAGCAAGGCCGTCGACGAGGCCGTTAGCAAGGCCGTGAGCAAGGCCGTGGACGAGGCCGTTAGCAAGGCCGTGAGTGAGGCCGTGGCTCCGGTAGTGACGGAGCTGCGGACCTTTTCGGGCAGGGTGGAGACCCTATCGGGCGAGATGCGTCAACTATCAAACAAAGTTGGAGTGCTAACCGCCAAGCAGCACAACTCTTTGGTGGGCCGAAGTGATTTGCTGCAGAAGGTTCCTCTTCATGATGGCTCTCTTCCTGAAGGGGACTACCCGAGAACAATCATGGAGGTCATCGTGCCTGGAAACGAGGCACTGCCAGATGGTTCAATGAACATGTGGAATAAGAGCAAGTCTCGATGTCTGCTACATCAGTACCAGGATGACAGTGGAGAAGAGAGCGGCACTGATGACGAGCAATCATCGAGATCACTTGCAAGGAGACTGAGATTGGCTCGTTGTTTGGGTATCTCGAATATCCAATTAAATTTTGCACAAATAAGCCTTTAATTGGGCTCTTGCTGTCTATGCTCTGCACCTGTGAAGCTGGTTTCAGCACTGCCACACTGGTCGTCTGCGGCATCACCCCGAAGTCAGGCAGTGTGGTGTTAAAGAGCTTTATCATCTTGCGCCGCATGCTACGCATACTTTTAGCACCATATTTCAATGGATTTGTTGGATGGGCTAAACAACACCCGCGTGTTCTGTTTGTGGTCGGTTGGGGTTTGGTACCCGGAAATGGTATCTAGGTCGAAGATAATTCAGTTTGACATGTTTGGTCGCGTATTGTCCCGTCCAAATCCGGACGAGCTCGAACATTGTTATACCAGAAATAAAAACTATGTGTGAACGGTAGTATGTATGCGGCGTGTTTTTGCACTACGCCTCGGACACTATGTCCGCATTAGTGGCACACTAATTATCAGGGCCTCAGACCTGCTGATAACTTTCAAAGTGGACATTAACTTCCGAGCGGGAAAATTCATAGTCAGCCATTTTCCTTCCTCAAGGCCCTACACTGGCTTTTCTATTTTCCATTATCCATAGTCGCAAATAGCCCGTTGACCAGTGAAATTTAAAGCAGAACCGGTCGAATTGCCCACATTCCAGCAATTAGCCGACCAAACTGTAGTGATTTGCGCATTAAATTACACCCACTCTTACTATAACAATGGTTAGTGCCTTAATAGTAACCTGTCGTATGGTTCCGGGGCGCTTAATAGAAACACCTGTCCACAAGCCACACACTAAGTCCACGTTAAAGATAATGTTCAAAAGTTAGTGTGAGGCCAAGTGGAAACACCCTGTTAGTACAATAACCCACACTAGTTAACAAGACTTTAGCACTTCAAATGGCCAGCGTGCGCCGAGGAAGTTGGATACCGCTGAAATTGAGTTAAAATGGAGCTCAAGATACTCCAAATGCTGGAGCTGGTGTTACCACTTATGTGCTGCAAGGTCCCTTGAACCTTTTCTCATGGAAGGAATGCAGCGTTCTGCTAGGACGGTCAGATGTTAGCAAATCTACTGTAGCCTAGCAACAATAGCTACCCGTGCAAAGTGCACGGTTGACCCCTTAAGCAGCCTGGCCCCAAACCTATGCGAAAACTACAACTTGAGCAAGCTTGGTGAACGTGTTTTGCTGGTATACTTTGAATAACCCCAAAGGTTATCCATGAAAACCGGAAGACTTTGAGTACGGTGTATATGAATACACCTGAGATGGGTGGATGTGATGAAGTAAGGAGTTATTTACATGTTTATATGGAATGCCGATATATCAGGCGTTAGAGTTACAGTCATGGTGGACGACGAAGAAACGCGTTTGCTTTGCCGCAAGCGCTGCAGGCACAATTTGTTGATTCTCTTAATCACGTTCAAGGAGTAGACGCTTTGTAAAGCGTTAGAGGCGCGACACCAGTCGGAAGGCCTGCCGCGGCGTGCTGAACGGCTGAGGAGGAATGACGCTTGAAAAGGGCAAGAGCTAAGGCCAGGAACAGATACAGCAAACGCTCCAGGATAAAGCCAGGACGCGGCCGCGGCTCAATAACCCTGCGCCTCACCAGGTATGCGATAGGCGGGCTCGAAAGCAGGGCTCGAAAGCTATTCAATATGTATGTTTCATAGCGGCATCTCCACAGTATCATTTGGCTATGCTTTGGCAAGTCCCTGTGCAGCTCTTGAGTCAGGGATTATCTGGGCATGCCCCGCAAATCGCAACCCGACAGATTAATGCACGTTGCCACCTAATTATGGGGACATACATGGATTCTTAATTCCGTCATGATTCCATCTGCCAAACCACTCGCCTTGGCTGCAATCCCCGGAGGCCACATTCCCCGCCTTCCTCTACGTCCCCTCGCCTCAGGCTTCACCCCCGCACCTTCCCAGTCATCTTTAAGCCGCCGCGCCACCCTCAACAACTCTAAAATCCTTTAGTCATTTGGGTTTCTCGCTGCCTTCCTGAGCTGCCACCGCCTACGCATTCGGTTTGGGGCCTGGGCTCGTGTCTCTCACCTCTTTAGAACTTCAATACCCCTTGCTTATACTCGCTTGTTACCCGACCCTCTACCTGATCTCCTACGTGTCTTTACCGTACAGCCTGTTCTACGTGGCCTAGCCGTGAGGCTTGTCGTACGTAGCCTATAGACGTGCGTCCTATCCCAAACCTCACCACTGCCCTGACCCCTCCATCTTATTTGCTGCGGGCTTTCTCATTCGCCCCGTGTGTGAATGTATGTCTGGGTTTCGGAGCATCCGGGTTTCGGAGCTTCTCTTACGTTCCTCTCCGCTGGTTTCCAACAGCGGCGGTTGGGACTGGTGGACTTAAAAGAGTGGCGACCTCGCGCTCCTCCGCCTCCTCTTCCTCCGGGCTGGTGGTGTTTTACCCTCCCCCCTAGCTCCTCCCCCTGCCACACAGTCTCTCTTTCACACAGACTTTTCCTTCTCTTCGCCTATGGTTCTCATGTATACATACACACATACACACACACACACACTCCCGCCCCTGGGTCCCCCCACCGGGGACCTCTTTCCTTGGCAGCAGCTTCACTCGTTCGTGGTTCGTCTTTCCCCCCACCGGGCCTTTCGGGTCCCGACCTAAGACGTATTGACACGCGCACATGCCCGCTCGCCCGGGGAATGGAATGCATTGGTGTTGAACCCAACGAACTAACCAATCACCGTAACACACACACACATACTCACACACATACACACCCCTCTGTGCGCGCGCGTCATGTTCTCCCGCCCAGGCTCCTCAACGTGAGCGTGTCAGTCGCGCCACCATCCCCAGCGGGCGACCCGGTGATCAGCCTCGCACTCGCACTCGAAGGTGGAAGTCGCTCATTCGTCCGGATGTGAATATGGGGGTGCCGCAGCTCATGATGATACTGGAGCCCAACATCGTGTGGGAACACACCAAGGTGGGGGGTTGGGCTGGGGCGGGGTGGGGTGGGCAAGATTGGAGGGATTGTGGAACTGGGTCGGGATTGGGAGGGGAGGTTAGGGGGATGAGGGGGTTTTGGGGGTAAACCCTACGATGCAAGGGCAACCGAGCAATAATAACTGCCGACGTGTCCACAGGGTTTGGGTTTGGGGAACGAGGGAGGCGAACCACGGACGAGTGAAAGCTGATGGCAAGGATAGGCTGTTTGGGTCGGGGGACTGGGAGGTGGGTGGGGTGGGGTGGAGGTAGGGGTTGGGGTTGGGGCCAACCTACCTTGCCTATGATTCCCTCGTTGTGTCGGCAGTTGGGTAATTCTTTTCGTCATTTTGCATCATCGTCGCCATTATCGCCAGCACCATGCTTTTCCTCTTCCCCCCTTGTTTGGACCGTCTCGGTATCGTATTGACTGATTTGGCTTCCCTTGCATCCTATGAGGGTCGTCAACACCCAACCCCTCTCCCCCTCCCTTTCCTCCTGCCGTACAGGGTTTTGTTCCCGGCGTGGGTCGGGATGTGGAGGCTAATGTGACTCCAGGGGAGTTCTTTGAGGGCTGGCACAAGGGAGGAAGAAGGGTGAGCGCCATACGACTGACTGACTGACAGAGGGACAGACAGGTCGGGTCGGGTCTCTGCGGCGGCTCTTCCTCTCGTCAAATGAAAACCGCCGCCATTGTTATCGAAACTAAAACCCAATCATTCATATTTTTTTCCTTTTCTATCTCCACCTCCATATGTGGTGTCGAGCTCTCTTAGCCTTTCTCTCTTGGAGGTTTTTTTGTTGGCTTGTTAGGTGTATCAGGAGCCCTACCCTGCCGGGACTGCCCTAACCGTATTTTTATTTTCTGTGTTTTCCCTTGAAATCCCGTTGTCGTTGGTGGTGTTTTGGGGGGCTGTTTCAGAGAGCCTTTGACTTTACCCTAGCTGAGACTTGTGGACTCGCTCTAGCGGGACCTGAGAGCCTTTCGTGGTATTTTCACTGCAGCGCCATCCCCGGATGGAGTGGCTGCGGAGTGGCTGCGTAGAGTGTTGGCAGTCTGAGTCGGGGTCGGGAGCACACAAGACTAACCTGTGTGCTCCCGACCCTTGCGCTGCGTTTCGGCTTCAGCCCCCGGCTCTCGCGGCCCACAGTGTAATCTAAGTCATACATACACATAATCCATTAATGCATTCATTCAATTACTCCTTGGTCCAGTCCTATCCAGACACTGCTAAGCAGGACTAAGAAGTGAAAGCACCGTAGCCCCCTCTTCTTGTCAGATCAATAGCCGCCACCGCCCAAGTGGCCGGTAGCATGTGGATCCAAACAGCCACGTAGTCGTTTGATAAATGGTAACCGTATCAGAAGTAGTGGTAGCAAGCAGTATAAAGAAAATTATATATGTCGTCATAAACAGGAACAGGAACACGCGAGGTGATATGCAACTTTTTGCGTCACGTTTTGGCCAGCACGCACACGTACACACGGCTCCTCTCTGCTAATGACGGATTCGTACGACACATGTACGAACATGCGCGCGCAATCCATACTCCCTTCAACCAAGGCGCATTCCACTGCAATGCACACATACATACATACATACATACACACACATAAGGCACGGACGGCACAGCACACACCCACATCTACATTACCCACAGACATTTCCTCTTCCCCCCCAAGCCAACGGCTAGCTCAGGCCGAGCGGCGGACTAAACTAGTTCATTAGGGCCCTATTCTGTGTCGGGTGGTAGTAGTACAAGTGATACGGCACTCGCGCTCTACCCGCTTCCGCCTCCTCCGAATGCCCCCCACCTGCCCTGGTGTGCTTATGAGAGCGAGTTTTAGCACGATGCATATTTTTTCTATATGGCTTATTTTTCGGGCAACACTATATATGCGCGCGTTTAAGCGCGTGAAGCGCAACACTTTACCTATTGTGATTCTGTCTACATCCAAGCATTGTCATTACGTCACTGGTTCATATACTACCTGAAAGCGGAGGCGGAGGCGGAGGCTGAAGCGACGAGGACTGAATGCCTGCTGTCCGAGGTGGACCTCGTGCAACCGCAGCTGCAGCCGCACCTTCACGCTGTTCGCCTTCTATTCCCGAATTAATTGTTGGCTGTTGGCTCCCCCTCAACAAATGCCGTACCGTTCCGTACACAGCTCCAAAGCCAGACTGTTGCCTTATCTCACATTTATACAGCAAAACGTGTAGGAGCTATCCTAGCTTACGCGATAACGAAGGAGTTATTATTGATAGCCTTTTGAGATCCTGTTTTAAGTCCTCTCTCTCTCTCTCTCTCTCTCCCCCTCCCCCTCCTCTAAGGCCTCCTTACGGCTACTGGCCCTACCCCAGCTCGCTGTACATTTTCGATTCGATTCGGGACAGCAGCTCCCGCTCCCGTTTGGCGTGAGAAAACTGATCGGCAGTTGGGGTAGTTAGGGGGCAGTTGGGGTAGTCAGGTTAGTTAAGGCTTACGATGGAACATTTCAATGAAAAATGGCAAAACGCGTCCGTACATATGACGATGATAATGAATGATGACGCTGCTGGTGATGATAATGACAATGGTCATGATGATGGTGATGATGTTGTCGTTCTCGCGCCAATGATAAATGTCCACCAACATCCACCAACATCCCCTTTACCCCCTCCCCCCCACACACACCAACACCTCTCACAGCCACCCAGGAACGATCCACCGGGACGTCTCTTTCTCTTTCCCACCCGGGGACTGCCTCTTTACGATTGTGGTACCGCCACGCGGGTGGTGCTCATCCGAAGCCCCAACGCCTCCTTGCCTCTCCCCTTGCCTTCCCCCTTGCTTTTAAGCTAATGTCCTTTCCCCCCTCCTAAGTCGGCCGTCTCTTCCTCCTTCACCCCCAAGGACATCCCCACACACCAGCCATCAAACCCCACCCACCAACCCAGCCGCCCACCTGACACGCGAAGTTCACAAGTAGCCACAACCCCGCCAACAGCATGATGAAATTCCCCACCGCGACGGCCGGGAAGATGTCGTACGCCTGTTGGAATGCGTTCTGCGCCGCGTCCAACTTGTCGGTGTCGCAGATGCAAGCGTCCTGCACGTGATAACAGCAAACACCGCACAAACACAACGTGTAATAACCGCCACACAGCCACCGTCCCCTTCCCCGAACCCGACCCAACCCGGCCCCCCGCTTCGGCTAACCTTTAGTTGTGCCGTGACGAAGGTGAAGGGGGTGAGGTTTAGGCACTGCCCGGGACATGGCTGATTACGAGAGGGCAGCCACGTGGCAGTGCCGTACGTGACCATGTCCTTCTTGGCTTGATTGATGGCCCCGATAATCACATACAGACAAACGCCCCATAGGGTGTTGCCTAATTGGGGGATTGGGTTAAGAAATATATATTTGGGGGGTTGGGGGTTGGGGTTTACAGGGCGAACGCGAACTGAAAACGGGATTTGGGTTTTAGAGGTAAGATCGAGAATTTGAAAGGATCTAAGTCCTGAGGCTTTTCTTACAGTTTTTCCAAGTTTTCTTTTGCAGGCGTGCGTGCGCTATTGGTGGTCCAGTGGCCGGTAGGTACGGTGGGTGGGTTACTTACCGGCGGTCACGAAGTGGAAGCAAACGGAGCAAAGCAGGGTGTATGTGTGCGTCTGCATGTGTGTATGTCCCGTCGTGGTGGACCAGCGTTAATCACCCCTTTTAAGGTTGGGGTCCCGTATACGCCTGGGGGAGGGGGGTACGAGCGCATATGCACGAATGCCGCCGCAACAGCACACGGCCTGACTGACCACAGACCATGGAATGACCGTGTGTGTTTTCTTATGCGTGTTGACACGGAATCCCGCCCGCGCACAAACCCCCCTCCCCGCCTGCACCCCCAACGACACGACCAACTACCCCCCCACTCGATCCATGGCGGATTGGATCTCGTCCGTTGTTTGTTCGACTTTTGCCTTATCACTTATTTGCTTTCCCCCGAGCCAGCAGCGGCCCGCCAGCAGCGACCCCGCCCACCCATGATGAGGAGCACCAGCCAGAGCATCACCGCCAGCCAGCCAGTGGAAGTCAGAAAGTTGAGGATGAGGAAGGCTTTGGCGCCCCGCGCGATGTGACCTACGGCGACCAGTAGGGCTCAGTTGGGTACGCGTCATCAACCTCCGCCGCATCTCCTTGCAGCCTGCCTTAATTGCGTGCCCCAAACCTACGAAGCGGTCCCATAGCGAGAGTCCCATAGCGAGAGACATGAGATGATGGCAGGAGGAGACGGGACGCTTCCCCTCTAGGTCTCGGAAGGGGCCGACCACATTACCGCTTCTGTCGTCCTGTACGGCGCTCACCTAGGGCATCATGCGAAGCCTCAATGAAGGACCTCCATAAACTCATAAAGAAGATTAATATGGCAAGGACAAGGTATGCGATAGCTGTAGCGATTAACGCGCTGTTGATGCGGGAAATGTTCTTAGCGGTAATGCCAAGGTCGTCCAACGCGTCTATAGTCAAGCTTCTGCAGCGCCGTGTGAAGTAAGCCCTGCGATGTGGGTTAGAGTGTAAGCGTGTGGAATGTAACGCAACGTTGCAAATCCCGCAACTCAGTAAACCATAACACCCACCATACTCCCAGACTTGCAACACCTATGCAAACACAGAATGTGGATATCCATGGAACGTAGTACAGGCATGACCTGCATGGCCGATGAGCGAGGGAGTCAAAGGCTGATAAAGTGTCGATTCAGAGGCTGTATCCCATGGCGTCTTTTCCTACCTATCTCGAGTTATGCTTCCCATATTACCAATATGCTGCACCAATTATGAGTTACATGTATTGAGCACGCGCTGCCGTCAAGGTCAGGAAGGAATGGTCATAGGATAAGCTCAGAGCCAGCATACCCATCCGAGCCTAGAACGTTTTACATAGGGGATAGGTTCCTGCATGAGAAAATGCCCTGTGAATAACTGCTGCTGGGGGAACTTTGGTACGGTCAAGGATCAACCACCTTCAACGTCGACAAACCGACGCGCATAGGCAGAAATTCTGCCGCAGAATTGAGGAACTTACGAATACATAGATGTTATCAATTATTTGTATTACTCGATTTGTCTCTGATTTCTAACGTAAACGGAAGCCCTTGAATCTTTATCTGCTCCCGTCGGTGCTCAATATGTCAAACCTGCTGGAGTTCTCCATTAACGCATAGCATTATTACAGAATTTGATTTAAAAACGCTCTGCCGCGCGCTCTGAGCCTCGGTTGGTCGCGTGTTAGCGACGAACCCTTTGCCGACAGCTTTGGCGAGCTGCGTGTTACGTCGAAAATAATGGTGCTGCAGCTCAATGTCGAAAGGACAGCGACAAAAACAAGCTGTGCGACATCAGGCGCGCCTTTGCGGGCTGGCACGGGCGTTGTAAGGCTCATATCAACGTGTGGAGGTCAGCGCAACGACAGCGACGCCTCAGCGACTGCCGGATCAATCCATGTATGTTCACAGGAAATTTACCATACTTTATCCTTCTATATATATGACGCCTGGACATAATCTTTAAATCTGACACCTGGTAGTAACGCCGTGGCCTGCTTCGACGTGTCGCGTCTGCCGAACGAAGCCCCGGCCGTCGCTTTCATTCATTTCAAGGACAACCAAAAGCAACCACCCTAACTTTTACCCAATTTACGGTTTAGCGGCAGCCTTTAGCGGGGCCATCAGCGCGACGGCGGACACCACCACCCTTTTGCACAGCGGTTTACCAACTCCTGCCTGTCCCGCAACTTAGCTCTCCCAACCTCTCAGAGCTAACCTACTTGCCTTCATGTGCACCAAACTCCAGTTCCTCCATGTACGCGACCAATTGAGGTGACCATTTGGGTTCTGTTGGGTTCTCCTCGGCTCACAGGACCTAAGCGCCTTCCTTTCAACACTCGCCGTTGCCTCAGCAGCGAGGGTGGAGAAGGAGCAAGGCACCGGCGCGGGGACCGTACGCGCACCAGGCCGCCGCCGCCGCGGAGGTGGCGGAGGCGACGCGCAGTCGCACCTCGAATGTGCCCTGACGGGGGCTGCGTTACAGCCGGATGACGTGGTGCTGTTACTGCCGCCAACCGCAGTAGCGGCGCCGCTGGGGTCTCCGCCGCTGCCCCTGGCGCTTGCCGCAGGTGCTCAATGGCTGCAGCCCGTGATACGGGCTGTTGGGCCCGACGCAGCGGCGGCGGCGCTGGCAGCGATGCCAGGCCTGACGGACCTCAGCGGACGGCAGCAGGAGGAGGTTCGTAGGACGCTTCAGGCAGCGGCTGTAGCGGCGGCGGCGGCGACGGCAGTAGCAGATGGTACGGCCGACTCGGGGAGCCCTGGCGACACTGGCAGGGTGAGTGACGCTGCCAGACGCCTCGACGACGGCGTCCGACCCGTGAAGAGGCCACGGTTGGCACGGCAACTGCCGCCACAGGTGGATGGCGCCGGTGACGATGACGATGACGACGAAGACAACGCCGTCGAGGTAGCAGAGAAGGTGGTGGCCCGGCGGCAGTTGCCGCTGCGCGGCAGCCGCACCACGACAGTTAATGCTGCGGACGCAAAACCACAGGTGCGGAAGGAGGTTGGAAAGGTGCGGGAACCCAGACGGGACAAAGATGGCGATGGCCAATCCAGGGGAGCTGCATCCCTAGGTCGATTGATGACAACGACAACAACCGCCGGCGGCGGTAAATCAGCCACCGCCGGCGGCGGCGGCGGTAAATCAGCCACCGCCGGCGGCGGCGGCGCCGCTGCACTGTCTGCTCCGAAGGCGGCGGCGGACGATTCAGAGGTCGATCTGGACAAGGAACGCGCGGAGATCATGGAACGGAATCGTCGGAAACTTCTGGAATTGCAGCTGCCCGGCTTGGTTTCGGGGCTGGCGGCGACACGAGGGCATGCTGGCGGCGGCGCCCGGCGTGAAGCGAGCCAGCGGGGCGTCGGCGCCAAGAGGTAGCTGACGAGTTGAGGGCGGGCGGGTCCGTACGACACAAGACGACATAGACGTTGTGGGATATGGATGTGCGAAGCTTAAGATATTCGATGTTTTATCTTTTAAACCGTATTTGGACATATCTGTACGAACGGTCCGACGCTGGTTGTCATGTTCGTTTGAAGTATGCCGTGTCACATTCAGCAAGCGACATGCTTGCTTACATATCTCGCACCATCCGCACCCTCAGACCACCCCCTGGTTATGCCCTTTGTTCTCTCTCTGTCCCTCACCCCCTGACTCCTCCTTCACAAGTTGGTTAGACTGGTTAGTTACTTCTAGTTACATACTTTTGGCATATCAGTCTATCCTCCTTGGCATCGGCTTCACTCGTTCACGGGGTTGGTCTCCTCCCCCTCCCCCTGATTCTCCGGCTTGGGGGCCGGAGCAAGGGGCCCTAAGCTCCCAAGCGTTCGCAAGCCATTCCCTCCCCTCCCCTGCCCTCCCCGTCCCCTGCCCCTCTGGTATCAACTTCACTCGACTGTGGGTCGTCTTTCCCCTCGCATCACCTCAGGATTCACCTACATACATACATACCTCCACCAAGCTGTATAAACCCAAATCGACCCAAACCACCTAACCAACCCAACGAACTATCTACACTCGCGGCCTTGCCTTGCCTTGCTTCAACCGCTTCACCCACGTCCCACACCACACCCACCTCTTCACACAGGAGTCGAGAGAGGTCGCAGGAGCCGCAGCCGCTGCGGATGTCGCTGCGGCAACGCGGCGTGGCGGCCGAGCTGGCGGCAGGAATCGAACACGAGAGGTCGACGGGTGTGCTGCTGGCGGGGGGCCCGCTGGCGGCGGAGGCGGAGGGTGCGGCTGCTGCCGCTGCCGCTGGCGGCAAGGGCTTGCCCCAGAGGCACCCCCCAGGCGAGTGAGAGAATGCACGACGTTGCACTGTGTATGTGTGCTGTGACTGTGACTTTTGGAGTATGTATGTGGATATGTATGTATGTATATATGTATGTAATGCCCCTCTGCTGCTGATGGCCTCAAACCCCCCCCATCACCACACAGGGAACCTGCCTTTTCGAAGTGGCAACGGCGACGAAGAGACGGATGCGGCGTTCCTAGCCGTACTGAAGGAACGTGCCATGACCGCCACTAGTAGTACGACTGCTGCTGCTGCAGCCGCGGGTGCCGCTAGAAGGGTTGCAGCAGCAGCAGCAGCAGCGGGAGGAGGAGCAGGAGGAGGAAGACCGCCCGGAGCGGTCCTAAGCGGGATTCATTTGGTGGAACGCGATGTTGCCAAAGTAAGCTACGCTTTTTGTGTCATCACCTGCCTGCCATTATTCAGTGTAACTTGTTATTCTGTAAATACAGTGCTTTGTTCGTGGCCTTCAGATATCCCTTTACGTCGCATGCACCATCGAAACCAAGCGGCGGCAGCAGCTGCAGCAGTGCCTCCAATTGAACATGATGCTGGTGTGTCTGGTAAAGGCGTGCTTAAAAAAAAACCTCTGTGCTCCGTGTCAGAGACCCACATATACATACATACATACATACATACATACATACATACATACATACATACATACATACATACATACATACATACATACATACATACATACATACATACATACATACATACATACATACATACATACATACATACATACATACATACATACATACATACATACATACATACATACATACACGTTGTGTGTGTAGGTGACCAAGGATGGTGTCACACATCTGGCCTGGTTGCCAGATAGCGATCGGCTGACGCTGGCGGCCGCAGACAAGTCCGGCAAGGTGTCGCTGTGGGACGTCGACGTGGAGGCGGGCGGTCCGGCGGAGAAAACAGCTGGTGGGTGGTAGCGCCGCGATCTCGCATACTTTTGTGGAATAAGCTTGTGTGCGTGTATGTGGTCCTGTGTGAAACTGATGGAGTGAAAGGGTGAGTCAAAGATATAGAGTATGTATGTATGTCCATGCGGATTGTGATCCTATTACCCCGCTCGGGGAAGGAAAGGGATGTCGTACTTACGGTCCGGAACTGTGAGGTACGACATATGCACCTCATCCCCCCTGGTGGCGTCTTTCCACGTACCTCATCCCCCCTGGCTCTCCTGCCGCTACCTGCTGCTCAGTGTCGGCCGACTCGTCCCGCACCGCACTTGCACACTACACTACAACTGCATAGCGCTACCTCCATAAACAACAGCGACCCGTTACTATCACCGATACGATCACCGTTACCATTGCCGTTACGATCACCGTTACCATTGCGGTTACGATCACCGTTACCATCACCGTTACGATCACCGTTACCATTGCCGTTACGATCACCGTTACCATCACCGTTACGATCACCGTTACCACCGCCAGGCATTCTCATGTTCCAGCCCCACTCCGAGTATGTGTCCGGGCTTCGCTGGCTTGGTCGGGACGCGGCCGTGGGCCCATGTCGCCTCATCACCACCTCGTACGACGGGTCCGTCAGGTACGGCATGGGGTTGTTTGTGTTACAAGGTAGAAGCTAAAGCAGATCCTTTTTGAAGTTCTTCCATTTGCTCGCCTCCCGCCCATCGTAGCAGCAGCTCCAGCTTCACCACCACCACCATCAGGTTTTCCACCACACCGGCTGCTTCAAAATAGTGGGTATTGTACGGCATTGTACGATAAAAGACAAACCGTTCTGGGGTCTGTCTTTTCCGGAACCTTGTCCTTGTCCACGGCACGGTGGGGCCCTGGGGCTGCTTCCCGAAGCCGCGGATGATGAAGGGGGCCCCCAGGGTGTGTCCCCCCCTCCCCCCACTCCGTCATCCGATCCCCCCACCAGGGCCCTTGACCTGGGCGGCTCGGGCATGTGGGTGGAGCTACCTGCACCGGGTGACCCGCGGAGTCGTGAGTTCAGTGCTCTGGACGTCTCTTCCGACGGCCGAACGGCGTACCTGGGGGATCCGCAGGGGAATCTGGATCTCGTGGATCTGCGCGCGCCGCCGCCACGGCGGGAGCGGTCGTCGGATCCGGCAGCGACGTCTGTGGGGCCTCTAGGTGGTTTGCAGATAAGCCAGCGGTGAGGTGAGGGTGGGGCGGGATGGGTCGTGGCGCGGGCGCTCTGCCGGTTCGGCCGTTAGCTCGTCAGTTGGGGTGATATGGGGTGTGCGATTTTGAGCTTATCGAATGTGTACGGATGGCGGGAATCGCGTGTTCTTCTTCCCTTCCCTCTTCTCCCTCCCTTCTCCCTTCCCTCTTCTCCCTTGACAAACCGGACAGGTCGTACATGCAGGCGCTTCCGGTGTTCCTCTTTTAATAAATCCACTACAATTCTTACAACTATCTACATATAACACATAATTACATATTTATGTTTGTGGCCCAAGCAACCCATAAGTTCATAAACCATCTTTGGAATGTTTTTTGTATTTTACTTCGTCTCAGGAAAATCAATTCGGTGCATTTGGAGCCTTTCCGCGAGATCCTCCTGGCATCCACTTCGTCTGATGGTTCCATATGCATCTGGGATGTACGGAAGGTAAGTACGGCAATGACGGCGGATGCGGCGGGGGCGGGCGGCCAACACCGTCACCACAAGGTTTCTCACAAGCCGCTCAGTGTGCTCCACCACGCCAGGAGCTGCCATTCGGCGTACTGGGCGCACGACGGTTCCACGGTGAGTTGTTGAAACTCCCCCGCGGGCGGCGAAGGAGCGCGGCGGCCTTTTGGACCACCACATCCCTTACCTGTGCATCCTTTTAAGTTCACTAGTTCAAGTCCGGATCCAATTTCGTACTTCAGCACACCAAAACGAATGCCGTACTCGTGGGCAGTACATAGATATTTTCCCGTTCTCTTGAGTCTCCGGTACGCTGGGTGCCGCATACCCTTGGCTCCATGTGTGCATGGGCAATTGCTTTGTACGGCATACTGGACATCTTTTTATCGCCTTATTGTGGCGAAAAACATTCCGTTCCGTCCTCGCTGCACATAACCTTACTGGTGTGTGTGTGGGGGGTGGATGGCGGGGGAGTGTATGTGGGGCTGTTTTTTTTGGACTGTTACTCTCTCCTGACACCTCCGCCTTCCTCCGTGCAGAGGCTTCTGTCGACGTCGTACGACGATACCCTCCGTGTCTGGTCTTCGGCGGTCAACGGCAGTCAGTTTCGCAGTCAAAGCGGTGACGGCGGCCGCGACACGACCGTGGGTCCTTTCTCTCAGGTCCTTTCAATTCCCCATAATAATCAGACGGGAAGATGGATCACGCCGTTCAGGTGCGTGGGCGTATCCTTGGGAGCCTGATTAGGCCATCACCTGTTTAGGCGCACGCACTGTCCACTGACCTTTGCATCCAACACTGTTAACGTTGTATTGGTAACGCATGCAAGACGCTCGAGTTGCTTTCCAAGCAATTAGGGGCTTACGTGCGATGTGGTTAATGCCGCGCAACATGGCAGGTGTCGATCAAATTGGTTGTAGCTTGATTAAGCTACTCATTTACAAGGCCTTTGGCCTCTGCAACTAGACAATAACCGAAATAACCGCCACAACAACCACTGGGGTATACGGTTAGGAAGAAGATGCTGTCTGCGTGTCCCCCATTGCTAGCACCCAGCGCCTTATCGGCCGTTCCGTTGTACATAAACACATTGCCCCCCCCCCGCAGCAGGAACCGCCCCAGCACCCTTGCTAGCCTAACCCCCAAATCCCCCCTCACTTCGTACCGCTGCCATTGCAATCGCTGCCGTTGCGGGCCCCCTGATGCATTGCCGTACAGGGCCGTATGGAACGCTGCCTGTGATGCCGTACTGGTCGGCAACATGAGTCGCGGTGTGGATATCTTTGGCGGTCTGGGCGCGGTTGTGGTTGGGGCAGCTGCGGCCGTGAAGAACAACGTTGACAGCTCCGAAGTGGAGGCGGAGGCGGATACAGATGGTGACGATGTCGATGACCCCGACCAGAAGCTACGCGGCCGCGCCAAGACCTCGAAGAGGAAGGCCGCTGGCAAAGCGAGTGCGACGGCGGCGGCGGTTAAGGCCGGAGGCGGCGGCGATGATCCGTTGCAGGTGTGTGGGTGGTGTGTGGGTGGAGACTGGCGGGGCACTTGGGTATGTGAGTAGGTCATAAACTGTTAAACCCTAAGCATGAACACCAACTGGCAAATAAATAATAAAAGAAAAGCTGGCTAGTATTCATTTATATGGCAATAATTTTTTTAATAGCCGTCTTTAAAATTGTTAAAATTCCCTTCTTTTCCTCCTATTTCCTCTCCACCAGCAGGTGCAGTTCTTGCACACCCTGACCTCGGAGTACATGACGGCCATCCCCAGCCGCTTAGCTTGCCACCCGACGATGCCTGTGGTGGTGGCAGCGACCTGCAGCGGCCGCTGCCACGTCTGGAGGTAGCTTCTGCTACTGCTACAGCTATTAGTCCTGCTACTGCTGCTGCTATGGCTATTCGTACTGCGGCCCCTGCTGTTGCAGTCACTGATGCCGATGTGCTTAAACCTTTACAGCAGCCCTCCACTGCGACTATTGCTGCTGCTGCTGCGGCGGCGGCGACGACTTTTCAATGCTGTTGCCGTGGCTTAACCCACGTGGAGGCAGCGATCAGGCGTCGTGATGGACGGGCGAATCGATGCATGGGCGATATTGCAATGGCGCAACACTAGGGCTGCCGAAACGAGTCAATTTGAGTCGTTACGGCTGCGGTTGCAGTTTGCAAAATGCGTGTCGCAGCAAAGTTCACAAGTTTTACAAGTTCTGCACGAATGCGGGCTTATCCGTCAAATCCCGGGGGCCATGTATCATATAAATTGAAAGTTAATTCCGCCGTACGACCGTTGGCGGTTTGATGGATCCAGATGCCACCTCCAGTTCTCCTCATCCAGTCACCCGACATCCGCAGAGACAGGCCAGCCAGTCCAGCATGCGAAACTCAGTCCATCAACTAGACCCCATCTCAACACCGCAGTAGCAATCCGTAAACCATAGTCTCCAAACATGTCAGGGATTTGTCCAGAATCGAACCCGGGATATTATCTGCTCACTGCAGCGGGAGTCACCAGATGACTGTAAGTCCTTTGCGTGCAAATGATAGCCGTGGAGCCAGGGTTCAGAGGCCCACATCAGCATCACAACTTTAAATCACCTGCGGTGGTGCTCCTCTAGGTCAGAGGGGATTGGCAGAGAGGAAACATATTCGTGCAGAGGGAGGTGTGTGACCCACGGGACGGTGTGGTGTAGTGTGACCCGCTTCGTTGCAATCAAGGAGAGCACTATCTTGGCTTTAACATTGGCAGGCACACACACACACACACAGAGATGTGGACGCAGCAGCTTGGAATTTATTGCTGAGGAGGGGCGTTTTGGAGACACTCCGAGATTGAGGAAGCTTACAACTTAACCGACCGCTTCAGTAGGGTAACCGCTTCAGTAGGGTAACCGACATTTTGAGATAACGACCCGGTAACCTTATCGGTTGGTGATCCCACAGTTACTGGGTCGTTAGCTCGTTATGTCGGTTACCCTACCGCCAGATACCGAAGCGATCAGTTTACCGATTGGTTTGGTAGGTTTACCGACTGGTGACAAGCAAAAGGATAATCGGATGGTCTCCATTTTGGGTAACCTGGTCAAACTTGTTGCTTGTATGGTGGCCTTCAAGTCGCCTGCTTTTCGAATTTTCGAGGAATACATTTTTCTTCCGCACTTTTAAAACATTTATTTTATTGCAGTGCTGCGGACGTGGGTGCTGCTGGGTGAAAACGTTTATCTGGATTAAGTGCTGCTTGACGATTGTGATTTGTAGCTGTAGGGGGCATATCCCACATTGCGATGCCGTGCCAATACATTTGTACGGCATTTCCAAACAAAAGCACTGGTACCAGAGGTCGGCAAACCCTGAATAACTGTCACGGGTACTGGTGCCAGGGTCGAATAACTGTATGGAAATATTTTTCGTAAAAGCCGAAGAAAGGTCGTCAATTGACTGTTCGTTATGAGAACCTCTCAAAGCTAGCGTTTACCTCCTTGTAAAATGGAAGGTTTGGTAACCTAATGATGAAGTTTATAGCTTCACAACTGTGCAAACCTGCCTTTTGGGGGGAATTTCTGTACCCTGTCGTACGGCTGTCGTACCAGCGATGAAGAATAGAGTTGAATTTCTGCAACGGGTACAACGGAAGGACCCGCTGTACCAGCGGCGTTTGCCGACTCTTGACTGGTACTACCTAAAAAGCCTTGCCGCTTTTCCTGCACAGTTGTGCTCTGTGCTCTGTGCTGTGCTGCCGAAACACAGCGCAAGGGTCGGGAGCACACAGCACAAGTCGGTTAGTCTTGTGTGCTCCCGACCCCGACTCAGACTGCCAAAACTCTACGCAGCCACTCTGCAGCAACTCCATCCGGGGATGGCGCTGCAGTGAAAACACCATGAAGGGCTCTCAAGTCCCGCTAGAGTGAGTCCACAAGTCTCAGCTAGGGCAAAGTCAAAGGCTCTCTGAAGCAACCCCCCAAAAACACCACCAACGACAACGGGATTCCAATGGAAAAAAACAGGAAATAAAAATACGGTTAGAGCAGTCCCGGCAGGGGAGGGCTCCTGATACATCTAACAAGCCAAAAAAGAAAAACCTCCAAGAAAGAAAGGCTAAGAGGGCTCAACACCACAAGACGTCTTGCCGCCACCTTACAAAAACTGACCCCCTCTTCCTGTCCTTTCCTGGGCTGGTCCAGGGGAGAAGTAGCCTTGTAAAGGAAAGGGACCACGCACAAGCCCGATCACCACTGCAGGGGCCCGGGATAGACCGGCAAAACCCCAAAAATGATAGTGTTGCCGTGACACACAGCTCCTAGACCCTCCAGAATACCGTAGGGGGAGGAATGTAGCCCACACTGCGCCTCCCCCTTACTGTCATTAAACCAGAACGGTTGGTCCTCCAGAACCTACTCACCCTGCCTCGTACTGCACCACTCTCACCCTCGTTCCTCACCAAGCAACCCAGTCCCGCAGAGAAGACGTGCCTAAGTAGAATGGCCCTCCTCAGGCCACAACTCCCCCTCATCCGAGCTCAGCTGCTACCGCCAGACCTCAACCTCTCAAACACCAGGAAGCCTACGTCCTTTTGGCACTCTCACCACCATTTCCCCCCTCCCCTGTCCGAGCGACCCCCCCCCAGCCCTCCAGCACCCTACAACCTCGGAGCTGCACTAGGGAGGAAAAAGGGATCTTCCCTGCCCTACATGACCGCCTCCATTCCCCGACCTTCTCCTCTCCCTCTCCCGTCTAGGGGTTTCCTCTCACCTATTCCCTTGCCCTCCAACCCCCATCCCCCTTGAACTCCTATACCCCCCGAGCCCTGCCGTACATACTAAGTTCAAAGCGCTCTTAGGCAATAGTTTCCACCCCTTTAAGCGCACTGCAGTGCGCCTTCTGAAACCGACAGGATCGGGTGGTTGGGTCCCACCCTGTCCCAGCCTCTTCGTGGGGTGCCCAGTGCTGTGAAGGAGTGCAGACGCGCCCAGAAGTCCACCACTGCCCGGGCGCAGGCCTGCTCCAAGGGGGTTGCTGCAGGTGTAGCAAGCTACATTTCCCTTAGGATATTTTAACGATTACTTTTATCAATAACTGTTAATTTGTTAAACGATTTGATTCAAGTTTCGTACATATTCCGAGTTTCGTCACATGTCCACGGTAGGGATTCTCCGGCAGGTAGGCCGAGATATAAGCTACCCGGGCGGGGTGTTCTGGCCAGACACTGACTTATCACATTTCTAGGTGTTCGGAGTTCACGTCTCTAATCGTTACGTACACGTCTATGTACGCTAGTGCTTGCCGCTTGGTTGGACTTCTTCCTACATCAGTGAGAACTAACAACTCCACGCTTCCGCGCTGTCAGTCGTCCCGTCAGGTGAGCGACTGCTACATTGGTATCGAGGGTCAAGTTTGATCCTCCTTGACGCGATGCGCTATAATAAGGCCGCGCAACGGCGTTTGACTAAATTTCTTAAGCTTCAAAACTCGTATGAAAGGTATCGCGAAGCATCCCTTCAGGAACAGGACCCTACCGAGTCCGAGGCTACTGATTCCGACGACGAAGACGTACGCCCGTTGGCTATTCCGAATACTGAACATAACATTGATGATACTCCTGTTGTTAATCGTATTCAGATGGACGTTGATCCTCCGGCGGAATCGCCTTCGGATACCGCGCAGCGCGCCTCGCCCTCTACGGGCGGGCGGGCTACCGGCGCGTACGCCAGCGCAGGCTGCGGCAGCCGCGCAAGTTCAGGAAATGCTTCGCGCGGCTCGCAAAAATCAGGTTCCCGCTCTTCAAGCGGAACTATCTGCCTTTAAGGGAGAGGTGCAGGGCATTCTCGCCGAATACGGCGAACGCTTGGGCGAAATAACTTCCGCCCTTAAGGATGTCCAAGTGCAGCTTCGGGACTTGTCACCTTCTTCGCCGCCTCGGCGATATTGCTGTCCAGAGCTTCGCAATATCCATCGATAATGATGGACCTGCATTGAATGTCCGAAGAACTCGGAGGCGGCGAAGAAGGTGACGAGTCCCGAAGCTGCGCTTGGACATCCTTAAGGGCGGAGGTTATTTCGCCCAAGCGTTCGCCGTATTCGGCGAGAATGCCCTGCACCTCTCCCTTAAAGGCAGATAGTTCCGCTTGAAGAGCGGGAACCTGATTTTCGCGCGCCGCCCGAAGCATTTCCTGAACTTGCGCGGCTGCCGCAGCCTGCGCTGGCGTACGCGCCGGTAATCCGCCCGTAGAGGCGCGCTGCGCGGCATCCGAAGTAGGTTCCGTCGGAGGATCGACGTCCATCTGTGCACGATTGGCAACAGGAGTATTATTAATATTATGTTCATTATTTGGAATAGCCAAAGGGCGTACGTCTTCATCGTCAGAATCATTAGCCTCGGACTCGGCAGGGTCCTGTTCCTGGTCAGCAAGGGACGCTTCGCGATGCCTTTCATAAGATTGTTGAAATTTTAGGAATCTATCCAAACGCCTTCGCGCGGCCGGAGTGAAGCGCATCGCGTCAAGGAGGATCGAACTTGACCCTCGATACCAATGTAGCAGTCGCTCACCTGGCGGATCGACTGGCTAAGCGGAAGCGTTGTGTTGACAGTCCTCGCCGGAGTAGGAAGGAGACCAGCGCAGCGGCAAGCACTAGCGTACATGGACGCGTACGAAACAATCAGAATGGCGGCATCGGAGTCTTGAACTCCGAATACCTAGTAGTCGTGATACCTCAGTGTCTGGCTAAAGCACCCTGCCCGGGCAGCTTATATCTCGGCCTACCTGCCGGAGATTCCCTACCACGGTCTTGCCGTACTAGGATAATGTCGGTGGGGCCCGGGGCCCCAGCCCGTTAGATTCGCTTACGAACAACTGCCAAGTTCGTGACATGTGACGAAACTCGGAACATGTACGAAACTTGAGTCGAATTGTTAACAAATTAACAGTTATTGTTAACAGTAATCGTTGAAATATTCTAAGGGAAATGTAGCTTGCTACACTTTGCAGAAGCTGACATGCATGGAGAAGTGTGAGAGAGATGAGTGTCCTCCCATCATCATCCCAAAACGTAATCTGGAAAAGCAATCGGGACTGTCCAGCTGGTGTTGATGGCCGCAGGTGCATACATATGATATAGGGTTTGGCACCACTGGTAACGCGCGACCATTGCCCCCGGGAGATCCCAGGATCGATACCCATTAGGGTCAAAAGTCCTTCCGATGGTGGATGCGCCCCTAGTTGATGGACGGTGGTGACCTGGGATAAAGTTAACCTGCGAGCCGACCAGGAATGGAGTTGGGCCGTGTCGACCCGGCAGATTCCGTTGGATGCTGGTGGTGGGTGCGGAACCTGAGCGATCCACTGAGAAGTTGACTAGGGTGACTGGATGAGGGTGCCCCGAAATACCGGGGAAGGCAGGGTTTCGCAGGGTAGCTGCCACGGGCGAAGATACACCCCCCTGTTTCACACATCATATGCACGAATGCCGCCGCAACAGCACACGGCCTGACTGACCACAGACCATGGAATGACCGTGTGTGTTTTCTTATGCGTGTTGACACGGAATCCCGCCCGCGCACAAACCCCCCTCCCCGCCTGCACCCCCAACGACACGACCAACTACCCCCCCACTCGATCCATGGCGGATTGGATCTCGTCCGTTGTTTGTTTGACTTTTGCCTTATCACTTATTTGCTTTCCCCCGAGCCAGCAGCGGCCCGCCAGCAGCGACCCCGCCCACCCATGATGAGGAGCACCAGCCAGAGCATCACCGCCAGCCAGCCAGTGGAAGTCAAAAAGTTGAGGATGAGGAAGGCTTTGGCGCCCCGCGCGATGTGACCTACGGCGACAGGTAGAACAAGGCACACGAGGAAATAGCTTTTAAAAACTGGCTGGTCGGTTGCCACAGGGCAGCGGGCGAAAGTCCGTGGTCGGGGGGGGGGGGTCGGGCCCATGGCCGCACGTGCTCTTCTGGCGCGAGGATGGAATCATGGCTGATTCAATTTCTTTGTCTGTTGCGGGAAGCGGAGGGATCCGCCTAAGTGGTGTTCTGTACATCGTAAGGATGGGGGCGGTCGGCTACTGGCGCTAGGGTGGTGCTCGCAGCAATGCCTTTTGCACCCCGCTGTATGCATTGCAGTGCATGATGAGGGAACCGACCGGCGGTTGCGACCCCAAGGCCTCCGGTTTCTCGCCTCTTGATTGTGGCGAGAGTGCGCCTGCAGTTGAGCATACTTGGCACATGCGGGGCGATGCCAGCTCGTCCAGTGATCATCTGCAGGGTCCTGGACACGCTGCCGGTCCGTGCCCATCACCCCTTCCCTTACAGCATGTATGTCCTTCGCATCCCCCCTGCCGCCGCCGCCGTGGTGGCGCTCCTGGTGTCGTGTCTTGATTCGCCTGACTGTCCGTCTGGCTGCCTGCCGAAATTTTTGTCGACGCTGGTTCCAGATCCCTCCGGCTGATCGGCGGCCTCCCGCGGGCCCGGAGCTGCCCGTATCCCAATAGTGATAGGCGGCCCGTGAATAAGAAACCATGTCTTGTTCTGAGGCGTTCATGCCATACCTCAAGTTGTGAGGGACGCTATTGAGGAACAAATCCATTGTAACGACTTTCGTGGCGTTGGTGCGCAGCTGCAAAAGAGCACGTACTCGCAGGTAGGGGGAGATCTGATCGGAATAAGTGGCTCTCTTATCTGCGGGCCGCCACCGCCAACCCACCTTGATGTGTGATATAATATTACATGTGCTAATGCAGGAGAAATACTACACGTGCAGCAATCAATGTCCGGCGTACCGGGGATTCCCCCCCCGGGAGGTCTCGCTGCACCTTTTTGGCGTGTGGGCGCCATCTGTGTTAGTTCGCTCTAGGTTTTAGCTCAGCGGGGCTTACAGGA